CAGTGGTATGAATTCAACATTTCATCTTATAGCGGTTCCGCGTGGATCAAGCACTCTACAGGAGAGGTCAGACACATCGAAGGGCTTGGTGAAGAGCCTTCGTGGACCCCAGAGGAGCTGCCTCGTAAACTATCAAGCCCGTCTTTCTACGCGGCTATGCAGCGTATTGGGATCAGATACGGTCCTGAGTTTCAAGCTCTTGAGGATATCTCTACCTCTGCTATTGAGCATACCGCTCAGGCCAAGATAGTCGATAAGCATAACCATGTGTCCGCGCCATTTTCTCTCTATCCGGTAGTAATCGATGGGTGCTTACAGTCGCTCCTGGTTGCCATGAGGAAGGGACTTTGTCGCAACTTCGACGGCCTATTTGTACCTGTTTCTATCGACGAGCTTGTCGTATACCGGGGGGCATCAGAGATCTACGTCCGTGCTTGGACGGAGAAAGGGGATCTTAGACTTGGCCAGGCCGAGTGCATCGCAGATGGGAGATTAGCTCTGCGGATGCGCGGTCTCAAACTGGCACCCCTCGAGGATGATAACCCGGTTACCAATTCCATCGATCAACACGCCGCAGCTCGTATCTACTGGCTTCCAGACTTTGACTTCGCGGATCACAGGGCTTTATTCTCAGCACCCAAGCCTGATCGGGATCAGCTTGTACTACAACAGGAACTCTCGTTTCTTTGTATGATTCAGGAGGTAAAGGCCGTGGAAGATCTTGAGCCATGCCAGCCTCACTTTGCCAAGCTACGTGATTGGATGAAGAAAGGGATCGAAGATGCAGCTACTGGAAATGAAGAGTTTCCCCTAGTCGACAATGCGGCGCACATATTAAAGCTTAGCCTAGAAGAGCAGCAGGACATGATCAAATCTCACCTTAGTATCCTAGAGAAAGGGGATCACCGTGCCCTCTCACTCGGGACTAAGCGCGTGTGTGATTACGCAGCGGAGATTTTTACGGGATCTCGGGAAACCCTGGACATACTCATAGAAGGAAACCTCCTATCTGAGATCTACAACCGTGCTAGCTTTGGATATGGTAACTTTGTGCGCTTACTTGGAAACACGCGACCTCATTTGCGGATCCTAGAAGTCGGTGCCGGCACAGGCGGAACTACAGAGCTCATCCTACGCGATCTCGTCGATGAAGGCGGGTTCCCCTCTTACTCGGTCTACACATTCACCGATGTATCGTCCGGTTTCTTGGTGAAGGCGCGGGAACGCTTCTCGTACGCACCCAACATGGAGTACAAAGTGTTCGACATCAGCAAGTCGCCGTCCGAGCAGGGTTTCGAGGGCGGAGAAAGGGGGTCATACGACTTAATCCTGGCTGCAAATGTTGTTCATGCAACTCCGGTCATTAAGGAGTCACTCAAGAACATAAAGTCGCTACTAAAACCTGACGGCATGCTAGTTCTAACAGAACTCTTACCCACGTTGCGCACGGCAAATTATGCGTTCGGCCATTTCGCAGGTTGGTGGCTAGGAGAGGCTGATGGCAGACCTACGACTCCTCTGGTACCCGTTGATCGCTGGGATGCCGAACTAAAGGCCGCAGGATTTACAGGCGTGGACTCGGTTGTGTTTGACGATGAAGAACCCTATAGCCAAATCCTCACAATCGTATCACGGCCACAAACTACAGGCGTGCCACCCGCTAAAAAGGTTACTCTGCTATGCGATAACGAGGAATCGGACGTAGCGCGTACTCTTAATACATCTCTAAAAAGTTTGGGATGGGAGGTTACGCCGCGCCGACTGAGCTCTAAACCTCTACCAGATGAAGACATCATATCATGCCTAAACCTTGAGAGTGACTGGTTTGTCAACCTAACTCCAGAAACATTCGCCAAGTTCCAGACATATGCAAAAGCTCTAGAGCACCGGAAGATCCTTTGGCTCACACCTCCAGTCCAGATTCGATGCAAGGACCCCCGGCCAGCAACATTCCTCGGCCTGGCCCGTACTTTGCGGGCTGAGCGAGTGCCAGGACTTTGCACCCTTGAAATAGAGCCTAGTGAGCCGCGCTTTATAGACATAGTTCTAGATGTATTCGATAAGGTCCGCACACAAGAGGATGTTGGTACGCTAGCTCCCGACCACGAATTCGTCGTGGAGAACTCCCAGATCTGCATCCCTAGATATCGACCTTTCTCCTTGCTAAATAAGCTAAAAGAGAAAGAAGAGAGCCGTGGTCGTGAGGAGGGATCGCAAGCCATACCTATAAGAACGGCTCTGGCGATTTCTAAGATAGGATCTATGGAAACACTACACTGGATAGACGAACCATTACCATTAGAACTACCGGACGATTACGTCGAGATTGAGACGCGAGCAGTTGGCCTAAACTTCCGCGACGTTGTCCTGGCGAGAGGTATCATCGATTCTTCCACTCCAGGTCGCCTCCCGTTAGGGTACGAGTTATCAGGCGTAATCAGCAGAGTAGGCTCGGCCGTTAAAGATCTCACACCCGGAGATAGGATCATGGCCCTTTGCAACGGCTGCCTTGGTACCAGGAATGTGGCACCAGCCGACATCGTCATGAAAATCCCTGACGATCTTGCTTTCGAAGACGCTGCTTCTATTCCCGTTTGCTTCGGAACAGTGATTTACAGTTTTATCGACGTTGGTCGACTAGAAAGAGGCCAAAGCGTTTTGATTCACTCAGCTTGTGGTGGTGTCGGTCTCTCGGCGATCCAAGTAGCTAAAATGCTCGGAGCTGAGATATACGCGACTGTAGGTAGCGAAAAGAAGGTCCAGTACCTCATGAATAACTTTGGGATTACGCGTTCGCATATCTTCAACTCTCGGGACGCATCGTTTGCAGAGGGTGTTATGAAAGAGACAGAGTGTCGAGGTGTTGACTTAGTCCTGAACTCTCTATCAGGCGAGTTACTGCACGAATCGTGGCGGTGTGTTGCTAAGTTCGGTGTTATGGTCGACCTTAGCTTGCGAGACTCTAAGGGGTCTGGTCGCCTGGATATGCTTCCTTTTGCTGAAAATCGTTCTTACTACGGCGTAAACCTATCCGACTTTAGGGAGAAGCCTAAGTGGCTAAGGAGGTAAGTTTTCTAAAGGGACCGCTATTCCTTAATAGCTAGTCACCATGCTCGCTGCCTAGCTTGTAACTGATGGTGTACTAATAAATATCAGGTTATTGACCGCATTCGTCGACTTCTATAAGCAAGGCCACCTCCGTCCAATTGATCCCATTACGAGCTTCGATGCAAAACAGATCGCGAAGGCGTTCCGCCACCTCGAAGATGGTGACCATATGGGCAAGATTGTAGTGACTTTCCCTCCCCCTAACCTAAGTACACCAATCGAGTCGCTACCACAACGTCGTAGTATCGAATTTGATCCCATTGCGACTTACCTCCTCGTAGGCGGTGTCGGCGGCTTAGGCAGATCTATTGCAATATGGATGGTTGAGCGAGGCGCACGATGTTTGATGTTCCTTTCGCGCAGCGCAGGCCAGAGCGATGTTAGCAAGGCCTTGTTTCGCGAGATAGAGTCTATGGGATGCTCGGTGACAGCGGTTGCCGGACGTGTTGATCAGATCGGTGACGTACAAGAAGCGATCCGCCAAGCGAAGTCGCCTATTAAAGGAGTGATACAGTTAGCCATGGTCCTAAGGGTAAGAGCCCCTTTATAACGTCAGGCTAAACATTCGATGCTAACCGAAATACACCAGGACGTCCCAGTAGTAGACATGGAATGGTCTCAATGGAAAGATGCCCTTGCACCCAAGGTTGAGGGCACCTGGAATTTGCACCAAGCACTTCAATCGACTAACCTTGATTTCTTCTTCCTAGCCAGCTCAATCATGGCCGTGGTTGACTCTCTCGGACAAGGAAACTACGCGGCAGCTAATACATTCATGGAGGCTTTCTGTCGTTACCGTCACTCCCTAGGGCTACCGGCTTCAGTTCTCAATATCGCTGCTATAGGCGACATTGGGTTCGTGGCTGAAAATTCACACGCGATGCAAAACATCAAAGCTCAAGGTATATGTCTTCTTGGCGAGCGCGAATTCCTGGATTTCCTAGAACTTAGTCTCATGAGTAATTCACCGGCAGATCAAGAGACTGTCGGGCCTCTGGCTGTTCCACCTACACCATGGAGTAGCGAAGCTCAGATGGTGATGGGTATACGGTCAGATCAGGACCTAGACGACCCGAATAACCGAACGATGTGGCGGCGCGACAGGCGCATGGGTATCTACCATAATGTACGGGTTGAGAATACAGCGAAGAGCACCGAGAACGATGCTCTTCAGAAATTCCTCAAGCAAGTCGCAGCTGCCGGCGTGGGAGGAAAAGCGCTATTAAAAGATAAGAGTAGTATCGAGTTCTTAGGAAATGAGATCGGCAAGAAGATATACGACTTCCTCCTCAGGCCAGACGAGGAGGTGGACATTAATCTAACACTAGCACAGATGGGCCTCGATTCGTTAATGGCTATCGAGCTGAGACGGTGGTTTAAGGGCGCATTTGGGCTCACGTTGGGTGTACTGGAAATAGTCGGCAGTGGAACTCTCCATCAGCTTGCGGAACTCGTCGCGGGTAAACTACTCGAGAAGCTCGAAAGCGAGTCCCAGAAAACTGCATAAATAGGTACCTAATGTTAGGTAGTTTCGAGGTTCGTCCCGGATTCACAATTGTCAAGAGTTACTAGACCCGGACTAAACTGTTATATACCAGCTTATAAACATATTAATGTTGGATGAGATAATACTTAGTTAATAGATTCAAGTATCTTATGTTGTATCTTCGATACCTCCGGGAACTAGAATTCTGATTGAACGAAGGGTATGATAACGGTATTGAATAGAGTTGAGTATGTTCGCTTCACTTTATCAAACAGAACGGCGGGGTATAGAAATCTCCTCATCATCTCTGTACTACATTCCACCGCCACAGCCCCTGACCTCATCCACGCCAATCTGCCCAAAGCGCCTCAGTCCTTTTTCTCCCCTAAATGACACCAAACAAGCCTCAGATATACTCCATCCAAGCACCAAGCAGACCAGTGGCCATAAAGGCAACGAACACCTTGCTCTGGGGGAAGCCCGGGCCGCCAAACTCGGGGTCAACGCCCATGGTACCGGGAGGCAAGATGCTGAGGAGTCCCGCGATCCAATAGATAGACCCCGTGATGGCGCTGATGAAGATGAATTCGCGGCGCAGCTCAGGCGTCTTTGCTCGTCGCCATGTATAGTAGAGCGTCAGCCCGGACAAAATTATGGCGAGAAAGACCGTCTGAGCGTTATGGAATCTAGTTACACAGGTTAGACAGGTAGACAACATCTTAGCTATCATGGTCACGTTAGACTTACTTAGCATGCGGCCGCCACCGTGGATTAAACATGTGTGTCTCATTAAGGCAATCGGCCGCAATGGTGCCAAAGCACATGCCGAGGGCATCGATAGTTAGCAGTAGCCGGCCTAACATACTAATTGCTATGTATGTGTACTGTAGAGGTAAAATAAATAAAAAGGCAAAACTACCTGCCCGCCGATTTTTAGGACATGAATAATAAAAATGAAAAGCAATTACTCTTGCTAGTACGTTTATATCAAAAGTGATATATCGATATGATGACTTATATACATACACCTACCTACTACATATGCATGATGCATCACTATCCTACCTATGCTTACATGTGTAACGTCATTGTCTTACCTATTAATCATCAATCCAACTACTACCAGAGAATAGCACGCATGTTACAGAGCAAGATGGCACCAAAAAAGTCGAAGCTACAGTTATAACCGCTATTTTTAGAAGAGTAAGCTACGCAACCTACATAGGTCCCTAGGTAATTGGAAGCTGCCTATACCTGAGTTCATTTCGGAGCTCCGGTATTTCGCTCCAATGCAAGATCACAGTAACTACTACCCTCTACCTCACAGTATCCTACTAAGTGTAATTTGGGTATTCCCTTCAAGATTCGAAAGCCGTCACAACCGCGAAGTTGTGTATTATATTTCAAAGTGCAAGGAGCTTTCCTTCATCTAATTCCCTATCAGAATCACAAGTCAGATTCCCTATTCTAATCATTGTCCGAGGCACGATCGATATTGTACAAGAGTCGTAGAGGCCCCGACACTGCTATTGTTCATAAGTACAAGAAATGTAATGAGCCCTTTTTTTCGTAGCCTGATAGTAACAAGCCTGCCTAACTGCTCATATGTCCGCTGCTATGTGCATCATCCTGATGAATCCTCATGAATTATAGCCATGCCTAGCAACCAGCCAAAACCTCAAACCAGACCCGAACCATCTCGAGTCCAATGAATATAAGATGCGAAGGATATATACTAATGCAGCATCTCATCCTCATATGCCATCGCTCCTAAACACCATGTCGTTATCTGATCTAACTTGAAATAACCCTCATTGACCGTTAGGTACATTGTCCTCAGCTTCGGCCGCGATAACCGAGTACTGACCGCCAGCACCGGCCCATACAATTCGTCTATCACGAATGGCGGTGTTGTCGATCGCGGTCGGAACTTCAATGTCATCGGTAGTTCCTTGGCCAGTTTGATAATTCGCAGAGAAACCCCACGAGTAAACCTTGCCTTCCTCATCTAGAGTGAAACTGGTATCTGTACCAGTAGCGACAAAGGTAGCTTTAATTCCTATAATGCTTATTAGAACACACCGATTGTTAGACATAAAACATAGGGAAAAACATACCATTCACGGCGGTAGGCTCCAAGAGAATTCGGGGTTTCTTGTTATCATCGAAAACAGTATTTTCCTCGTTGAATAGACTGGTCGGCTGTCCGACTTGGTGGCCATCCACACGGCCCCAGGTGAGCAGCTCTCCTTCACTCGTACAAGCAACCGAATGGTGTTCTCCGCCCACGACCTGGCTGATCTTATGGTTTTCAAGTGATGTAACAACTTGAGGCTGGAGAACCATGGCATCATCTTCACCGGTATGTTCCCTGAGGCCGGTCTGTGCGTAGTTGTTCAGGCCCCAAGCCCATACCTGATCATCACTGTCGATGTAAAAACTGTGATACGAACCAGCGCCCACGTTGATGGCACGATGTTTCTTAGTGAATTTGCCACATGGCTGCGGAGTAAGTCCAACACCCGGACCTGCGAGACGAGAGATCAGCTTCCTGCCAAGCTGGAATTGGCCTCCACTACCCCAGGTGAACACTTTGCCGGACAAGTCCAAAGCCAAAACGTGATTCGAACCACAAGCTAATCTAGTGATGTTCTTCAATCCAGGGATGAGCGCAGGTGTTTCTTGGATTCGCGTGTGTTCGCTGAATCCGATGATACCATCAGAACCTCTAAAAGTACCCCAGCCGTAGACCCAACCATCGTCTGTGAGGATGAAAGAGGCAGAGTCGCTAGCCGCAACCTGGGCAATTTTGGTGCCTTCAGGTAGCACACTGAGATCAACTTGTCCAGGGGTGCTTTCTCTAGGGTTAACGCCGGTGTCGTCATCGTCATCATCTGAGTCATCCTCGTCGTCAACGTCGCGAGTACCGCCTTCCCAGAAAGTATCGCGACCGAGCGCTTTGTCATCGTTGACACCCCATGTGAGGATAGTCTGATCATGGGTCAGGGCAACACAGTGCATACCCCCACATGCTATAGCGACAACGCCCTTGAGGTTGTGGTTAATTCGAGGTCGCCTTACGTCGATGGGTTTTTTCCCTTCATATTTCTTACTACCGAGGCCAAGTTCGCCCGATGATCCTTCGCCAAAGACAAAAACGTCTAACTGTTTAGTAGGCACCTCATTAAAAGGTACACCTCTTGCACCAGGCCCTCTCGTACGCGGGCGCGGCGCGACCTTCTTGGGGGCGGTCTTGGGGGCGGCCTTAGGGGCGCTTTCGGTGATCAGGTTAGGTACTGGCTTGGGTTCTTCGGCTTTGAGCTTTCTGATCTTCTTGGGTGCAGCTCGATTACCGCGAGGCTTCTTTTGCTTGGGCGCTTCCTCAGGCTCTTCGTCCTCATCTTGGTCTTCATCTTCGTCCTCGACTTCATCCCTCTTGCGCTTAGAAGCGCGCGATCCACTCGACGTGGAGGCAGATTGGTCGCGTTGGCGAGTAGCCTCGCTATCAAGGTTAAGTTGTCTAAGACGAGCCTTTGCAGTCGCGTTGGTCTTTCCAGAACCACTCTGTGCTGCCGAAGCAATTCGTTTTTGAGCCGGAGCCGCAGCGGCTGCAGCGGGTTTAGTAATACGGGTGACGCGACCAGTAGCCCTCTTTGGTGCACGTCGAGTAGGTTCAGTCTGCTTCTTCGTCTTTTCCTTCACCTCGTCCTGATCATCGTCGCCCTGCTCTTGCTCTTCATTTACATCCTGCTCTTTCTCCTTATCTTCAATCTGTTCCTGTTCCTGCTCTTGTTCTCGCTCTTGAGCCTCATCTTTTTCGCCATCATCGCTTTTGTTGTGGATATTTTGCTTTACCGCACCGCGACCATTTTTGCCCTTAGTAGGCGCTCCCCTAGTCGCAGAAGACCTTTTGCTCAACGGTTTGGTGCCCGATGGCGCCGAAGCGAGTCTTCTCGGAGGCATTGTGTGTCGCGTCTGCGAGTCGCGTAGATACTAGCGCGGAAAATAGTAATAGTACGATAGTAAGAGGAGAGTAAACGATTAGCAGTCTCTATGCGCGACTTCTAAGGACACTGTCGTCAAGAGGTGCGCGATGCTAAATAGTGTAAGGTATGATGTCAAGTGTGAATAAAGTATTGAATAAGGTGTGGAGTGAAATGCTAGTGAGGCGTATGAGGCGTGTGAATGGTCTGAGAGCTTGCTGATGATGGTGCGCAAGTAACGCAACTATCGCGTCTTGCTGACAAGTCAGACAAGACGTGGTGGTCCTGGTGAAATTTTGGAATGTCACAAAACACGAGGACCAGGGTTAGAGTGATAGTCAATGACCGAAAAATAGTATCTCTTCTTTGTTAGATTGGAGAACAATTGGAAAAGAAGTGCTCGAAGTAAAGAAGGGTGAATGTTTTCGGTGATGAATGTGGTGAGATAGAAAGAAAAACGCGGTGGTGGAAATTTTTAGGTGAAAAAGCTGTGCTCAACTGCCCAAGGCCGCATGCAGCAAACTGATGTAACTGTGTATTCACCAAAACAGTTGGAAGTCGCGTTCCGGACCCACAATAGCTTTTAGTGGCTTGGAAGGTACATACAGCTGGAAGCTCCAAACCCAATCAAATTATGGTTCAGGAAAGTCCAAGGCAAGTGCAATCAAGTAGCTTCCTCACCGCCCGGGTACCTAGGCTTCTGTAATCCTTGTAGTCTAAAGATTTGTCCGGCAGAAAAATAATGATAAGGGGAAGGAGCAGGGAAATCACTTTTACCCTTATGTAGTATGTACATGCCAATCAATTTTCATCATGTACCTACTTTACAAACTAAGACAAAAATAAATAAAAATATTAAAAAAAAAAAAAAAAAAAAAAAAAAAAAAATTAAAAAAAAAAAAAAAAAAAAAAGGAGCCAATCATTTCGACCTACATGCGAAAATCAACTAAATATATGGATATACGTATCTCTCATTTCAATGTATTTCAAGTTCGAACCGGTATACAAAGGCATTATTATTTTTTTTTCTTACAGTTAATCGCAGAAACTACATCCAATCATAACTTCAAGCCTCCACAACATAGTCTCTTGCATCCACAAATCTAAATATTTCTGTCGCCGATCCCGCATCATAGAGTCGCTTGTAGAAATGGCAAGGTGGATCTCACAAGCCTTAGATTGAATCACGAAAGATGATTATATTCCTATTACCAGCGACCTAACTCCAAAACTCCAGCGACGATATCCTATCGAAGTTCTTCACATAGCAGTATATGCCACCACCATACCGTTATCATGATTTGCAACCAGTAGCGCCGCCTTGAAATCCGATCCCCTATGGTATTTTTCAGCCTCGTATAACAAGTTATTTCTTCGTAGTAAAGTCGATTTCGTTTGGGTTTGAACCCGAAGTAGCGCGTTCGCAAGTACAGGAGCTAGCAGGGCGAGCACCACATGCGCAAGTGCTACCAGCAACGGGACTGTTCTCATTGGACGCATTCTCGCAAGTACATTGACCGGCAGGGCGAGCTCGGCACGAGCATCGGGCGCCACTTAGAGTATTCTCGAGCGATGCCTTCTCGCACGTGCATTCGAGGGCGGATTTCTGACCGCAGGAACAGGTAGCCTGCTTAGCTGCGAACCGATATGTTAGTTCACTTTCTACTTCGGTTCGTACTCTATGGGGTAGCTTTCGAACTCACCACAGACACACTCGCCCCCAGCGTTCTTGCCGCAGCAGGTAGGTGTTGCCTTCAAAACCTCGGTTGCCATTGTAACGGAATATGTGATGTAGACGAGGTAAGTGTTGGAAGTATGGTTATGAATATGTAGATGATTAAATGTGACTAAGTGTTCTTAGATGATTTGTGCTGAAAAAGCTGTGTCTATTATTTGAAAACTATGGCAGGTAAGTAGGTCTTATATACGTAGTTGATGTTATCTTTGTCGTTAACAATTGCTATCAATATAAGACTGCCACTGACATCACTAGGCGAACTTCGTTGGAGGGATAGGTAATCATATTTACTCTGATTGGTCAACACTTCTTCGGAGTAACACTATCAACCAATGACAGCCTTTGTGATTACTTTCCCTAGGTTCTAGTTCGCCTAGTTGCCCGTGCTCAGGGGAGATCTAGACCGGAGGCTGACTCTAATGAGGCTGAATTTTCCAAACCTCGTCAGTTGGTGATGCTTGGATGGTCTGATTCCACCATCTAGTCGCACTCTACATTACCAACTCATGAATTACACTCTCTATTATTGGTCATCTGTTAGGTTTGCTCTGGTTCTGTTTGCTAATGGGATAAATATCTTTCACTTTTCGCCCCCTACTTAGACTTTCATCGAGAAATAAATAAAAATACCTCTATGTACTAAGTACCTTGGTAAGTTTTTAACATCTAAACCCCCTCATAGTCACGTTATTAGGCATTTTGAAGTGCTAAGGTTATCGTGTTTGTTGATTATAATGTGTTTGTAATTTACATGTCATCAGGAACAGTTGGTATGATATCAGGTTAGTTACATAAAACACACCAACTAAGCTCTTTTTGTTTATGTATAGGTACCTACCTACTCATTGATTTTCCTCATAAAAGAATACTTTGGCCGACCTATTTAGGTGTTGAAATGAAACCACTAGAAGACAAGTTCGCAGGCCGTACCACTATCTACTCCTAAGTTACTTCAAGCAGTCCACCTTGCCAGTAATGCCTAGCGCGAACTTACTTCTACTGATTCATAATATTTCATTCGTCACTTGTTTTATTCAATAGCTGTCATGAGGTAGCCCTAACAAACACGGAAACAACTTGGCAGTTCCATAGGGAGCTCTAGAACCAAGTTACGGAAACTAGTAACTGGTACCTTGGATATACCAAAGCCATCTATTATTCCAGATTTCTCATGTAGAATCTTGACACTAGTGGTGATACAACAAGTAGTAATATTATTGAATATCAACTAAGAAAAAAGTCCACGTCTTAAATTTGACTCATGTGGTACATCAGTACAGTATCAGGTCTAAAAGTAAATGTAAGTGGAAGAATGAATCATGTAAATCCATCGTCCACAACCGATCCTATACATTAATTTAGCGTTGCGGATGAGCGCAAGCTCGTAAATATAAACCTCGGTGTGCAATATAACCAGCTGATTCCCTTGCTCCGGAATATCACATACTATTTGCATATTTCCTAATGTCTAGATCAGGATACTTTAGAATAAATTCATGTAATAAGAACCAGTGACATAGTAATGTATATCTTCGAAAACTAGGCCTAGAGAATTTAATTATATTCGAATGTCTATGAAGTTTCTATCTGTCTTGTAGCACTATTGCTATGCCTTGATTATGATAAACCTGGATTGAAGCATCAGCTAACTGAGTAGACAGATAGATATGCTATACAAGGAAAATTGTTCGAAAGTGAAAGTAATAGACCAAGAATAGGGGGCCAAGCCGAATAACAAGTATAATTACTATCATATATAGCAGGTAGTACAAGCTTGCAAGCAAGCCTCGTTAGGATTTGAGTCAACTCGATTCGAAGGCATGCTGCGCCTATTGAACAATGTTTCAATTATAATAACTAGGACCAAAGTATCATTAGATCCTCATATGCGAAGGGTTAGGAAACCATTGATGCATATGAAATACCTAGGTACCTATACTAGCTCTATTTCGTTATATAAGTGTGACATTATGAGTATTCTAGAGACACCGTCTTTGGGGGCAGAAGCGAGGCAGCGACTGATACCAAGGAACTCGAATTCCCCAAAAGGGTTTCCCGAAAGGAATGCGGGCATTAGTACTAATCGGAGCTGAAGATGCTTAGCTTGAATTTACACGAACTTTTCTATTCATCTCTATGCATCAATCATCGCTTTTAGCTTAGTCAGTTTACGTACGTGAAATTCAGTGCTCATAATTCGTAGGTTGCGTATATTCATATTTGGTTACACCATAGTTCTGCTGCGAGAAAGCGCTTACGCTGTGGTTGATAGGTGATATGTGAGGGGTTCTTCTCCTCAAACGAGATACTTCAAGTGACTATAATAATTGGTTATCTCCGCTTCATTTTGCTAGATTAGCACGAGCAATGACTGGGTGTTGGTGGAACTTAGGCGCTAATCTCGGATCGCCCCCGACGAATCCCACTTATTAGGTAGTTCATTATCATCGCTAAAGAGAGGATCTGTATCGTGGGATACAGCGGTTAATTAACTTCAAGGTAGGGATGAATAGTCAAATGATTGAAACTAGAGTTAAACGCTATGATGATAGATCTGATGATAACTAATGAGAGTACAGTAATTCAAAGTTTTGTAAGAACGTGCTGTAATTAGCTAAATATCACAGAAAAATGAGCCAGTAATGTTGTACATACCTATGCAGTGATTCTATAGGTGCCCGAATTTGCTAGAATAAGTCCGTGAGTCCGTGACAGGTCCCCTCATTTTCCTAATGGCCTCCGGATCCGAATCTATTAGAGACACTCATCTCCAAGTGGTGTGATTGGGGGCTAAGAAGGGATTATGGACGCCACAAGGCTATAGATCTATCTTATCGACAGGATGAGGTTCGCATATAATCAAAGACATACATACAGTCAGTACCAAAGACGTGCATGGGAAGGAATAGCGGTGTCGTAGATTTTCTATACGCCGTTTCTAATAATAAGAATATTCTTTAGAATCTAATCGCGGGCGTTTTCGGTAAGAAACAAAGCAGTGTGACCCTAAAGAAAGTCATTAATATAAATGGAACGGATAAAATTATCAAGATGCAGCCTGGGGTTGCGAGCTGTGCAAAATTTCTGCCTTTTTGGCGTTTCTGTGCTCACCCAACACCAGCTAAGGGAAGGAAAAGAGCGAATAGTCTCGACCAACCCACCAACTCGTATTACATAGTAGTAAATAGTCTCACCGCATAGTAATACCCTGCATAATCCCTGTAAACCACGCTGACCTGCTATCGAACGATTGGACCATTTGCCACACCAAGACCCAAAAGACATACCATAAGTATGTTGCACACATACGATGCGGGAGGATCATAAGGGTAGGTATATCTTTCAGCCCCCATAAATATGATTGATTAACTTGATAACTTGATTAATCTGGTAAACCCAGCCGACTGGTCTTAGATCAGACATAGGCAGATACATACATATTGATAACCGCCAATGCCAATACCAATGCCCTACACTCAAGTGCATGTACCTAATGTATGTACATAGATGACCGATCTTATCCGGCTCTGGAAACAAATACCTACCTAGGTATGTATACCTATTCGATAGTTCTCAAGGCTCATCAATTCGACGGGTTGCATTTGGACAAGGCCGTCACGATTGCATATGCAGGTCAGCCAATCCACCAATGCTACTTGGTGTCTAGGGGCTATGCAAATCCGGTTTTCGTATTGGCTTGGACTAGAAAAGTACGGTGGGTGGGTTCGTAGACACAGAGACTATCCTCTGACATCCCACGATACGCCAACGTCATCGCCCTAAAAAAACTCCTGCTGGGTAAATGTAACTCTAGGTAGGCAATAGAAAGTCGCTAAAAACAACACCATCTTTATCTTCGTATTGTCATATAGCACTGCGTTTCCCGCCGTGCGCTTCTATCGAAATTCTCTTCCTAGTAATGTAATCAATCTTCCATTCACAATTCACAATGAATTGGCACAGGGGATCCACGGTGATCGTAGAGCCTACTCCCGCCAGGTCGGAAGGCCCTGGTAAGAAATTGCGGAGGAAGCTCCAGAAGATCGGCGCCCCTCAGCGTTGGTACAAGCCTAACGACCACAACGACGCCAAGAAGCCGGGTGCCACTATCACCAACGCAGACAACAAAGTGGCTCTATCAACACCTGGTCGCGATGATGGTAAATGGCTCGAGCAGCTCCGTAAGAGCGGATCTCTCTGCCGTGGTCAACCATCTGTACAACCTATCGAGAAGTCGCTGCGACACTCTATGCAAGTCATTCCTGAATTTGCACATCTCGCCATTGATGACACGAAACCGGGAAGACATCTTGATAGGAGGGCCTCATGCGCCATCCCTCCTTCAGCCTCGTCCGTAACGAGAAGATATGCGAAGACACCCGTCCATCACATAGGGCAATTAGAAGGCCGTTCGAGAAGAGAGCAAACGGAGACTCACAGGGTTTCGGGCGTAGAGGAGATCGCGGAATCCTATAGGGCCTTACTGCAGTCGAGTTGCGCGATATTGAACGACACGAACCAAGTTGAACCGTTGCGCCTGGGAGAGTCTTACCGTGCCAGCTTAGACAATCAAGCCGTACGAGAAGATATCACCCATGACTTTCCCGATGCACTGCTTGTGAGGACATCTCCTCGCTCTGATGATGGGACGCTGGTGGCTTCCGAGGTGGATTCGGTCTCCTTTAAACCTTCATTTACACCCGAACTACCATCGCCTCGAGAGATTCGTCATCAAGTACCGGCAATCCCGCCGCGAAGACGAGGAACACCTGGGAGCCCTAGCCTGCAGATCTGTGTTGACCTACTCGGCCAAGAGCTTTCCTCGGCTGCTCGAGGGTCGGCGTTTCGACCAAATGCGGAAACCTCCTCATTACAAGTATGGGTCATGATAGAAGCTTACGAGAGGTTACGAGATAAGATTTCGGATATGCGGCTAGACGAAGACCAGCAACGATCGTTGAATATGATGCTTGACACATGGATTAAAGCGTTATACGCAGTCCATGGTAAGATGACGGGGAACGACGGAAACGAAAGTGAGAGTGACTACGGCGACTAGATGAAAGCCGGTTTTATTTAATACTTCGTCGGGGTTTATTTTTTATATACATCACTTTGTAATGATACAGGCCTGGGTCACGGAGGTCCGAAGATAACGGGTGATGATAAAATGGTGTATAGGAAGATCTGATTTTAACTAAATAGCGGTTTTATATGGTGGGCTGGTCATTTGGTTTTACGAAATGGGTAGGGGAAGGGGAAGAGAATTTGATACCTCTGGGATGACAGAATGGAATGGGCTTGTACAATCAACTTCCGAATGGTTAATGACATTTTGATTACGAAGTTGAAGCTGAACATCTGCTAAGTGCACCTGTAAGTGCATCCATCTGCTGCTAGGGGCCACTACTAAGCACTGTACTAAGCACTGCTAAAGCAGAGCTACCTCTAGGTAGAACCCCACAGTGACGTTTTTACACTCAATAGCACTACTTTAAGCATCTTATCTTATCTAAATGCACTTTTCGGATTACACGCGACTCGACGCGTATATTGAAAGTTTATCGTTATGTTCATTTACATTTATTTGAGGTAATCACCATACATCACTCATTTCTAATTCGTCAACATTTCTCTACGAAAGTAGACATGCCCCTCCTATCTAGTAGCCGCCGGCTACAATCCGGCGCCGAGCGTAATAGAGGCCGACCGAGCATACAATCATCCTCTCGTATCCAACAAGACAACGGTCCTGTCGAGCTGCCGGATTATGAGCCCCTCGCATGCCCCCTCAGTGCCGAAGCTATACGCGCCTTAACCCAATTGTCGACGAACAAGGATACGCGGAAGTACGAGGAACAACTAAACAAGAGCATAGTGCTTCTGAGCGCCAGCGTGCGGGATATCAACGACAAATATGAAGAGAGGAAGGAGAGTCTCAAGAACCTCCAAGAAAAGCGAGCCGGTCGCGAGGAAAAGAATGATCGGGAGAGGGCTGAGGAGAAAGCCGTGTTGGCGCTGAAGAATGACGTACCCACGTTGACAAACGAATGTAACCTCGCCGTCCAGAGCGTTATCGACTTGAAGATAGAGCTCGAGGATAGTAATCTGGGGCTACGGAAGACGGCGCAGAAGGTCGAGGCTGAAGCTACGAATGGGGCCCGAAGACAAAGACGCCGAGGCGACGACGAGGACGACGAGATGGCAGATGTTGATATAACTAGCCCGATTGTATTACTACAGCGAGCTAAGGAGGGGGCGGCCGAGGAATACGCGTCGAAGACTCCCTATGAGAAATACGGTACAAACAACGATTACATCGCCTTTAAACGCATCTGGCATGACGCCATTTACGGGAGAGGCAATAAACCGTTACCAGATGCATCTAAATGGTTTTCGCAGAACGGAGGAGAGGACGAGGCGAGTGAAGACGAGGATCTGATTGTTGCCGAGGAGCACCTTGACATCCACTGTCCCCTGTCCATGGTAGTCATGAAGGATCCGTATACGAGCATAAAGTGCAAGCACACGTTCGAGAAAGACTCAATTATCCAGTTTCTCCAAACCCAACGTGGGCGAGCACGATGTCCACAGACAGGCTGTAATAAGGTATGTATATATATACTCTCGCGAATACATTCTCAACACTACGAACGGAGCTAACTTGATTATAGGAAGTAACAATATCTGATTTCCATCCCGATCCGGTCATGTTGCGCAAGATTAAGCGACAATTGGCCTCGCAGCGCGCGAGTATGGTTGATGATGACGATGACGAGGATGAAGATGGAGGCGAGGGTGAGGGTGAGGGTGAACAGGATGTCGACGATGAGGGCGATTCGCATATGAATGCAACTCCTGGACACAACGTCAAATCGGAACGAGAAGGTCGGGGCAGAGGACAACAATTAATCGATGACCTAATACAGTAGAGGATGAATAAGAAGTATAACTCCCTTGTGAGGTATCCTCCATTTGGTGGGATAATGGGGGTTTTATTAAGACGGGATTGTAGTTCTGACGCCTGAGATAGCTTAAGCTAAGACCAAAACGAACGGGATCCTCATCGTTGGTGAATTATGATATTATGATCTATTCTATGATTTCTTTCTAAACACATGTGACCAGTCTGCCTCTATGTAGGCGCCAATTTGTGCTCTAATCTATACATATCCATCTGTACAGCTCTGACGGCATACGTCACATCTATCCAGCCTGTAAAAGCCCTTGATCTCTCTATTCTATAACTTCGCGCCCTCCCTCCTCTTACGAGCCTTCTCATTATCCTCCTTCAACGGACGCGCCTCATGGCCAACCTGGCCCGAACTCTGATCTCCCGGCGCCGTAGCCGTATCGCTCTTCTTCGGCGCGCTCTTATACCCCTCCTCAGCATTCTCCTCGTTGATGACCTTGCCGCTGGCATCCCGCTTGATGCCCAGCTCGAGCAACTTAGCAAACACGGCAGCGAAGTGCTCGAAGAACAAGTCCTTATCCGCCGCGTACTTCTCAACCCACGGGCGAAACGCCGGGTCCGACAACAGCGCTATATCCGTCGGCAACATCATCAGACCCTCCTCCTTCGTCTTCTCGCCATCCTCCGTCGCGGCGCTCTCGTCGTCCTCCTCGATGTACACAAACTGCGTGACCCCGCTCGGCAGCGTCGTCTTCTTCCAGTCGTTGGCAAGCAGCAGCTTATAGTACTGGTTCGAGAAACGTGTCGGGTTGTTGACCCACTTGCCCTCGAACCCCGAGCGGTCGCCGTGGCACCGGCCGAGGTTATGCGCGCCGGACAGCGCGACGATCTCTTGGTCGGTAAAGCCCATCCGGTGGAAGATAAAGCGCAGGTGCTCGGCGCCCTGCGCGCCGTCGGGGAGCCGGCCCCGCGGCGGGATCTTGCTGTCGTCGGCGAAGTCGGTGCGGCCGCCTTGCCAGGGGATTTCCGGCCCGCCCATCTCTTTGATCGCCACGATGGCGGCGAGCGTCCAGAGGTCTGCGTATGTAATCCATGGGAATTTGGCCTTGAGGGGCTCGAGGAATGCGCGTGCGTGCTGGAGGCCGGCGTTAGCTGGGTCGCCGCCTTCTTTCTCGTAGCGCATCCCGGCGCCGTTCGAACCCCCCGTGTTGGTCTTTGCGCAGTATGTGCCTGATGCGTGCCAGGCAAGTCGCACAAGGACCGGGCCTGCGGATCCGTCGTCGTAATCGGGCTGGTGCAGGAGTTGGCGCACGGCTGCTTTAACCTCGTCGAGTTGTGCCGTCGTGGGCTGCTGGTTATTGTTATCCTGCGCCATGTCTAGTCGAGCTGATAGTCTTAAGTGTAGTTATCTCTATTATAAGGTAGGTATATATAAATCCCTTATAGAATGACTTGTTTACGATTGAACTAGATAGACGTTGGAACCAAACAGTGTTGGTTTGTACATAGGACTCACAATGAGAAAACCGGAGAAAAACTAGATGAAGCCATATCTGACTAGCATGAGCATAACGACCTCGAACTCAACAACCCGAAGCTCGGCGAATCGCCGCTATGGCCGAATTGCGTTAGACTTATTGAGTTAACTGCTGGTGTTATCGTCAGTGATCCACTTCTCCCTTCGTGTCATCGATATTAAAAATGTATATATTGGTCTCTTATAAGTGGTTCCGGTTTATCTGACGCGCTGGTGTTTATTGTAAGTGGAGTCTGGTTCACACCCTTGATGCCGTGCTAAGGGGTGTAGTGACCTGTAGTAAAGAAGACTAGATCGATAGTCTCCAAATAAGACTACAGTCAAGAACACATATGTACTCCAACAAACTTCTTTGTAGCAAGTCAAGTTTATATATCCCAGAGAACTGAAACGAGTTAAAGTATTCGTACGTTCATAGGAATACCAGAACCTTAGTGTTTATACCCCTTGTAGGTACGTAAACGAACCCTTGGCTTCGATTTAGATCAAGGATCAACATGCCAATGATGTATGAGAACACGTATTGGCGTCCTAAGGGGAGATGTTTTGTAATTATATTCATTAGGTATTCAGTGACTATATGTTTCTAATACTAGTATGGTCAACGACAGTAGAGATGGGGGTATCACGTAGAGGAAAACTAAGAAAGTAGGGATCATGGAAATGACTAGATGCCAACTACGCATTCCACGTGCTTCGCATCCGATGGGTTATGCTCCTGATATATGCCTGTTCGATAAAATTAAACATGAATAGGAAACGGGGTTAGTCTTAGAAATGCCTAAATACTAAGCAGAGTTCGTCGATCGCCTCCAGATCATGAAGGCAGCCACAGCCGCGCAAGTTGTCGCCCCGAGAGCAAGATATAAACCTGATCGGTCGGGTGGCGGCTCTTCGCTCTTGGGGAACGCCGTGCTGGGGTTTGTGGCAGCCTCCGCCAAGGCGACGAAGAGCTCGCCAATGCTATTCCACGTTACGCTCACATGGACCGGTGTACTCATCATCAAGTTTGACGTATATTGGTCTGGCTGTAACTCGCTTCGCTGGGTTGTTTTGTCCTTGTCCGCTTTCAAGGCCGTATAGATAGAGGGCAAATCATCGAGTTGCGGAAACCGCTTCCGAAGGCCAACTATATGTGAAAAGGAATCTGGGTCCGACGAATCGTATGCATAGCAAATCAAGTCGCAAGAATCTAGCCTTGCTTGGTTCTCTAGTATAGCAGGTTCAAGCTCCCCGAGCTCTTCTAGAATAAGGTAGCATTGCTTGCCACCCTGAAGCTCCACACTGTTGACAGCTCTTCTAGGCTTGATAGTTGGATGGTATAAGCTATAGAATGGCCGGTTGAGGAACGCATCTAGAAGAGACGATTTGCCAGATTTTGCCGCGCCAATGATGTAGCATAGCACGACGTTCCGTTCAACCCGACCAGGACGTCTTCTCCTCTTCCGGGGTTTCGTTACTTTTAAAGCTGATGTGAGAGATTCCCTAGTATTTTGAGGCTCGAAACCTAGATACGCGAGATATTCTAAAGTGGTCTTAGGTTCAAGGAACGTCGTCATACTCCACTGAGCAAGCCAACCCTGCAGAGTGATATGTCCAGCCTCGTTGCGGACGGTCGTGGATGGAAATGAGGATTCTACCCAGGAGTTAGGTAAGCCGGGGGTGGGAGCGAATAGAGCATCAAGTTCTTGGTCGTTTAAGCCTCCATCATTGTCTTTATCGAAGAGCAAGAAGAGATCCATGAAGAAGCGATAGCCAGCAGGACTCAGCTCGGCGGAGGCGTATTCTGGGACGTCAAGCTTAGGATGAATGAAGTTATCTTCTAAGCTCAAGCTGTCAGTATAATGATATTTCCGTAGAATGACCCATATGGTCTCATGTCGACCTTTTTCGGCATATATCTTGTTTAGTTGCAGGAAGCCCCGCATGTCGACCCCTTTTGTAGTATCCGATCCAGGGACAGTTTTGGCGATGGAAAGCTTAATATTATCGAGGTCCTCGTGAGATAAGGGCTTTTCAAAACACTTCCCTTGGAATTCTTGGATTTCATCGTCATTCAAATAGCCGTCCTGATCCTTATCGCAAAGATAGAATATTCTCTTTAGAGCTGACATGCAAGCAGGTTTTAGATTACCCTCCTTGTAGTCGAAGAGCGGGGCGATAGGATGCGTAACAGCTTTCTGACAGAGGAAGAAGGTTTCGTTGACATTCTGATGCTCTCTGGCGCTTGCTCGTATACAGGAATCGATTTCCCTAAACTCGTTCATGACGGGTAGCATCTCGTCTTCGATAACTTGCGGAGTGGTATTATCGGTGAGGTCGGACTTGTTGGCACATAGGACCACAGGGACGTTTACGCCGAGGGAGCGAAAGTAAGGCATCCAGAAGAGCGCAACCCGCTCATAGCTGTAATGGTCAGAATAGACCAGGAGAATAACGTTGGACTTCCGGATCTCTTTGCGCAGAGTAGTACGATCTTGCGGGCGCGCCGATGTATCAACGATGGTGGTAGTGACATTTTCAGGAGTACCAATACTTGGCGGGATCGTTATCTGAGGTAGAACAGGTTGTATCTTATTGCTCACGAAAACATCTTTAACAAGAGACGCAATGAGACTCGATTTGCCGGTCCCTTCATCGCCGCAGACACAAACACGCACTATATAGAAACGATACTGTTAATCATCTACAGTCGCAACGGGTGGAATTGGGATTGAGGTTGCATACCTATTGCCATACTGGTCAAGAAGCAAGAAATCCAGCAAAATGGAGTTCCGTCGTTACGATGCCATTCGTCACAAAGCTACCCGGAATAATCTACGGCGAGGATCTTGAAGGTGATTTGGATACTGAAGAGCAAGAACTGGAGCTTATTAGAGAATAGTAGAGGATATCCTAGCTTACTACGCAGCAGTCAAGAGGCGTAAGTGTTGGATTGTTCTCTGTTTCGCGAACAGGAGAGAAGATTGCTAAAGTGGATTGATCGTATTTGGACCCTATTCGGCACGGATCTATGTTAGGTTGTGGAATGTGGAATGAATGGGTTCGATGAAATCGAGTGGATGCGAATGCTACGTATTCTGGTTCAACTTTTTGAAATGACGATTATCCGATTGATTAGACAGGGTACGTACCTATATAAAGTTATGTACCTTACGTACAATAGATCCACGATATCTTTATGAGGTTATTATGTAAGTACGATAGTGGACAACTTGAGATTATTATAGCCAAGCCCAATAGGCTCTTATTGAAGATAATTATCTTATCTACCTAAATATCTATAAATCAAGTTCAAATTTATTCATTCTGCCAAAATGTAAAGACGATTGCTCAAGTTGATAATTGATATGATATATCCTAGACGAATATCACCTATATAACTTCTTCTATTACAGGAGGGGATGCAGCCTTGAAAGAGGTACATATTGATTTGCCCGTGCAGCCGTGGACATCTGCAAGTCCCTCCGCTAAGACCCGACTCCCGACTCCCGAAAAACGGGTTAAGCATATGTGCACTTGCCGTCGACGACAGATTGATGCTTCTATTCTGGACACATACGTTACTTCTTTTATATTTTGTACAAAAACACGCAAGTTACGTAGCTAGCACCTGCTCGGGGTAGTTCAAGTTTTACTTCCCCTCATCAAAACCCAAATTCCCCCATGATCCCGAATACCTAGTCTTGATAAGTACTTCGATTACCCCACATCAACTTCCCGAACGACGCAATACCCCTGCTCAACTTGGATAGCCTGACCCTGAAGCTTCCCAACATGGGAGTTGTTCCTGTCGATTCGAGAATGCGCAACTTCACATTCTTCTTCGCATACCATAGCATCTTATTGCGCTACTTTCCAACTTGATTATTAAAAGAAAATCTTGCTTCAATACATCTTCCAGTTTCACATTAGACATGCTCACATAGGCGTTATATATAATTTGGTGTAGCTTACGTCCGTCCTAAGTCGACTCAACGATTACCCCAATCTTGCTTCTGGCTTTTGAACAATTCAGCAACGACCACTCATACTAGACCTCGCAATTCAAATTATACGGAATACATAGCGCTTTATTGCTATACTCGCATAATCGAATAGTCTTCCAATTGGTGTTCGGTAAACCCTCGTCATGTTGTAAGCCCTTCTCGTCTCGTATAGACTATGTTATGTTCCTCCGCTACTATAGTACTCAGACAGCTAACGACTTCATATCTTCTCACGAAAATAGTGTGCTACCGCCTCCGCCTAGGTATCCTACGCAGGCAGCGTATAATGCCGCTGTTGCTGCTGGCCATGCCACCCCCATGATCGAGACGAATAATATATTATCCAACCCCGAAGACCAATTCATAGCTGGAGAGGGTATGCTAATTTATGAAATATTGTGTATGAAGCCAACGCTGAGGCTATGATATAGGAACATACGTGCTTAAAGAAGATCTTCTCCTTGCGACACCACCACCCCACCCGTCGGAAGCCCCAGTTGTTAACCCCAACCCGTTAGCAACGACACCACAACCAGCTACAACTGGGACCAAGATCTCTCTCCTCAGTTTAGAATCTCGAACACCACCTCCGGCTCTCTTTAAGCTAACCCCGACAACAACTACGCTATCGCCGAGCATCGCCGAACACCCGAGTGAAGGACGCTATTCCAACGACGCGAAGCTAAGTAGTGATGGCGAGGGAAGGGGCACATCTATAAGTGATGGGGGACCGTCAACATCAGCTACGGCAATTTCGGCGCCAGCGTTCGGCGATGGCAATGCTCTACTCGTGCCGGAAAGGACTAAGGACCCCAATAAGCGACGCAAACCCAAGAATAACATGACTAAGAGTAATTCGTCCTTCATCTCGCGGGTTATCATTAATGAGGCTTTCTCGAAAAAGCTAGCTGACCGGCCAAGCGATGGATTGTTTGCTTTCGCCAACATCAACCGGGCTTTTCAGTGGCTCGATCTGTCGTCTCCTACGAAGGCTGATTACCTAACTAAGATTTTATTTACAAAAGCGCATTGCCTAAGTCATGATGTTAACCTGGTTACGAAGAATTCAAGTCACATTGATATCATCATGGGCTTCTCAACAGGCGAAATCATATGGTGGGAGCCTATATCTCAGCGATATACAAGACTGAATAAGAATGTAAGAGCTTTGGTCTTGTCTGCGGAAAGTTTAATTAATGAATTATAGGGTGTTATCAACAAGACGCCGGTCTCCCAAATCCGTTGGATCCCCGGAGCAGAAAATCTATTTCTCGCGGCGCATATGGATGGATCCTTAGTCGTCTATGACAAAGAGAAAGAGGATGCGATTTTTAACCCTGATGAGGAGGAGACCAAGTCTAATGGAGAGATCTCGACTCCTAAAGTTGTGAACCATTACAAAGTGATCAATGTGTTGAAGTCGGTGCATTCCAAAAACCAGAAGAGTAACCCTGTAGCCGTTTGGAAATTGTCCAACCAGCGGATTAACGCCTTCGAATTTTCTCCTGATAACCGCCACCTCGCGGTTGTATCGGAGGATGGCACAATGCGTATCATTGACTATCTCAAGGAAGAGTGGGTGATAAGAACATCAACCCCTCAAAATCTTGACGAAATGATTTGCTAACAACGTTGTAGGCTTCTTGGGTTGTATAATTCGTATTATGGCGGGTTTACATGCGTATGTTGGTCGCCGGACGGAAAGTATGTCCTGACTGGAGGGCAAGACGATCTGATCTCGATCTGGTGTCCCTCAGAAACGTCACTCATAGCGCGGTGTCAAGGTCATCAGTCATGGGTTACATCTGTTGCGTTTGATCCCTGGAGATGTGATGAGCGAAACTATCGCTTTGGCAGCGTCGGTGAAGACTGCCGGTTATGCCTTTGGGATTTTAATGTCGGGATGTTGCACAAACCGAAGGCGGTGCGTCTCTTACCATAAGGTGTTACAAGTTAACTTGCTAACATAGTCACAGACGGCGAGCCGGCAGCGCGGTTCTATCTCTTCTCGACTCCCCATATTGCAGCGTGCTGAGACTCAGGGCACATCGACCAGTAGGTTACGGTCAGATTCTATTGTCTCAGGAGTAGACTCAGAGGAAAACACGATTGATCATCCCGTTGAGCCACGATCAAGAACCGCGATACTCCCACCAGTATTGACCAAGCTAGCGGACAAGCATCCATTAAGCTGGATAGAGTTCACCGAAGAGGCTATTGTGACGAGCTGTAAGACGGGTAAGTGCAGCTACCATAGCGAAACCGATGCCAAACGCATATTGACGGAATTTGTTTTAGGTCACATCAGAACTTGGAGTCGACCAGCGGACTCCATAGCTCAAACAGATTTGTGATATATCAAGAAAAGAATATTACTACTGTGGTAAGCTCCGCTTGAAAGCAAAACCTAGCCAATATTTGGCATCTGTATTCGTTTAATCAAACGATTGCAAGTGCAAGTGGCGGTTTCGAAGCGGGAACGCGCATTGCTGTTAGTCACAAACGAGCGCGATTTTGTATTATCAAGGAAAAAAAAACTTCAGACTGCATATGGGGCGATGTTACGATAGGAGCCACCAACAAAACGTCAAAATCTGCATCCTGCCGCCTCCCGCTCGGAAGATTCGTCCGGTGGCTTTTCGGTGTAAGTGTGGGACCCCGGCAGTTCTCAAACAGTGAGTGGATAGGAGATTAAGGTAGTCAGGTCAAGTCTACTGCATAGCTATATAGGTATGATACGCATGAAATCGGCGGCGAAGTTTAATTCTCGTGAAGAGGAAGGGAAAAGAAATGAAATGAAAAAAAGGAGGTCTGTGTTGTGATTGCTACGGTGCAGTACGACTACAAGTCGATACGCGAGAGGAGAGATCTACAGTGTGACGGGATGACCAGATCCGGAAAGCCGCTGTGCGTATCATCACAGATGTCAGGAATGCATTTTTATATGAGGCTCCTACACTACGCACATAACATTATTATATATCATATGCAAGGAGTGAGCAACATTTAAGGCATGTGAAAGGCGTTTGGTTTTATTATCAAATCCTCATTTGTCTTCTTATCTTCGTATCTTCGTCATCAGCCAACCAAGTCAAGTTCAGCTAAACTTGCTAGCATAGCATACCTACGTAGCATGTAGTATGTAGCTCGTGCAGGGAGAGGTGGAGATGGTTGGGCCAGGGCCTTTGACACGGCGCGCAAGCAGCCCGGGACCGGCGCACCTCCTTTCTGCGCGGCGCCCGCGTCTAGACCGCGCCTAAAAGAGCCTCAACAAGGTTTTGCATCATTCGGCCCTTCAAATCCCAGTCCCGGCAGACCGTGAACTAGGTAATTCTTCTCTACTACTGGTAGGGCTAACAGATGAACCGGAAACACAGCGGCTGAGGTTTAGTCCTGAAACGGGTAATCCGTCGATAACGGCGAGAAGACTATGTTGCGCACGGATAGATGGCCATTGATATGGTCTTGTTTTTATCTCCTAGTCTCTTATAATTCAGGCACAGCACAGCAATGGGGTGGGATTTAAGTAGGTAAATGCTATGTGCCCCCCACGTGGTATCGAAGGATGTTTGAGAATATCTACCTAAAAAACCAGGAAGATTTTAAAGTTACCCACGCAGGCAGCAGGCCACGGTAAGCCTCCTGCGTTGATGAGACTGTGATCCACTTAGTCGCCATAGGGCTCAGCATTAGCTTGGCCCGCCAGCCCGCCTGGGCACTTTAAAAGATTCGCGTTGGGTATTTTGTTAGTGTGATAGCTTCGTCCGTGGCTCCATTGTATTTGATCGGGAAAAACCGTGTCGAACCTCTCTAGGAGCTACTACCGACGTAGATTAACGGAACGGGTCCCTTGCTTAAAAAACAATGAAACCAAGACCCAACAAAAATTATGATCCACGATGCTGAAAATAGCCTCCATAGTCCAGCCTCTTTATCGTGAGTAATCAATGACACCTTCATCGTACGTATTTCATATAACAGGGTTGGGCAGGGCCCCGCTCATCTTGAGCGAGATACTCTCATCAAACCTAGCGGGATATATGGAATATCCCGTGTGATATAATACGCGTAACAACACCAGAACATAAAGCATAGATAAGGTTCAGCCCTTGTGAAATCGAAGAGCATTACCTGGTAGAGAGCCTTTGTTGTCGTCAGCCGACGTCCTCTTGATAGTTAAATACTAGCTCAGCCATGCACATATGTAGGTAGGTACCTAGCAAACTAGCTAAAGCTGTAAGAACCTGATCAAGAAGAGTGACCCCCCACCACCTAAGTAGGGTTGATAGGGTTGGCACTATATACTTAAACGTAGATATGCGCTGTTGCTGAGTACCACCGATACGCTGAGATCTTCGGTGCTTGCTTGGCTTTGGTCTTTCACCTAGTAAGATCTAAGGCGGGACGTTGGAATGCAAACGGATTGACTGAATACCTTTTACCAGCTTGGTAAATTGGTAATACAGGTACTATACCTTTGTACATCATACATACCTTAGGTATGCTGCGATATATGTATTGGTAGTGTCTGACGTTAACAAGAGCCAAGCTTTGTCTAGTGTTAAGTTAAGTCTTGTCCTAGCTAAATTCGAGGGATTAGATCTCTAGCTCTAGATTTAGCTTTGAGATTATTAGTTTGTTAAGTATTAGTCGTCAACCGATTACGGCTCGATCCTCCGTAGTTGGCTGCATAGGCCGAATCACTGCGCAAGTCGATAGATAATAGACGACCAATACATAAATAGGAGAGCTTAGGTGAGACGCGAAATATAAGTGGTAGAAATTGATGCCGTAGTAGCTTAATCCGGAGATCAGTCAGAGCCGGGGCAGTGGTTAACGACCTCGGTAGCTGTTATGCTGATTGCTTCGGTTTAGCGGTTGTTTGTTTGGCCGAATGCGATGCTGGTAAGACCCGGAAAGCGTCAGGGTAATAACGAAATGTCAAAAGGCAAAAAAACAGCCTCCAGGAACCATGCATACAAGGTCGCAGTCTGCTGAACCAATCGAGCTTGGCGCATGGATCCGCAATTATCTGATCATGTCAGGAATAAGCCACCCGCAACCAGATATAGAACGATCTAGAGAGATCGTGATCCTCATGAGGCGGTGACTTTTATCGGTATTCACCGCCAAGCCAAATAACGGATCTAGCACTGAGATGCCGAATCGGAGTTCCCCCCCCACGGAAATTCGTGGATAATTCGGGAGACGCACCCTTAGGGATGTAAATGAATTCCTTCCTATTTAGAAAGCTTCCATTGCTGACGTTTGTTTGTGAGCGGCGACTAATATTCAATATTCCTTTCGTACAATAGTTGTACGGCAGGTCAGCTTCGCTCTTGGGCGCAAGTCTAGGCTGGAGATATTGGAGGTGACATGCATGCTGGCTGCTGCAATAAGAGACGCGGAGAGCCTGGAGCTGAGGTGGAAAATTATATCAAAGGGGAACACATATGCGGGTGTTGCAGACGAACGAACGCAACTCCGCACGGCACAACACACCATGATGCGGTCATTCCTGGTGATTAAGAAAGGCCTCGGTCCTTGAATAGAATACGTACACGTGGAGATTCCTAGGATTTCTGTTATCAAGATACTTACCCAGATAACTAACACGAAGGGATCAGGTTGACCCAACAGGTAGGAGAGATAAGTCCGACTTTCGTTATGTAGAATTGGAATCGCAGCAGAGATGGACAATTAAATATATGTAGGTGATGATGATGATGATATTGCAACACACTTAATATAATTGTGGCTTTGGTGACGATCATTCCACCCTCCCCCAGACATGGAATAGCGAATACATAAGCTGAATTAGGTTCATAGGTTCATAGGTTCACAAGTTTATACTTGTTTAAATCCATGTAGGTAACGGTCCGTTGAATACATAATCGTCAAGTTTGTTCTTACCCTATCAAATTTATCAAACCTTCCACCGCGTGACTCGCACACCACGAAACGATTTTAAGTATGTATGCACCTTACATGTATGCACATGTACAATGTATCATGTAGCAAGCGGCGTGCTCCACCCTGTAAGTGCGACCGGCCGATATCAGGTTCTAAAAAGCCCCACCTGACTAGGGGACCAGCACACCAAAAAATCTGATGGTGGTTACCCCCTTTGAAAAAAATCGAGACGAGAAAAATAAGGAACAAATGACATTAAAAAGGTGAAGGTGCTAGGAGATGATACACAGCCGCCTCAAAGGTGGGTTCCTTCTTCGCTTCCACCATAACGGCCCATGCTTCCATGATCCATTACACTGCATGTATCTATGTATTTATTTTCTCTACTTCCCTTTCATGATCTACCACAAGCGTAGATCCCGGCCGGCTATCACCGTCTCTAACCCAGCCGATCCAAGTTCCAGCCAAGTTCCATTTTTGCCCCTGGCAATCGGGCAATCGTAGGTTCAAGGTTGCTTGAGACCCTCTTGACCCTCTTGACCCTCTAACCCTTACGAAGTCTCTTGACTGGTTGGTATGTAACGCTGGGCATGAGAGAGAGGGAAAAACCTGCCCACGAGCTAGAAAAATGGGACGAGTTTCCCGACGGCGGCGGCGGAATTATCCTCTCTGTTTTCTGCTAGGTTACTGCTGGTTAACTGCTGGCTGCTGAGTGACTTACAATTTGGTTCCCGTCGCTAAAAACCGTTGTAATTTCTAGTCCCTCCCGTCCTGTCTATTCCTATTTGATCAGACCTGACCCATCCTCAAAGAAGAAAAAAAAAAACGCCGATATCAAGGGACTTGATATAACTAAAAGTAGTAGTACCCACACGCTAGGAATCTCTCTCGTATCTTTGTGTCATACATGACCCTGCGAGCTGTTCCACGCTCTTTGTAACTGCTAAGGACGCTAAAAACAGCTTGTCTATTGTTTCGATTTATATACTTCTTTAATAATCCTGACTCCTCCCACTACATATTTCTCAGGTTCAACTCATGACCAATCTTCACCACTTACCGTTCACATTTCGTGGACGAAATCCTTTGGCTACTTTTCCGCCAAGTGCGGGCGTCACTTCCAAAGCAATAATACATGCTGTCGAATCTGCCGAATTAAAAATGCCTTCTTTTAACCCTTTTACCTCGGTAGCTAGTCGGAATGTCTGTACCTTGTTTGAGATACGGTAAGCTGAGCAGTTGACACAAACTAAAGCTACTCGACAACATCTTACTGAGAATTGGCCGCAGTCTCGAGAACGATTTTATCGTCTTTCGTGGAAACGAGCATGAAGCTTCCGGTCAGCTATTAAAGGGCGTCTTGGTCTTGTGCTTAAGAGAACCCTTGAAGGTCGAAGATGTTCACTTGCGGTTGATGGGTAGCTGCCGTGTGGCTTGGGTCGACGGAAAACAGACACCATCCGGTATACATAATCAGAAAATGGATAGGACAACCACAATTCTAAGACATACTTGGCCGCCTTTCGTGGGTGAGACGACGCATCACAACACTTTAGCCCCCGGAAATTATGAGTGGCCGTTCGAGTTTCTACTACCGGGAGACACCGCCGAGAGCGTCGAGGGGCTCTACCAAACTGGCATTACCTATGTTTTAAAAGCCACTATCTCAAGAGGAAAGTTGGCTAAGAATGTACACGCCTTTAAACGATTTCGAATTATTCGAACCCTGGAACCTGCAGCCCTCGAATTCAACCACGCTATGAGCGTAGAAAACATATGGCCAAACAAGATCGAGTATTCCGTGGTCGTTCCGCAAAAAGCCGTTGTCTTCGGTACCAATATCCCTCTGGAGATGCGGTTTACTCCTCTCCTAAAAGGGTTAGAAATGGGCGTCATTACGGTTAAACTTATTGAAATCCAGGAATTCAGCGTGCAAAACTACCAAGCTCCAACTAGATCATACAAGCACGACCGTGATGTTACCTCATGGAATCTCGAAGTCACCCGTGATCAGCATTGGCACGACAACATCGAAGAAACTGGTCAAGAAGGATGGGTTGTTAACAGGGAATTACCCCTACCCAAGAGGTTAAGCAAGTGCATCCAAGACTGCTCAGTTCACGGCATTAAGATTCGACACAAGCTCAAGCTCACAGTTGGACTACAAAATCCTGATGGTCATATTTCTGAGGTATGATTTACGCATATCTCCGATGTTCGAGAATTTGGTACTAACAATGGCGCGAATAGCTTCGGGCATCATTACCGATAACTATATTTATCTCGCCAAATATGCCTTTAGACGAAGAAGGCAATCTCGTTTCGCAGGCGCCTGAAACTCCCGGTGAAGTAAATGAAAGCGACGCTTCAGTGATGGCTCCCCCGGGCTACGGAATGCACGTACTAGATCAGCTGTACGAAGACGTTGATCTAAGCGGGATCATGACCCCTGGGATCCACAGCGGCCTTAACAGTCCGTTCTACGCACAGTCCCGGGCAGGTTCGACAGAAAATCTAGCAGCTATGGCGCATGCTATTGCAGTCCCGCCTGCGGTTTTGTCTTCTAGGTTGCAGAACGTCTCTCTTGACGAATCTCGGAGGAACGAGTCTTTCATCTCAACCGGATCTGGGTCAGGAGCGACAACTCCATTCAACCACCCGCATGATAGCGAGCACACTGGGGATTCATCGCAGGTACATTCAACACAGCTGTCGCGACAGACAAGCGAGGAGGATCATCCGAATCATGCAGGGGGTCACCATACTCCGCCTGAGCATACTGAATTTTTGGACATGGAGGAGCTGAGCAAGGTGCCAAGCTATGCAACGGCAACGAGAGCACCGCTGCCAAGGACGCAAAGCTACACGGGCTCCATCAACCTTCCGGATTACCAGACCGCAACGAGTGCGCCGGGTTCTCCAACGCGAATAGTATTGAACGACCCCATGGCAACTATGGCAACCATTGTGGAGGGCCCACAAGCCGAAGTTACAGTATTAAGCACCCGATCGAGAAGCACATCGAGGAGTAGGCAGACCAATCGGCATTCGATAGGAGGATTCAGTTTTTTCCCCAGTCACACATCTGTAGGCGGCACCGATGGCGAGCGACGACTACGACTCATCCAAGGCAGAAGTGGCTAGATAATTGCCACGACGGTCTTCTGCAACTGCTACTTTACCATTTGGGATTGCTCCCCAATCTAAGCATTTCTATGGGCTACCAAAGTCATTTAAGCGTAATGTTTATTGGTTTCTCTCGTGGTTAGGCGTTTTAATGGCTCAGGGGATATCCACATGTACCATGGTTCGCAGGAAGGTTGGTTTCATCGGGACGGGCCATACTTGCATTGAGCGGCGAAATGGCATCTTGTTGCGGACTCTGAACAAGGAATTGAATTGGTTGGTTTTTTTTTTGTGGAGGCACATATCTAAGAATTGCTATATACCCATCGTGTTGCTTTTACTATTGGCATTTACATAGACACCAAGAGACTCGGCGTTAGGAGGCAATGTCACTCTCCAATCCCTCAGTTCGGCAAGTTGGAGACCGAAACTGAATAATAAAAGAAAACTTTTTTTTTCTATATCTTCATCACGGATAATTGCGGTTGTGTGTTTGCATAATGTATGGAGCGTTGCATGCTCATGTTGTATCAAGTATAAATAAAAAAGTAAAAAAAAATCTCGCTTGCTACCTTATGTCCTGGGGTTGTGTGGAGGATATGATACCTCCTCTGGTACTCGCTTGTGGAATACGACATTTGTCTATCCCGAACCCTCGGTCTGTCCGTAACCGGAATTATCGCACTCACGAATGCTAGGTTTGGCTATAAGTCCCGTCGGTGTTTGCGATCTGCGGGAATTATCTTCAGTCACAGCCGCAATCTATAGGATTTTGAAAATTCTGTCGCATTAGCAGAGCTTGACCTAGCTCCTCCTATGGGCTTCGTCCAGTTGAATGATGCAACGTTTTCAACAAGTTTCGTGATAGATACCTTAGGTAGAGATAGATAGGTTAGGTACTTGATCACACGCAATATTATGTACATATAGAATTACTTGCAGACTGGACGACCTGATTTTATTAACTTCTTCAATGCTTACGTACATAGCGCGCAGATGATGTCATTCTTCCACAGGTCCTTTCCCTATGAAGAGGAAGTGTCAGTCGCGAACTTGATGCTGTGTAATTATCGCATTATTTAATTGGTTTAAGCTGTTAGACCGAGACTAATACAATGACCTAAATCACCCTTTTCTCTCAGCTACCTTATGTATTTAACCCGTTCGGGCTAAGAAAGAGGTACTAGCTTCTTATCTTAGAGCTTGAGTGGTCTGATATCGCTGATATCACTGATATCAATCATCGATTATCACCGTCATATCAGATTCGAATGTGCCCACTGCCAGGGTTTGATGGAAGCTCATTGATCGGCGCAGGGGTTCGTCCTCCGCGAATTTCGCATCACCATTCCAACTCGACTATTCCCCCCAATTTGCCCAATTGTGCCCTCGACATTACTTGATTTACCTAGAACTTGAGAATTATCAGAAATAATACCATCGCGTCAACTTGAAGCCTATAATAACACTATTACTACTATTGCGAAAGAATAGCCGACAACCTTCGATTAAGTATTCGATTAAGTATTCGATCCAATCCTGCTCGACACACCGCAACATAACGCAGCATTATACCGAACCGACGAAACATCGAAATCTAGTACATATATAATATCAAAAGTTTCTACATAATGAGCGTCGACAGTCATACGCTTCCTGTGAGGCAGGCTACTACTCTCAGCGAAGAAGCCGTACCGGGTATCGACCCTACTACGGTGAGTCGCATTCAAGATCCCCCTATTTCTCTCTCCTTTGCTAACCCGAATACGTTATCCTTAGACGGCCGGCTTACTTTCCGAAAGACTTCAGGCCTGGAAACATGCCGTGGGATATTTAGAAGAATATGTTGGAGCTGTCGAGAAAGTCCACAAAGCGCATGCCAAGGAGTATGAGAAGGTTCTTAAGACGATTTCTCACCCGTTAAGAGAGGGGGCACACTTCGACCAGGGTCTTGGCGGTGTTGCGGGTTTCTTCGAAAACATGCGAGTTAATACTCAGGTGAGATTTATATCTTGTTCTGCCCTTATTCCAATCGGTGCCTAATGTGTAAAGGCTATGATCAATTCAAACGCGGAGACCGAGAAGACCCTCAAGGGGTCTGTCCTACCAATTCTCGAACGACTACATAAAGAAATTAAGGCAAAGCATAAGGAGGTATCTCATGGGGTTGAGAAGAGCGCAAAGGAAATCGAGAAGGCTAGGAATACTACCCAGAAGCATATCGAGCTTCTTGGCCAGCAGGCCGCAGCTTTCGAGTCGACAGGCGGTAAATTAACACCTACCGACGACCCTTATGTTATTCGGCGCGGTGTCCTTCACAGACTGAACAAGCAGGTTATCGAAGAAAATAACCACAGAAACGATCTTATTAGCATACAGGATGGTTTCAAGGCTTTTGAGGCTCATGTGATACAAATAGTCCAACAAGCAATGGATGCTCTCAATCAGGTCGCCGGTGGGCAGGCTGAAAAGATGAGGGCGCTCTACGTTGACATGCTGGGCGCGGCGCAACAAATTCCGCCTGACTTTGAGTGGAACGGTTTCAATGTTCGTGAGGGCCACCGACTGGTCGATCCGAAGGACTCTCCTCGAAGTGTGGATGCAATTGTTTTCCCCAATCAGGATCACAACTCAACTAAGCCACTCATCGAGGGTAGCTTAGAGCGCAAGTCGCGAAACAAGCTGTCGTGGGGTACGCAATCGGGGTATTATGTTGTAACCCCTTCCAAGTACTTGCATGAGTTTAAAGACGATGATAACTTACGACATGACCCGAAACCGGAAGTTTCCATCTTCCTCCCAGACGCTGTAATCAGTGCTCCTACAGGTGAAAAATTCCTCATCAAAGGAAAGGATAAGGGCGGGAGCTTTAGCAGCAAACTCGCCGGCACATCAGAATTTCATTTCATAGCTCACTCGGCTGCCGAGGCTCAGAAATGGTTTGATGCAATTCGTGTCGCGGCCGGCGCAACAGGCGCAGCTTATGAAAGCCATACACCATCACCGAACGCTAGCCTTCCGGGCTCTGTCAGCGAAAAATCAAAACTCGAGAAGATTGATCCGAATGCGCATAAAGAACAGGACGCAGGTATTACAGGTGGTGAGACCGTCAGTAGCCCTACAGCTATATCGCCTACCGTTACCCGACAAAACACTATCAAGAGCGATACGGATAAGAAGGCATCTGCCTAGTGACACAGATTGCCTGTCGTGCCAAGTTAAAGGAAATCGAGTACCCTTTGTGGTTGAGATGAGGGAATTATGAACTGTGTGCCAAGGGAGCCTCAGCTTCATAAAGCCTTGCTAATGCTAAGGATAACTGTGGAAGGGCATTGCCCTAGGCTTTTACAACTTTTAGGGAAATTCTGAGGAAACGTCATCGTGGGGCGCGGCGATGCGGCTTAAAGCGCGAACTCGATGTAATGAAGAACAAGGACAAATCAAAAGATACCTGAGAGGCGGGGTGCCTGAAAATGTGACCGAAACAAGTATGCGTCAGCAATCGAGACCGAAATGGTATCGCTTGCAGGTAGAAGGATGAGGTGGTATTATATCTTCTTAATGTGGCTTTTTCGATATATTACTTACGATTATCAATATTAATGACTCCCATTTTAAATTGTCTATTTTATAGACCCTTAAAGCAGAGACCATTCTAGTGGCCCCGCGATATACATAAGATCAAGCTCACTACTGGATTACAGATTACCGTCTCTCGTGTGAGATTTCGGGAGTAACTTTCAGATCTTGAGGCACTTAATAATACTGATAACTAAGAAGCCACCGGACGCTGTTTTTCATGATCCTGGCGCGGTGTAAGCGCTAAGATGAGGATTCCACGATTTCGGGGAGATAATGCGCACGCCTCGTTTCTAAGATGGTTCAGGTTCGATTGTAGGATAGGTATGATATGATATTCGTCATCGCCTAGAATAAAGTAGAAGACGATTTCTTTTTTACATGCTATGTATCTTAGTTAACTGAGTTAAGAGGTAAGTACTCAACATCTTACTTTGGAGCTGGGTTTCAACAGCCGCCCAACGAGCAGGCGACCCTATTAATAGTAAGGTACTTAAGATAGGCCGACTGCAAACAGCCATGTAGCACACACTGCAGGGTAGCGTAACCTCATTTGGTGATTGTTGACGCCTTTGATTGTTTAGCGTGGGTGGGAACTATCAGCCTCGGGTGAGGAGCACATTTACTATCGAGGTGAGTCTGATGTGTGGTCGTGGGGGTTGATGATGATGAGTTACCTAGGTACTTACCTGTGGATCGTTAAAGATATTTAAATGAAGGTATCATGAATATAATTTGGTAATAGTTGCATTCCACTCTTTAAGATCGGCTCTTTTTTAAATAATCGGGATCTTACATGACTGCCTTACCATATCATCATGCAATATCAGTATCTTCCGCCACGACGATGGCGCTAGAGAAGCAGGCTCTGATGTGGCTGTATCCTACACAGAAGTGTGGTTGTTTTTTTTTTGACTCGCTAATTCTTCCCCAGATCTGCAAGGACAAGCAGCCATGTTTGGCAGAACGGGCTGTTTCCCCCCCAGTCCTATTAGGTACTTGTCTTTACGGCAAGGCTTTGAGCTGGGGTGTTCGTACTATATGGCCTAGTAGCGTCATAATAAGCCTCTTAATCCAGCCCATCCACCAGCCTAGGGCAGCGCAGAATCTCGGACTTAGAAGAAGAAGGCAACGGGGAGGAATAGACAGCCCGTAGCCTGCCTCTTCTCAGGGTGTTTTTTTGTTGCTGTTCTATGCCTAACCTGTAGGCAAATATACCCTTCTGTCTAGCTCATCTACCCTTCGCCAGTGACAAGCCCCCTCCCTTTCCCAAAAGAATCATTCCAAGCTCCCCGCACATGCGCGAGAGGACTTGGTTCGGTGAGGCTCTGACTTTACTTCTCTACTTCTCTACTCTCGCCCATATCCAGAGAGCTATGAGGACTAACTTATGCCCTCCGTGGGCACCCATAATCAACACCACCCCTCCCGTTTCCCCTGACCCTAACCTACTTCTTTTGCCTCCTCCTTAGATTAGACTTCGTCGGAGAATAATGACTTACACTTGGACCTTACTATGAGACTCTTGCCACGATAAGATAATCGCGAAAATGACGAAGCCGTGGGATGTATATGAAGCTACGATTAAGGATCTCTACGCCGACAACACGCTTTCCGTCGTGCGGCAGATCATGATCGACCAGTACGGGTTCAGAGCCTCGTGAGAATCAACTCCTTTTTTCTTTCTTTCTTGTTTCGTTCCTTGCCCATTTCCGCGCTTCCCCCCTTTTTTCACTCTCCCTCATTTCCTTTTCCTTATCCGGCATATCAATTATCTTTAGCACATCACATATACCTACCCAACCTAAGATAAATACCTACCTGCCTTACATCGCACAGGCCAAAGAAATAGAAGCGTGCTAAGACCGAGGGGATCTTCCCCCCCCGTAATAATAGTGTCAGAGCGTATAGGGGCCGTCTGATCCGCTGGGGCGTCCGCAAGTACAATTGCCGGAAGCGCGTCTCGCCGAGCGTGAGCAACAGCAGCGCCGATGAGGGGAGTAGTTTCACGAGTGGCTCGGACACGGCCTCTCCGATTATGGCTGCTGCTACTACTACCATCGGTGATACGAGGGCGATACTCCCTCGCGTTATGATGAAACAAGGAGACGCCGACGGCCACCTCGCCATGCCGGTGCGGATGAACCAGCAGTACGACCAGAGCCACCAACACCAAGTTTTCAGTACCGACAAGTAGGTCTTCCCAAGACCTAGACGGTACCCTGCAGCCCTCTCTTCAGACTTGTACTAACTGCCCCTTTTCGCTCCCCCCTTAACAGTTCCTTCGACTCCAAGCCTAGAGCCTTCCATCCAGCACCGCAACATAACAACAACGGCAACAGTAACGGCAGCATGCAGTACGGATGGGACACAACCCTCCTCAAGAAAGACCCCGACGCCACAGACCTCGACGACTTCGCCAACAGCCAGCAAAGCGAGGCCCTCGCACCGCCATCATCGTACTTCGGCGGCCTAACCGCATCGATGATGCAGTCCGGAAACGGAAATAACAAACCCCCCTACGGCGCCGGATACGGAGCATCGACACCCGCCCAACACCACCAGCATCACCGGAACACGGGCAGTGGTAGCTTGAATTACTACAACTCGTTACCATCACAGCAGCAGCAAGTCCGTAATGGCGTCGTTACCGCGAACCAGGTCCCGCCGGATATGTCGTTTGCAGCGCAGACGAGAGGGTACGGCCATGGCCCGTGATGTGGGCGGGTAAGTGGAGGGTATCAATACTGCATCTGGTACCGATGTAGTACAGATAGGACGCTATCTATCTATCTGTATAGACAGATGATGGCTTTAAGAGTTAAGGACTCTGACAAGCTGGTAGCTGGGACTGTGCAAATGAATATCATAGTATAGAGTTATGATATATTTTTTCCTTTTTTTTATTGTTGTCGTGGGATTAGAGTTATGGGGTCTGGAGGCGAGGGAGGTGCCGCACTCACACCCTACAACGAGACCCCACGTCTCGAAACCGGGAAAGGGGGTAGTTGTCCAGGGGTTAGATGTACGGCAATGGCGCGGTGGTGGAACATGAGAGTAAGGTAGTGTTCTTCCCATGGTCTGCAGTGGGTGTGGCATACACATGTGCCATTGTCTGATGATTTCCTTTACGATTTACGTCGTTATTTTTTCTTGTCTTCTTTTTATTCTGATCTCTACGCTATGTACGAGTAGGGCGGAAGGGAACAGGACGTGGTTTGTATCGCTCATGATGTGACACGGCTACGGATCGAAATTAGTACAGCAGACTTGGGAAAGGGGCATCTTGGTCGCGTGTAGGATGGATGGGTTATTTTAGATGGGAATATCAAAATGGGTAGGGGGATACTTTTATTTATTGTCTCATTGCAACTTTTCGTCTCTTTTGGATTTGTATGGGATACACTATCTCTTTTTTAGTACCCAACGCAACCTGAGAAGCATTTATAGCGAGTAGGTAACACGGAATAAACATATCAGCTTGGCCAATAGTAACCTGGTAGTATTTCCGGATGTAGAAAGTGGGTATATGATGTGAGGTGATAGCCTACTGTATTGGACGCTGGAGAAATATCTACCTAGGTAGCCAGACAAATAGACGTAAACGATTTCATCATCATCTACCTAGGTAGCCTCAATGATTCCTTGCTAGATGGTTGGGTATGACAAGCCTTGGTAGATGCGTTGGTAGATATTATCAATTAGTTACTCCTTATATGACTAAGATAGAGTAGTATGAATCGCTCTAGGGAATATATAATTCGCTACGCGATGTATATGAGCTTCGAAGCATTTATTGCATTGCTATACTGTCGTCCTTTTATAATGGCTTTGAAATTTTTGGTTAATGCCCTCAGGTAACACTTTGAACCCTGCCATGGGTTATCCCATGTCTTTGGTAAGCGTATCATCCACGAGCCGCCTAAGCTGAACCCCCTCACCGACTGGAAAAATATACCTATACTTTATAGAAACAGAACGCCAGATAGAAGCTGGCAACCTCCATCTCCTCGGGCGAAACCAGAAGTGGTCCCCTTCCCCTCTCACGGACTCCCATACGCTCGCTTAAGGGACCCAGTGTATGGTCATCTTTTTCGGCCTCCCAGATTTCATCAAATTTCTGATGGTACTGTAGCTCGAGGTTATAGTCTTCTGCTATAGCACGGAATGCTGGCCAAGGCACAACATACTCTGGGACCTCCTCTACTGCCTCGTCGAGGAAGAAGCTATACTTCCATCCAAACGGAGGCCGGAAGATACCGTCCTCAGGAGTTTTGCCGGGAAATCTGACCCGGTAGAGATCATTGCCCCACTCCGCCGTCTCCTCAACCTCGCCCTCCTCCTCCTCCTTATCCTCGTTATCTTCTTTGTTTGAAGTGTCATTATTTTCGGTCGTCTCACCCTTCTTCTTTTTCGCGAACCACTCGTTGAACTTTACGACTCTATCGCCGATCACATCCGAGTTAGGTATACAACCTATGAAGCGCCCGCCTTTCTTCAGAGCCCCAGATACGTTCTGAAGCATCATCCGGGCCTTCTCTTCGCTCTCAAATGCATAATGCATGCAGAACATCATGCTGACTATATCAAACCCGCTCTTCCCCATGGGCGAATGGTCAAATCCGACTTGCCGAATGACGTCTATATCACCAATAGACTCGCCATAACAGTCCTTGACGTAGAAGAGAGCTTCGAATGGCGGAGGTTGGTGGCGCCCACCCCTATGGCCGCCCCTACCACCCCGTCCGCCACGGTGGGTCATATTACGGTATCGTTCTTTCGCCTGATCGATGGAAACATTGGCGGGGTCTAACCCTACGTACAGCTCGACTCTCTGTGGGGCCTGCTGCCATTTGCCTAGATCACCACCTTTTCCGCATCCGATATCGAGAACGAGCAGCCTGTGATCTCTAGCGTCAGCCATATCGCGCCCTCGCTCGTGAGCTCCAGGCGTATGGTCTTCGTCGGGCGAGAATTTTTGTATCAATGTGCTCTTGACCCAATTGTTAAACGACCTAAGCCCCTTGATTCTGCTGTCCGTCTTTCTCCAATCGCGACCCCTCTCTGGTACGGCGTTGTAATGCTGTCGGACAACGTCGTTGATGCCTCTCTGTTCTAGTACGGCCTGCGTAGCTGCGACTTCGGCGGCCTCGCGCTCACGTTGCTCATGGCGCTGGCGGATAGATGATGATTCTGCTTGAGAAAAGCGAGCACCGCGACCAGGGCGCTTTAGCTTTCGGGGCGCATCGGATGGCGATCTGGAGCGCTGTCGCTTCTTAGCCGGCTCGAGCTTCTTAGCATCGAATGGCTGAGGTAATTCGTCAAGGGGAGGTCCGCCTGTATCGTTTTCTCGGCGCCTGCTATTGCTACCACTGCTAGGAGATCGAGAATGCTTGTGCCTTTTAGCGGGTTCAAGATGCTTCGCGTCAAAAGGCTGAGGCAGCTCTTCGGAAGCGTAGTCTCCTGCCATTATGGGAGACGAGAGAATTTTCGATATTTCTTCTTGTTCAGATTGGTAATCGCGCAGGTGAAGTTAAATTAGATTTTGTTGATATAGGTTTGGATCTCTAATTTGTTTTTTTGTTAATTTCTTAGACAGTAAAAGAAAAAAGTAGAGTAAAGGAAAGAGAACGGGACATGTGAGGTAAAAGTACCGATCCTATCTCTAGCTCCTAAGGTGATGCAGAAGCTGGAAAGGTATGCGAGTCTTGGCATTGAACTAATAAAGAACCGGGGTAACCCGTACCTTACGTTTTTTGTACCCAGAACTACTAGATAAGTACCAAGGTACCTTGAGGCTCTAGAAGGTCCACAGGTGCTCAGTGATTGGTTTAAGATTAAGTTTAGTTGTGAAAGTTACGTCCGCTGATGGCCGCCTGCAGCTGCTTGCAACCGTTGGCAAAACAGCAGCTCTTCTGCCCGTTATCAACTTTAAGTTATCAACTTTAAACTTGGTACCTATCTTCTAAGAAGCTTCATCAACTAACAACAGCGACGATACTCAATTATTTAGCGATTCTATATGCTACCATAATTCTCTCCCTTCGACAATCCCACATATTAAATAAAGCTCACACTAATCCTTCCCCTCCTTCATCATGGGTTCCGACCCTCAATATGCGAAATGGCCTGCTCTACCTTTAGCCCAGCAAGTCTTCACCATCACGAATCCCTACGCTACTCGACCCGCCCAACAGGCTGCAGTTAAAAGCTTACAAGATGGTATTAACGAGAATAAGATGGCCCCTCTGTATAAGTACCTGGCACACCCCACTGAGGGCATTCTGAATGCCACCGGTGAGACCTCATCAGCATCAGCCCCTCAGAAGCCCACCGGCCGGAAACCAAGCGCTGCGGGTATGGTCGCCAGCAAGACTGCTGGTGCGACCTTACCCTGGGACGAAGATGTCTACAACAGCTTGAAGGCGGAGAACGACAAGGAGCTAGAGGGGTTCCAAAAGGAGGAGGACGAAGCTGTTGAACAGGCTGGCGAGACGGAAATCATGGCTGCGAAGGGGAAGCGTGCTGATTTCTTTGCCAAGATTGGAGACAAGGTATTTCTATTTCCTAGCTACTCAACAACCTAACTGTTACTAATAATTTCGCAACAGGACAAGGCGATAGCAGCTTATGAGGATGTCTTCGAGAAGACGGGCATTCTGGGCACTAAGATTGACCTGGTATTGGCAATAATCCGCATGGGACTGTTCTACGGCGACAAGGCTCTGGTGAAGAAGCATGTTGCGCGCGCGAAGACGCTCGTCGAAAGCGGTGGCGACTGGGACCGTCGTAACCGCCTCAAGGCCTACGAGGGCCTACACCTTTTAACCGTCCGCTCCTACAACCTCGCCGCACCCCTCCTCCTCGACTCCCTGTCGACGTTCACCAGCTACGAATTATGTACATACTCTAACCTAGTCGTGTACTCTGTCCTCGCCGGCTCCGTTTCCCTCAAGCGAGTTGACTTCAAGAGCAAGGTCGTCGACGCCCCCGAGATCAAGGCCATCCTGGGCGCCGATAGCGACGACAAACTTCTCGCCCTGTCCGGTGCCATCTCCGCAGGCCCCGGCGCTAAGGATGCCGAGATGCGGGATGCTGTTAAGGACACCGTCTCCCCTACGGCACCTACCAAGATTACTGCAGCCGTCAACCTGACGACGCTCGGCACCGGCTCCGACCAGCCCGAGGCCGAGCTGGCTGTTGACTTCTCGCCCCTCGCCCAGCTCGTCAGTAGTTTGTACAATGGCAACTACAAGCTATTCTTCCAAGCCCTCGCACTCGTGGAGGAGCAGTTCCTCACCCAGGACCGCTACCTCCACGAGCACAAGGGCTGGTTCATCCGCGAGATGCGTCTCCGCGCCTACCAGCAGCTGCTGCAGAGCTACCGTGTCGTCGGGCTCGAAAGCATGGCCAACGACTTCGGCATCACTGTCGACTTCTTAGACCGGTATGTTATATTTATCTATTTGTTTTCCTCACCCCCTTTGCCTCCACTCGAATTATCTAATACTAACCGATTCCCCCAGCGACCTCGCCAAATTCATCGCCGGCGGCCGTATCCCATGCACCATCGACCGCGTAACAGGCAAGGGCGTCATCGAGACAAACCGTCCGGACGACAAGAATAAGCAGTACCAGGACGTCGTCAAGCAGGGAGATCAGCTGATCACCAAGCTGCAGAAGTATGGCCAGGCTGTGCGGCTCCGCGGTAGCGAGAGGGCGTAAAAGAGGTAGTAGCAATAGTATGAAAGTACTTAATAAAGACGAATAGAGGGGCGTCGAAGATGGTTCAGCTGTTGCCGATGACGAGTTTTGCGTGTCTGTGCAATAGACAGATGATGTAACAATACGAATCAAACATAGACGGGCCGAAACTAACCTCGTTTTAAGCCCACAGTGAGGAATGTTGCGCGTTCAGTATGAACTTCATAAGTTAGGGTGAGATTCTATAAGATTCGTGATGCGTAGTGGAGAGTATGTATGTAGGTATCAAAGTCTTAACGCCCTATGCTATCCTGTCCCTCCACGGAGCCATACACACATGAGGTTTCTTAAAGCAGCCGATATAACCAGTTCTGTAGGTATCTAGGTTGTTTTGTGTTCTTCCACGACTCCCGCTCCTCTCGGTCTAACCCTACAATTCACTCTTGACTCCTACGTGCTGGCCCCATACAATGCCCATCATCGTTACTCGTTCCCTCATCTCGCTATCTATCTGTACTTGTCCATGAATTCCTTGTGGAACTTCTTAATAGATCCAACCCATTCAGAGCCAGGGGCTAAGAAGGTAGTACGGAAATGCAGGGTGCCCTCGGCCTGACCGAAACCGCTCCCGGGCACAACACATACGCCTGTAGACTCTAGCAGACGCATGCAGTAGAATTCGTCGGGCGTACGACCCTCCTCCTTAGCAGCCTCAGCGGCCTTAGGGGGCACGTGGATGGTAGGGAAGATGTACATACTACCTTGGGGTTCGCCACACTCAACGCCCTCCATCTCTTTGAAGGCCTCGTATAGGGTGTATGCGCGTGTCTTAAGGTTGTTATATATGAAATTGTATTCCTGGTCGTAGAGCTCGTACGAAGGCTCACCAGGCTTGGGCGGGTTGACCATAAGTTCGACGAGACACTGGCCGATGACGGGGGCACATAGCGTAATGGACACGAACTTGTAGATCTGCTCCTCGACCTCAGGGTTGAAGCCAATCAGGTCAAAGTAACCACCACGGTGACCGCACTCGCCGACCATGCCCTTGGAGATGGAGTGTAGAGAGGCGAGCTCAACCTCGTCGTATTTTCCGGGGTGCTCCTTTTGTAGAGTGAGTAGGACCTGGCGGAAGCTGTGGAATTTTCCGATGAAGACATTGGTCTGGTAGACTTCGTCGGCCATAACCACGAGCTTCTCCTCAGCAGCAAACTCCAGGACGGACCGGACATCCTCTTCGGACAGCGAAGCACCCGTCGGGTTACCCGGGTTAATGATGACAATAGCGCGGACGTCGATGCCATCAGCCTTGGCTTTGTTATAGGCCTCCTTGATAGCTACGAGCGACGTACCCCAATGAGCGGACTCGTCAAGGTAATAAGGAACGCATGTGGAGTTGATAACAGAGAGCGAAGCGGTATAGAGCGGGTACTGAGGAATAGGCACAAGAACTCCGGTGGTAGGAGCGGCACATATTATGTGTAGGAGGGTGTTGACACCGGAAGACGCACCGGCCGAGAGATAGATATGTGCCGGGTCGGCGCGGAAGCCATCCCGTCCTAGATTTATTAGTTAATACGAAAATAGTATTAACTTTTGAATTAGCTTAAACTTACTTTCAAGGAATTTGGCAACGCTCTCCTTGATGGCTGGAACACCAGCACTGGCGCTGTATGCTCCAACGCTACCGGCGTGATCTAAAAGCCATCTCGCCCGTTCCAACACGTCTGTCTTATAACCCAGTGAGTTGATTAGAACATCTTCATGTTCTAGCAGCTTAGGGTTCTCGAGAAGACTCAGAACCTGGCGGAAGTAGGTAATGGGTTTCTGATCGAGTTGCTGAGGGTTGCCGATGTTTGCGCTTATAACTTGGGAGAATGGTAGGCTTTTGTCACCCTTTTTTAGTCTAGCACGGTATTCCTCTGACTTGACGGCGAGCTCGCCGCGGACGGCATATTTGGCCTCGACGATGTGCGGGTTTATATTTCCAAGGTTGAGTCTAGCCATTGGTGTTTGATGGTGAAAATGGCGTTTAGGGGAGTGTAACAGCGGCTTTGGAGATGGCGGGGTAGTGATAGACCCTGAATATGACAGTAGTAGCGGGCGCGGGGTATCAGCTGCTACTGCCGTTCCTGATAAAAAATAAAAGCTTGGTTAGGTAAGGTAATTACCTCTATTGTATGGGGGAAGGCACCCAAGTTTCAAAGTTTCAAGTACTAATTTTGCCTTTTTTTCTTCTTTTTTTAAACTTTCAAATAGAGAGAAGGAAGGATTGGCTAAAGAGATTGTGGTATGTTTATGGAATGATGAGGGAATTACAACCGGAACTAAAGACGAATAATAATTCAATATAATAAGTAATAACAATAATAAGCCCCAACTTGGAACTTCTTGTCAAACTTCACAAATTAGAAATCGTGCATTGTTTCACCCACGCGATCCAGAAAAAGACCCTACGGACGTAGAGTCCCCATATCTTTTTTTTTGCCGCCTGACTGCGTGCGCAGGTGCGTTGACGATTTGCCCCCCGGCCTTAAAAGTGTGGGACTGGACCACGATGCTAAACCTGTCGTGCAGCAAGGCACCGACGGTAATTGGGAGAAAGCTGCATCCACTAGGAAGGCCGATAACCGGAATAGTTAAGGAAATGGGCAACAGTCATTGGTAATATGGATGACTTTCCAATATGTATACATATTTGGTCCCTGAGGAAGAGTTGAAACAAACAACTTGAAGGAAATACAGAAATGAGGTAGGTACTTACCAGTTGTTATATGTAAATCATTATGTCGATATCGAAGAGTTTGCGCTCTATGGCTGTAAGCTCTCTGGGAGATGATGGCGTCGAAATTTTTCACCCGAGCAGTACGAGACGCTCCCGATCTAACTGTTGCCATCTGAGGCGAAGAAACAGTTCCGAGTCGAATGGGGAGGAAGAGGTAGAGAGAATTGGTTAGAAAAGGAAAAAATTCACCCGAAATTGATTTGAAAGTGTAATTTTTCTCCTTCGCGATAGCTGTAATCCAACCCTGCCTGTCTGTCTATCATAGGCTAATCTTAGGGGACGAGAACGAGACCGAGATCTAAGAAAGTCCCTTCACCGCTAACGGCCGATTGCGCCCCGGTATATCGGAGTTAAGTTGACGGAGATAAAGCGCATTTTTTAAAGGAGTTGCCATATAGGAGTAACAAAGCATCACCGGTATTCAACAGAAATTAGTATACTCTTTACATTATATACCTTCAACGGCTTCTCTAACCTAACCCAAGAACAATATACCAAAAATCATACTTAGATTATGATGAATTCTTCATGACTCCCAGAAATAAAGGTAAAACTTGGCTCCAAATTCGATCGAGACTTGATCGTATCTAACGCCCTCTGTACTTCATATGTCGCAGTTTCTCCTCTAGGAACTTGAGACAGTGGTATCACGAAATCCCCCCAATTTCCAATCAGATGCTCTGTAGCTTTCTCAACAATGTCGAAGGATCCTTTACCATAGCTTAAAATTTCTGAGCGGAGGACCGAGATGTCTCGCCGAATATTTAAGCGTATTTCATCAAAGAGCGTATTGACTTCGCTAGCACTTAAGAGTGCGTATTTTCCTTTGATCTGAGGATGATCCTCGAAAGAACAGAAATATAACGTGTCCCCAAATAGTGCTTTGAAGTCTCTTCCCCAGTTAAATATAAGGTGCATATTTAGTGTTGATTCCCGCCAAGGCTCAATTTTCTTTAGAAGATCGATCATTAATGGCTCTTCGCTTGAATCCTGAGAGCCTTCTAATATCTTCCTTGAGTATTTCTCCGCGGCAGATTTGGCTGCGTTAAAGTTCCGCAACCAATAATACCAAAACCCATCATATAAGAATGGAACGTCTTTAAGGCCTTTCTTTGACTCCATAAGACTGGTAAGCTTATTCATGCGGTCGTGGCTTGGCTCTGGTCCGAATGACCATGAAAATCCAAGGGCTTCGTTAGAGGAGTCTTTTTCTGTTTCCTGTGAACCATTAGATTAAGAACATCCTAGCCTCGAATAATCTTTGCCTACCGGAGAGAATCGTAACCTCCAAGGACTGAACTTGAGATCTATATGAGGGTTTTCCTTGAGAAAGTTTTGCACTGTCAGGATTTCGGGGTCGCTAGGAATAGGGAAATGCTCAGGTTGAAGCACTATCTTCTTGCCGCCGTCGGCAAATATATAAGGTAGCCCAACCTTGCATAGTCCAATGAAGGTATAGCAACTAGTATGATCGCGAATATCAGTCTTCCGAAGATGTAGCGCGTACGGCTTAGAATCCCCAATACACGGTAACATGATGATGTCCATCATCCAGTTAAATAGTATTTGGAATTTGACGTTAATCTTAAATCCCGAGCTATGATTGTAGGTATACTCTAGTTTCGAGCCTTCCATGCCGATACCACTTAGTATTCTATATCCACGGATAACCAGGGATCCAGTCCGACTGAGGACCACCTCGGGAATATGCTGTGAATGTTGGTTAGGTGAGTCCGGTTGAATATAGACCGGACAGAACTCAGGACTCAGATTGATTTCGTCGTTGTGGGCCGCGCAACGAAAGTCAGGAACCCATGAAGGGAGGTCCAGGGGTCGGTTATCATGTATCGCTTGAGATCTCCCGCTTCTCACTCGCTCCAAGAGGTTCATTAAGTGACCATTGGACATCAAGAGAGTAGCGATGCCAGTATAGACCTGCTCTACTGCAAGATTGTAGTTCGCAACCAGTCCCTTCGTGCTCGCGCCGTCTATCATACCAAAGAGGGCGAATATCTTATCCTCTGGTCTCGAAGCCTTGCTGGGCATACCATCAAATATCAGATTCCCAATTTCTTCCCAGGATCCCAGCTTGCGTCTTTCGCAGTGTCTTGCCCAAAGAGGCAGGACTTCTTCGGCGTGAGCTTCTTTGAATATGCGCCCAAATTTCTCTCGGGAATGTTGAAGCTCGAGCGATTGAGTGTCGAGTCCATGATAAAAGCTGGCATCTCTAGCCAGAGCTAATTCCTGTATAATCCAGATGCGGGAGAAATAAGGAAGAGAAAATAGCCACTTTATTTCATTAATGTATTGGCCATCCTCCCCATATCTTTTAGACGATTGCTCATCGGAGTTGAGCGCGAACATTGCGTCACTTGTGTACTTCGAGCCTTTTCCTAGATATACTAAGACATTCCGCGCCCGAGAGTATATCTCAGGCATCAACCCGACCTGCTCACGTTTTTCGTCGCCATCTTCTTGGTTAATACATATGGAGTCTACCCATAGGTACCTTGCCTTTTTTCTATATCGGAACCGTCGAAGCGCCGCCTCGCAATTTTCAGTAATAGGGAGTCTATACCAATTATTATCGAGATACAGAGGTCGGCACCTTTTGCTATCGCCCGCTTCGTTCGCCCATGTATACGAAATAGCCTCATATTCCAACATAGTTTCGGTATTTTCGATAGATGCAATGAGTAACCCTCCATGTAGCGGGTCCCCGGGTTCACCCTCAGACAATCGAAGGATTCTAAGATGTGGGTTTCGTGTTGTGAGTGGCGTGGTCTCTAGGGACTTGTACTGATAGTACTGGTACGGTGCAGGGTTTGCATTTTGACTCGGAGGACGAACTATCGGATCGCCCTCGTCGTTAAGATGTGAAATAGCGGTTAGTTGATTTTGTTTGTATACGCTTCCCTCAAGGACACGAATAACTCGATCGGAAAGGTTGTTATCATTACTATATTGGACGCCTTGTGGCCAAGATAAGTTCAGTGATGACCTCTGAAGTACGTGGTGTCTCACTTCCTCTCGTGTGCTAGGGTCTTGAAGCTCTTCATCTTTTGGAACCGGCGTCCAGCATTGGACACAACGCCACGAAACTTCCGGTAACTTATCGAAGACGGGGTGGTCACATGCGCATAGACTTGTCATTGTGCCAGTTTTAATTGTCAACGATAGCAAAATGAATTCTCGAAAATGGTTGTTAAACAGTTCGAGTAAAGTAGAGTGTTGGGAAAGAGAACGAGCGGTCTGAGAAGGTTATCAAGTAGGTGCCCGTTATTGAGGGAAAGAAGTTAAGGTAAGAAAATTCATTTAGCATTAAGAATAATTACATCAAGATAGGTGGCTATGTAAAAGTTATCTTTGCTAATGATGTAACGAAAGGTAGGCTACGAATGTCGTATTCAGGACTGGTGTCCAGTGAATCCCGCCACGTAGCGGTCCATCCCTCCTCTTGCATAGCCTAGCAAATGAGCGAGTTATTAGAGTGTTCAGCATGAATATATCTTACAATCACAACTTCCCGTTAACCTATCGTGTCTAGGCTAAGGTTTATTGTATTGAGGTAGGCCATGATATTAACGAATCAAGCTGAAGATAGACATTAGGTAAATATTTTAAAGCCAAATTAATTTAAGTTGGACCATGAAGTCGACTTGATTCGTTTAACTCTGAAACATTCCCAGTGGAATTGCAGCCACCGATAGGCAACGAAGCTACGGAATAGGTACTCAGGAGATTTTACGGAGGCTCCGTCAACTCAGCCACTACATAGTAAAAATACCTGAGAACTTTCTGATTATCGCAATTAGTATGACACTGAAATATATGAAATGTATTATTGTTCGAATGCCAGGGATCAAAGGAAACTACATATTGAAACAATAGCATGTGTCGATCGTAAATACTTCTGTCCAATTATTCAAACGGTTACTACTTCTGACAAGTCGCTGTAATATGTATGATTAGCTAGAAGAGAGATAGTCCTATGCAAGAGGAAATGAAATAATAGATCCGGCATAAGAAGATGTTAGTGACCATTCGCAGGATGTTCGGATTTATTTCCATTGAAACGCATACTGTTTGTTGTATCCTAAACCTATCATACCATATAATTACTAGCCCTTTTTTTATCATGGTTAAGACGAGGAGCCTTTCTTACGCATAAAGTTAAAATCTTTATCCTTAAGGAATTCCTATTTATAAGCTTGGGCTTATGCTTCTAGTTATCATAAATCCACAAAATTTCGAAAAAGGGGTAAAATCAACCTCGTAGCGAAAGGGAGCCGAATTCGACCTGATTAACTCACAAACTCAATAACTACAATTATATATAAAATCACCTAAAACCACCACAGTGAATTGAAATTATAACTTAAGTTTCACACCAAAAGGCTAAAGTATAAGATTAAACCTGACATATAGACCCGGTTTCCCAGTATTGGCGCCCGGAATCTCACATTACCATCTCAAATTATCGAACTCCTTTTCCAAGTTCTCATTACTATAACTCCAAACTCACTCAACCGTGGTTAAAAATTAGCTTTAGCGTAACTAATCCAACAATTCTCACCAGAAAGTCTCATATTGATACCTTTATACTCTAGAGACTACGGGCTGAAGAGAACTTCTCATATGAAATTCGGCACGGCGATATAGAATATGAGTTTTTCATAATTAAATATATAATAGGAAAGCCCTTGTTATTAGGCAATCACCTACTACCTAACATTTGTAATAAGACAATATAATGTCCTCAGGGGCCATTTCTTCAACGAATCATTCACTATATTAAAGTGAAGCTTGGAGACATTATGTTCCCTTTAGTCATCATAAGCGCATAAATATCACTATAAGTATCTATGTGAATTGTATTAATGAGATCTTACGCCTGTTAGATCGTTTCATAAACTTACTACATATATCCTTGGACGTCCTCGTAGTATTATTCAAACATCACCTTACTGAGACTTGAAAACCCAAAATAAAGTAGAATAAAATTCACTTTTCTCAGCCCATACTCATATTTTCTCTCATTTTATTTATCATCTGCGCATATTGATAATTTCGCATCTCGATAGAAAGCTGTTTCCATGCGCATAACAACTCATCCATGAGATAGAAAAGTCGAGTGATTTATTAATGTATGATGAAAATGAAGAGAATCTTACATTCTATTCGTTCGAATTTATAAACCCATTTGATACAGCAGAATGATTTGAATATTCTACTACCCAAGGCATATAGCTTTGCCAACATGAGACAATTTCAAGAGTAGCGTCTCGCTAGCCCATCGCGTATTACGTCGGCATCATCTCCTAAAGGGTAGGCATAACAAATGCCAATGGACCTATTTTAATTACGCAATACTGATAGGTAGCGAATTATATCACGCAAATTGGAAGGTGGCGATGCTCAATGGCCTTATGCACGCCGGCGGGGATCATGTGGATTATCGCCAATCTCTTTAGTGCCGGCTAAGTTCGAGACTTGGCTGTGTGTGATACAGCGTTCCTTGCCTATCTCGCTACCTGCGTACATACGTAGGTACCTAGTCGCTTTAGGTAGGTATATGCTGTCGACATACACAGGCAGACAGGATACAATGGGTATTAGTTCGCCGTGAGGATCCCCCTTCAGTAGCCGAAACCCACCATCCACCCCACTGGCGAAAAAGCATTGGGGGGTAGGGCTTCTGTTGAGACGTGGGGTCTTGGCTAGAAAGAGAGAGAGAGAGAGCCTAGTATGAGCTACATACATGCTTGCTTACTTGCTTCGTCACGATGTAGCCCGTTAAACTTCAAGACTGGTTCTCTTCCGTGAGTCGACGAGATTAAATCTGTGCGTAATCATGAATCCCGCGCGCCCGGTTCTTCGTCGATTTGCTCAGCCGCTGGCTCGGCCTGTTCGATGTAACGGTATCCGATCGTTTACGACGGCGTCATCTCGCCCGTCTGCTGCCGCTGCCGCGGTCCAGCCGCAACACTTTGATCAGCCGCCTTTCCCTATTCCCGGTCCGGTCCATGTTAGGCAAGAAGTTCCTATCCAAAGTACTAAGAACACCCTCCGTGATGCCGTCTCCGCCACTCAACCGCGGAATGACTGGACGAGGGATGAGATAGCTGCAATCTACGACCATCCATTGATGGATTTAGTGCACCAAGCGGTAAGATAACCATATACAAGAAACCAATGCTTTTAGCTGTTGGTTTATACGAAATCAAGTACACAATAGTTATGGAAGTGAATTTGACTGATAACACTAGCCATAATAGGGTCTCGTCCACCGACGCTTTCATGACCCGGGAGAAGTGCAACTATGCACACTCATGAATATCAAGGTAAAGCTATCAATAAATCGGAAAAATAAGTGCTCGCTAACAGACATACATCAAGACCGGCGGATGCACAGAAGACTGTTCCTACTGCGCCCAAGCGACGCGATACCAGAAAGGCACAGGACTTCAAGCGAAGAAGGTCGAGACAGTCGAGTCAGTGCTAGCAGCCGCACGGGCAGCCGCGGCAAACGGCAGCACGCGGTTCTGCATGGGGGCCGCCTGGCGGGACATGCGCGGGCGCAAGAACAGCCTGCGGAACATCGCCGAGATGATCAAGGGCGTGCGAGCGCTCGGCATGGAAGCCTGCGTCACGCTGGGCATGATCGACTCGGCGCAAGCGAAGGAGCTCAAAGAAGCCGGACTGACGGCGTACAACCACAACGTCGACACAAGCCGCGAGTTCTACCCGTCTGTCATCTCGACGCGCACCTACGACGAGCGATTGCAGACTCTTAGCTACGTGCGTGATGCCGGCATCAACGTCTGCTCTGGAGGAATTCTCGGCCTTGGAGAGACGTCGACCGATCGTGTCGGCTTGCTGCATACCGTGTCGACGCTTCCCAAGCACCCGGAGAGTTTCCCGGTAAACGCTCTGGTGCCTATTAAAGGAACGCCTCTTGGAGATCGCGAGCCGATCGATTTTACAAGTAGTAAGTACATCCAGATATATTGGCCCCTTTTCGTCCGCATCTCAGGAGCACAATGCGGGATTTCGAGTCTATCCCGAAGTATAGTCCAGTGACATAGGATCTTGGATCACATATACTTGTAAAATCTATATTTAACCGCCTTGCTAATTCTACATATTCTAGTGCTTCGAACCATTGCTACCGCCCGTATCATCATGCCCGCCACCATCGTTCGAATAGCTGCTGGTAGGAAGACCATGTCAGAGGAGAAGCAAGCGCTATGTTTCATGGCTGGCGCGAACGCTATCTTCACCGGCGAAAAGATGCTAACAACAGAATGCAATGGCTGGGACGAGGACAAGGTTATGTTTGACCGATGGGGTTTGGAGCCGATGAAGAGTTTCGACAAATCTCCGCCATCCACAATTAGTGACTCATAGCAGAGCTTGTACCTAAAACTGGCTTAGTTAAAAAATACTCTAGCTCAAGTTATAGACATCATAGCCGCGGTTTATCTCCCTGAGTGAATTCGCCTGTAATTTTCGTAACCTCCTTATGTGGCTCTGTATCATCCTTAAGGACCTCTGCCATTTGAGCCTTTACCCACAGCTCAATCACGCCACATAGTTCATCAACTTGCTCTTTGGTGTTAGAATAATGCAAGCAGACTCTTACTCGCTCGCTTCCTATGGGCACGGTTGGGCTTACGATAGGACGCACCATAAAGCCGAACCGTTGACAATGTTCCGCGAGGCTACGAGGGGAGGCGGTTAGAATCGGGATAATGGGTGACTTTAGAGTTGTTTGCTCAACATAAAGCGTGTGTCGATTTGGTTTTAACCGAGTGTAGAGAGTATGAAGTTGATGACGCGTATAGTAAATGAGAGTTTCCAAGTGTCGTCGCAATGGTTCGGACTGTCCGCTCATGAGAAAATCATAGACAACATCTATGCTAGCCAGTGACGTAAAGGTCATCGATGTCGTATATATAAGACTTCTGGCATAGTTTATCAAGTACGATCGAGTAATAGAAGAGCATAGAACAACGCCTAGTACAGAATGTGTTAATACTCATTCTTTCTGGTGACGGTGCCTTAGCAAGTGCCAAGTTCACTAATAAAACACCGAAATATTCGCGGACGGGCATAGAATACATACCTCCGGCACAACCCATCGCTTTTCCAAAACCAAGTACCCTCGCCCATATTCGATTCTCTAAGCCGAGCTGGCATACTAACCCACGACCATCTTTGCCGAACACACCTACTGAGTGCGCTTCATCGACTATGATGTATCCGTTTCCAGATGGTAGGTATCGATCAACGGTCTCAACAATTTCTTTCAAGAGTATAGTATCACCATCCATGCTGTAAAGCCCTTCTACGCAAATGAAAACGTTGGCTTGACAATTAGTGACACGCTCATCTCTCATTAATTCCCTCAGGATATGATCGAGCCCATAGTTCTTACTGCCGCTAGCCACTCGGCTCTCCTTGGTGCCGGAAACTCGTCCCCGCTGGGCCTCTGATATGGAACTATGCGCGAATGGGATCCTTCTAGTGGCCCGGCTCATACGCATTCCGTCATGAACGCTCGCATGAATTAGCTCGTCGTAGAGAATCACATCCCCGGGCTGTGGGACAGAACCAAGTAATCCGGTGTTGGCATCATAAGCGGAAGTGAATAGAAGCGCGGCTTCTGCACCATGAAAAGAGGCAATTTTAGCTTCAAGCGACTCTGCAAATGGTGAATTACCATCAAGGAGACGAGAGCCTCCTGAGCCAAGGAGCGACCTACGCGAATCGCGCGATCCGTTGCCGTCTTCCGGGGTTGCGACTTCGGCCTGTAAGCGAGACAGTAATGATTTCTGGATTTCCGGGTTTGTCGATAAAGACAAATAACCATTGGATGAAAAATCGATAGAGTTAGTTGGAGTATTGCTCAGCTTTCTGAGCCTGTCGTGAGTTTTTCGACGCGCCAAGACCTCCCCAAGTGTATCATCGAGTCGACTCCGTGTACCTGTCATTGCTGTCCTGTGATTTGAGCATCCAAAGTATGAGGGCTGACTACAATTATATTCATCTGTATGTAATGTTGATCATATGTCGATCAATACACTACTTATCTACCTAGGTATACCCTAGTACGAGATGAAAACTTCCGGACCGATGTCACGGCTGCAGGGTAGTGGGGTATATATTGTTGCTTTACCGGATTAATTGGTAATATTACTTAGCACGTAATTTAGTATCTAGACTTACCTGCCGTTAACAACACCAAGAAGCAACTCACAATCCTTACGAGGGTGGCGTAGTGTAAATGGCACCCGCCCACCCTCTACTTTGGAGCTCTCTTCGAGTCTTTCAAGTCTATGGAGCCAACACTGATGTTGGTAAAACCATCATAGCCACGCTTCTCTGCAGGGCTGCCAATAGTATATGGAGAAAAGAGCAGACATCGTACCTTAAGCCCGTTTCAACAGGCCCGGAAGATGAAGCCGATGATCGGTGTACGTGAGCTCTCAGCTACTCTGTCTTGTGAAACCGATAATACTAACCTATAGGAGTTATAGGAGAGTGAATGTAATAAACATTGGGTTACATGTGTTGATGTGAATATAGCCATATCGAAAGATACGCCCCTGGGGTCCTTCGCAAAACGTTGCTGCAGTATGATCTGGCGATGAGCCCGCATGCTGCGGCAAAGGGAAAGGTACGAAACGCTCTGTCTTTGACCTTGATGGTATTGGCGACTTAATAATTGGCTATGAAGTTAGTACCTTCGGATAAAGAACTCCTTTCTAGGATATATCAATTCGCATCTCGGAGTGCGGCTCAACAACCCGGGTGGCTTTTTATAGAAACTGCCGGTGGCGTTCATTCTCCTGGACCGACAGGCACTACGCAAGCGGACCTATATGCAGCAGTGCGATGCCCCGTCATACTTATCGCCGACTCCAAGCTCGGAGGAATCTCTTTAACCATCTCCGCTTTTGAATCCTTAAAACTGCGCGGATATGACGTCGAGAGCATTCTCGTGTTCCAGGACAGCGAATATGATAATGAGAAGTACTTAAGAGACTACTTCACAGCCTCTCATGGAATACCTGTTGCATCGTTCCCGAAACCCCCTCTAAGGGCGCAGGATGGAGATGTAGACGCAAAGGCAATGCTGCAGTATTACAAGGATGAAAGTCAAAGTACTGGTACTCGAAATATTCTCGAGCATCTGAACCGCAAGCACCAGGCTCGTATCGAGAGGCTCGAGTCAATGCCTGGAGATGCATATAAACGAATATGGTACCCCTTCACGCAACATACATCTCTCTCACCCGACAAGATTGTCGCTATCGACAGTGCTCGAGGGGACTTCTTCCAGACTGTTGTACCAAAAGCAGAAAGGGCAATTAACAAGCATGCACCTGTTTTGCAGCCTTCATTTGATGGTTCTGCGTCGTGGTGGACTCAAGGACTCGGACATGGTAACCCCTCACTCACGATGGCCGCAGCCTACGCAGCGGGTCGTTACGGTCATGTCATGTTTGCTGGGGCCATTCACGAGCCCGCTCTAGCCCTAGCAGACACCCTCTTATATGGGATGAAGAATCCTCGCCTTACTCGCGTGTTTTATTCGGATAATGGCAGTACAGGTGTAGAGGTTGCGGTCAAGATGGGTCTACGAGCGGCTAGACTCCGGTACGGATGGGATGCGAGTACAGATATCGGAATCATTGGACTAAAGGGTGGGTATCATGGCGACACCATGGGTGCTATGGATTGTGCCGAACCGAGTACGTATAACGAAAACATTGAGTGGTATAACGGAAGAGGTATCTGGTTTAACTACCCGAATGTTAAGTGTAGCCATGGCCAATGGATCGTCGAAATACCCGACGAGTTGAAAGCAGATATTGGCAGCAACAAAACTTTCAATAGTCTATCCGATATATTTGATATCGACTCTCGAGAATCAAACGACGAACAACGGGCGTATGAGAAGTATATCGAAGAGAAACTATCGTATTACGTTAGCAATGGCCGAAAGTTTGGTGCTTTACTTATGGAGCCGGTGGTCATCGGGGCTGGAGGTATGGAGTTGGTGTAAGTAAAAAGCGAGCAGTTGAGTCTTTTAGAAGAAGCAAAAACTAATTTGGATACAGGGACCCCCTTTTCCAGCGTGCCCTCGTCAATGTCGTCCGTCGTTCGGCAACACTCTTTGGTTCATGTCCCGAACCGGATACTTCGGATCCTACATCTTGGACTGGCCTTCCCGTCATATTTGATGAAGTATTCACGGGGCTGTATCGACTCGGAAGATTTACCGCATCGTCGTTTCTGAAAACCGAGGCCGATGTCTCTGTTCATGCCAAGCTTTTAACTGGCGGTTTGGTACCACTCAGCACTACATTGGCGTCTGAGAGCATTTTCAAAGCCTTTGAGAGTGACGACAAAGCTGATGCCCTACTTCATGGACATAGTTACACAGCCCATCCTATCGGTTGCCAAGTCGCGGTAGAGTCGTTGCGACAGATGCAGTCGATGGAGAAGCGAGGCGAATGGGATTGGGCGAAAAGCAATGGCTGGTCGGGATCTTTACTTAGTCAGTCTAGTGCCATGAAACCCGAGGTGTGGTCCATCTGGCCCTGGGAGTTATTGAATTGGATTTCGAATCAAACGGAGCTTATAGCTGGAACCTGGGCTCTCGGCAGTGTGCTTGCAATTCACATGAATGCTTCAGATGGCCTAGGCTATAAGAGTACCGCAGCCCTAAAGCTACAAGGTGCTTTACTAGAGGGTGACCGGGAGACGATGTGGAATATCCATAGTCGGGTTTTGGGCAATGTGTTGTACCTCATGGGAGGTCAAAAGACGAACAAGGATGATATCACGGAGATTGCCGGCTTGATCAGACATGCACTGACAGCTTGTTAAGAAAAAGCCAATTTAAGTATAGTGAATAGACTTAAGATAATGCCTTGAATCTAATGAAGTTAGATATCTTCATATTAAAGCTACTCGTGTGAAGAGTAAATAGAAATATAGGTACTTTAGGTAGTTCTAGCATCTGATGTGATGTTGATAATAGATAGACAGCTATAGACTGCTGGACTAAAAAGAAAACAAGGAGGCTAATTGAAACCTAAAAGTGGTTAGGCACTAGTTCAAACTGATAGATCTTAAATTTATCGGAGCCTTATAGTGGACTTCGTACCTTCTGTTTGGAACATCTAGTAGGGGCTTTAAATTAAGAGTATCGTCGAAGCTTAAAAGTTTAAGGAACAGTGCCGTCATTAGGTAACTGATTGCTTAACTGCTCAACTTTCGGACGCTTACCTAATTACGCACGAGCCTCTTCACAGGTACCCAACCAAGCTAACCAAGCTTACCAAGTGATACTCCAAGTAGGTACGTAGTCCCGCGTCGCGCATGAACCGGGACGTTCCCCAAATTCTTCCAACTTCAACCTTTTGCGACAAGCATTCAAAATTCTAACTCTCGCCCGGTGCCACCAGGCAGATTATACGATCCTTATGATTCTATTCTATTAGACCTTAGCAGAGGGCATATGTCCCAGTCCACCCTTTTTTCTCAATTTCTCTGAATTTCTTTCTCATATTCAATCCGTCATAATCACAAAATGGGTATTTGCGCCTCCTGCCTCGGCCGCCGGCGCCGCGATTCCTATGATGAAGTATGTGCCCAGGATGTTTATATTGTCTTTTAAACATTGGCTAATTGTAAAAGGACGATGCATCCCGACTACTTTTCGATGACCCGAATAATCTCCAGTATGGAAGCTTTGGCGAGCACAATTTAAACGCTCAAGCTGACCCGCTTGAGTCGCAACGAGAAGTGGAAGCTCTGCAAAGGGTAGTAGCGCGGACGTCCAAGTATGCGCATTCTAGTTTCATATTCGCTCAATTTTTAATATACTAATGATTTCAGTAATCTTGTCGACGTCTTTGAAATCACCCCACAGGAGTCACAGAGGACTCAACCTACTTTATTCTCAGGGCAAGACGCCCGATTAGCCCGGTATCAAAACATATTATCCAAGCTTTCGCGAGAAGGCGAAACTCCCCCAACAGATAGTGCTTTCGGCGCCGTAGACTGGTTATTAGGCGATGACGATACTATCGAAATACAAGGCAAACCCCCTAGTATCAAGGATGAAGTAGGGGGCTTACTTGTGGGTACCTTTGGAGATATAAATGCGACGCGGCTATGAAGAGTGCTAGTTTTGAACGGGTTAATGACGCAAGTCTACCTAACCCATATGGATACCATATATCATTTGACTCCGCCGATTGATAGCGGAATACGAACCGACCAAAGACCGATTTGGTGATGGACTTTTCTATGACCTAGCCAAGATTTGTAGCGGGTCTTATTCTAGTCCAATATTGAGTTATACAGCGGGGGAGAGCGAGATTCACATACTAAATTAAGTCAGCGAATCAATCCTACATATGTAGTGCCAAAATAACCAATCAGGGATTGGCTTTCAGGGGGACCTAAAGAGAAGCAGGTCCATTAAGTGGTAGACACGTGCCTAGTCAATATCATTTTCTTTTACTAGCGAGTTGGTTCCTATAATAGTTCCGCCTGTTTGGTACGCGGTTCTATAGATATTTTTGTATTATAATCTTAAAAGGTATTCATCCGGCTTCGGTATTGAAGATTATAAAGAATCACGGGCCGAAGAGGCTCACGATGTTGTTTTCTAGAATTATAAACGGGAGTCTGTGCGTCAGATTCTAGCCAGTGAGCGGGGAATCCGGGAAGGGCCGCAACCACCCCCCTAAATTCCATGTGTCACCCGGTCTCCTCCACTCATTTAGGGTTAACAGGTTGATAATAATAATCCACCTACCAAAGACGATACCACAAGAATAATATATCGCCCAGTTTTTTCAACCCCCGGTTACATTCTGTTTCCTACTAACCGTCTATATTGTATAGTCTAATCTAGTGATATCTCCGTTGTGCCCATTTTCATCACTATGCCAGGGTGAACGTATCTAGTTGTGGCTCTTCTAAATGCTTTCATCAATCTATTGATGAAATTTTTTTTTCACCCCCTTAATTTCTTCGTAATGTCTCCGCCAGACGGTCACCAGCTTGAACTATCTATCCATCGTAGACACGAATGGAGAAGAGACGACAAAGTAGAAACCTTCAAGAGCAGTGGTTTACGTATAAGATCTATTTAAGAACCCAAGATTTGATCCTGGTGGACCACTGCGGAGGTCTCTAGCTCTTTAAAAATCCAAATAATCGCATCGAGTATAGCGTACAAAAGACCGGCTTTCCAACGTGTTTATTCAGAGACCATAACCTTCCAAATATGCCCAATTCCAAATTTTGAGATTGACCTCTCCTGCTCTTCTGAGTTCTACTTATAAAAACCCCCCCTCTGAGTCTTTGATGAGTGAAACTCTACTGATATCTCGTAGTCGTGTTGACCACCAACCCCCCACCATCGCGTACACCGTTGACCAGACAGAGTGCCTACACCACCGAGTACTGCCTATTATGATGTTGTTGAAGCATGTTTTGGATTGCCTCGTCGACCTCTCCCATATCCCTTTGGGCTTTCTCGATCGTTGCCGTCCGGTTTCCTTCCCTCTGCCACCGGTAGATGTCGTTTTGGAGCTTGGTGAACTTCCGTTGCTTCTTCTCGATGTCTTTGCAGAGTTTGCAGTTATCTTGCTCTTGGTTGGTACAGTATACCAACTTCAACCCGCAGGTCTCCCCGGTTCGATACTCCTTCGTACATTGTTGACGGAAGTGGCCCCATCGCCAATACCCACACATCCAACGTGTCTGTTCGAAATAGCACATGGTTCACCGTTCGGAGAGAGAGTTGTTGGTCTGGAATAGGAAAAAACCTGGCGTGGCGGTCCGCTGATTAGCTTAGCCGATACACGTAGCTCTGTCTCTGTCGAAAAGGAACGTGGGCCGTCAAGCAGTTTATACTCTTGACATCAACGAAGATATTGTTGCTGGTGTTCACGATAGACTTGAGGCTGAGGCTGAGGCTGGTATTCCCTTCTTCTTCCTTTTTTTTTTATAAATTTTTATATCGACTGAAGTTCTTGAAACCTTGGTTCAGGTTACTCCACCATTAGGTGCAAGTGACATCAATAAGGGGGGACAGAAATACTTATACTTGTCGCTCACGCCTTAGGTTTCCCTCTCTTGCCTTTCCCACCCGGTACTCGTTCTCGACTTGCGCTGGCCCTTAACCTTTCACTACATATTCGTCGACACTGTGTCCAGAGTTACTACTAACAACCGCTGAGGATTGGCCGTTGACAACTCAGCCTGTCTGGTAATTGGGGTTGCATGTCCATTTCGCAGCCAGTCCGTCTAACATGTTTCCTAGAATGCTGGATGGATGCCACGTTGGTCTAGTGCTTCAATTTCCACCGGCTCAACTTCCCCACTCTGGATACAGCCTACGAGTACCCTGACTGATGAATAGCTTACCAGCTACTTGATTCGAGAAAGATAGATGGTGGCCCCTCTTCCCTTTCGCTGTTCTCTATTGGGTCGATTCTAACGTCTTTGTGCGGTCCGCCCTTAACCTTGGGACGTGAGCCCATCAGCCTCGAATTTGACACCCTGTTACTACACCCCCGTTGCACGCATAGTTTGATCCTTTCCCGTCTGCAACCAGGATGTGGCCTATCCCCACTGCCTGCCTATGCAAGCCATCTGGCTAGCCGCGGGTAGGTCTCCTACCCCCCTAGGCCTGTGAGGCAACTTGCCTTTTAAGACGAGCATGTACTGTCAATCACTGGAACAGGGGAGCATGTTTCGTCCCTTGCCACGTCTCGGGTGATTACCTTAAACAGATGCCCAGTCACTTGCCCTAAAACTCCGAAGACTATATCCTGCATCTAACTATAGCAGACAGAGCTGGTGTTTTCGTTTAGGCTTAGACGGTCCCATATTGCGTGGTTTATCAAAACTAGCAGACTTGATTGCTTTTGCCACACTATTTTGTTGCCGCTTCTCGCCTGATTTTTGTTTGATTGGGTTTCCATCGACAATGTTTTCGAGCTTGTCCAGCTCATCATCAAGCCACATCGGGAAAGACGATATCTTCCTGATGCACTCTGGCCAGCACTTGCAGCTAACATCCACTACTCGTAGCTTGAGATTTCTCAGCATCCGATATACCCGTCACCAGAAGTTACGGAATTTTTTTTTCTTTTCGTCTGAGCCTTTCCCGGAAAATGAACAACACATCGTTTATACAGGGGGGTTGGGTTACTATGACGACTTCGTCGATAGCAGTACCCCTTTGGGTCGTGGAAGTAGGCTCCCCTCTCTGCGGCCGCCTATCCAAGGCCAGATAGGTAGGCCCAGGGGAATTGTCTCCCACGATACCACAAAACCTTCCATTCACGTGAAACTACATCAAGACGCATATAGACATCTCCTATTCTGGCTATACACGAGTCAGGTAAACTCTCAAGATCTTCAACGGGTTAGTTAGGCCCGCGACGTGGCAATGATTTTCTGGCCATGCCAGGCCCACCTGCACGATTTCGCCCCCGGCCTGTGCAAGATGCGTGCCTAGGAAGTCTGGGGATCGAAGAGGGTCCTAATGTTTCCTAATTTATCATCGTTAAAAGACCCGCTACGATCATGGCTGCATCTAGTTCTCGGTACCTGCTCATACGACTATACCAGAAGAGTTAAAATGTACAAACACACTCGATGGGGTCGGTATAACCACATACGATTTTTTTTTCGATGTTGGTGAGTGTAACGTGAGCTCCTTACGATGAAAGTCACAAGGGAATTTAATCTAGGTTCCTTATTAGGCTTGACGTTGTGCTAAAAGGGGCCAGTACGCTGGTGGAATTTGTTGTGTTACAGACAGCAATGGCATATTCAGGTAGATATCTGGTCGAAATATTACAATACCATACATACTACAAATTAGATCTCGTTCCTGGATGAAGTTCATCTTGCTTTGTTGTGCCACGGACGATCCAATTGCTAAAATACCTAGTGCTAATTATGTTAAGCCTGTGACGTGATCTCACGCGTACGAGGCGTTTGGTCCATCTACATATGGCAAGATATGACCATAGTTCCATTTTTAGCTCTACAATATAGAACAACACCACAGCACATTAGCTGATAATTTAGTAGCAACGTTGCGTGTTATTCTGCTAAATGGAGTTGACCCGCGTCCTAGTAAAATGCAAAACGGAGGTTTCTTCCGGCGGCAAGGGATAATAATATGGAAATCCAAATCTCGGTGTAATGTTGAGGTGATTCTTTTGACTATTGCCATCGTTGTTTGCATTCACTTACATGCTACGTGCAAGGCGCGAACCCTGGGTCAACAAGGCCGCCTTAGGCGGCCAAGTAGTGTTGTGAATAAATCCTTTCTCCGGGAAATTATGGGCGCCTGGTCTCGTACCCCACGGCCCGTTCCGTACATAGATTTAGACGCAATCGTTGATCTATCCGTCAGAGAACCATCGCTTATAGCTATACAGCTGCAGCATCAATGTATATCATCTCTTCTAATAGGGGGAGATTCGACGTTGAGTTTTAATTCTAACTGACCAATCAAGATCTTTGAGACATTCGACGCCATGGAAAGTTCTACGAAGACCATGATAATTCCGGCCACACTATGTGGAAATCATGTGCAAGAAATGATATGCGCATTCCCTTAGTTCAGAGTAAGCAGAAGAGCCTACTCACACCTCTGACCCAATGACACCTCACGTCCTCCGAGACACTTTCCCATCGCCGCTACCCACCTTTGTCTCTATAATGGTGTGCCACCCCCTGGGGGGCGTGGGGAGCACAAGACTCCCCTCCCCAGACGTAGGTAGTGGTATGCATCTGAACCCACAGTCGAAAGCCTTGGGCTGGAGGGAGAGAAGATCACCCATGTGTTCCTGGTTTGTTAACAGCCTCTCGAAGCCCTGCAGTGCCAGCTCATTGGTTGGGGGCCGGAACCAGAGAAGTAAATGTTGCGGGATGTATCTTAGTTCGATCCGGAGGATGTCGATAGAATAGTTCTTGAAGGCTCTGGTATGGGCTACCGAAAGTAGAAGGGGTATGTGATACCTGCCTGAGGCTCTTACCTGATTCGCCATCCAAACTTCTCTTTGGTTATGCGGTACTACATTCGCTCGTATATATAGGATCGCTCGGATTTGTCGAACCCTCATGCAAATGTACGCCTCTCTGCTCACCGTCTCCCAGAAGTACCGAACGAGGCTTCATCGACTCATCCTTAATGGTCGTCTAAATTCCCACACCATTCTTGGTTGGACAGAATTATGAGTTGTCCTTCAATGCCATCAACTTTCAAGGTCAGACAAGGGTAAGTGATTGGAACGGCTCGGTTGCCGACTCTGCCTGGAAATGGGTTCACAGATACTCCACAGCGGATGTGCTCGCATCGCATATATATGCAGGGTGATCTAGTTTCCCATCCGTTTGCATTGCATGGTCGCAGCTAGTTAGTCGAGCAAGTATGTAGGTACATAGGTTAGGTAGGTATGTAGGTATGTAGGTAGGTAGGTAGTTAGCTAGCTCGCTATACACACGAAGGTATAGACCGACTACCTGTGTTGCTTCACCCCGAGACGAGAAGAAAGACTGGGCATGTTGGCCACGCCCTTTAGCCTGCTCTCGGAGCCCAATTGGCCGGTGGTACGAAAAGTGCGAGTTCCTGTTCATTGGGCACTGATGCTAACCGAAAGAGAGAGGCCGAAGGGGGGTCGGGGGGATCGCGACCACGTTGACGGCCAGAAAAGGAGACCGCATTCGGCCCTCCAGGCCGTACCGAGCTCCACCGTTCGTCGGCGGTGCTTTTACAGGGAACTTGTGTCTTGGGGAGGGTAAGAACCACGTCATTCTGTGTCGAGAGAACATTCTGACTTACAGCACCACGTTCTTCATATGCCAGGTACATAATGTAACGCGTGGACGGGTTTCCGGGAATTGTGACGAGTAACAAGAAATTTTGCTAGTTATAATTTTCCGGGCCGGGAGGGAATAGCCTCATCGCGATTAGGTAAGGCAAGGCTTTTCTTTTTCTGTCTAGACCTTTGAAGAAATAATAGGATTCCGGGGGATCGTAGGTGGCTTGTTCTAGATGGCTACATTAGTCTATGTGCGGAGAGCTGATTGGCTTGACTTACACGTGCGACTATTATATGTGTACCTCTTAACTTAGCATACCTATACATGCCCCTATACATGCCTATAGGTAGTCTTAAGGTTATAGTGTTGGCGGACAGGTAGTAGAATGTCTACCTTGGTCTAACTAACTAAGGTTATCTATACGGGATCCCATAATAGCACATCTATTAAGACTCTATAGTACTACTTGGACCATGTTTTCTTACTACTCGGGTTGCCGCTACTGTACCAAGACATGGGACTAGATTGGACAACACATTGCTTGGGCTACCTAGATAGGTAACCATATACATGTATAATGTATTTGTTGTAACTAAGTAAAATATTACCTAGGTAGTATGTATGTAGTATGTATGTAGTATGTATGTAGGTCAAATATGTTACCTAGGTACATTTTGATGTGTGGTTTTATTTTACCCCTGTTCCTTTCCGATACTGTGTTTAAGCTAAGCGACCACGATGCAATGGGAGTATACGTGTGGGGTACCTAGCAAAAGCCCTGTTAAGGATTAATATAAGCACGCCCTTACTATAACTATAACTGTCTTACATGTATTTATCTTATATGCATACCTACCTATACTTTCTCTACGCGTGATCCGTACACTACATGACATGGCTTAGCTATGACATCCCGCGCTTGAAAAAGAGCCCTGTTTGAAAATGCCATGACGAGCTTATACCGTAGATCTCCCGTCTTCCTCGGCGCGGTCCACCCCCGGAATTTAAAATATTACCTATAGGTTAGGTTAACTAGGTTAGGTAGTTAGATTAAGTACTTAGTGGGATGAGCAGAAATATTTACTTATATGTAGAGCACGCATCTGCCGTTCTGTACCTACATAAGTCACAAATCTTGGATCATCTGGTCCCGCTCTCGTGCGATATTCCGTACAGCTACGATCTTGATCTAGCATTGCAACGAAGAATTCGGAAATCGGGTAGGTAAGCTATAAAGCGTGGCCCTTTTGTCCCACTGGATGTGGTATGGTATAAGTTATAAGACTGATAAGGTGGGAATGCTTTGGAGGTAACAATATGAGATTGAGGTACATATGTATTACTATTCTCACCGGCTTTCCTTCGGGGTAATCTGCGAACGGGCACTAGGTACCTGAATATCCTGGGTATTATCTTTGGCCCCTACATGCATTATACATTAGGTATATGTATGTAAGACTTATAGAAGAATCAATATTGAAAGTTACCTATTGAGTAGAGTAGTTATATACTCTAGGTTGGTAGTTTTTAGGTACTTTGTAATTGTTTTAACTTATTTATACATTAGGTACTTTAGTAACTTCGGGTGTTTAATGACTTACATGATTTACATCCATATCTGTATGTACTTCCAAGATCAACGTAACAGCACCGTAATCAATTCCGAGATCAACATCCCGGACACTGTGACCGGGCCATTTAACTTAAGGGTCTGTGCATTCTACATTTTTGGCTTAGCTAAACGTGGAGATGACATGACATTGAGGTATCACGTATCTCGGTACGTACATGGTGTGCATGCCTCAGTGTTCTGTACCTGCCTTATTATCAATATTAAAATACATAACCTAACCTAACATAGATAATGTACCTTATGAGGCATGTACGCATTACGCATTTGTGAAGGAACTGCAAGTGCTTTGGTGATGCATAATGTTGGTACTTTTTTTCTACATATCTTATTAATATTTTTAACCTAACGAACTAGAGACGAATTGTGTTTCGTATCACAGGCCATCTTCAAGAACACATCATCTGTAGCCGCTCTCCATTTCGACTAGGATTATTACCAACGCCCTCGCGCTTCACCTAGGTATTTACACATGCAAACATATGCAAACAGGGTCCCCAGTTCTGCTGTTCTGTCAGCCCCCTCCATACCCCTCAAAGCCCCTCAAGTCTCAGACACATTTTTACGGTTGCTTGCTTGCTTGAATTGCTTTGATGAATCACCTTATCGCCCTTAAAGTGCTGCCTTGCTATGATATCGACCCCTAACCTAACAATAGAAAGTTGACAGTTGACAGCTGACAGCTGGCTCTCGTGTTATTAACTGCATCATCTTATCAACGCCACTGCATACACCTACCTACCTACATACTTCAATACATACCTCTTACGACACCGTTAATCCCTCCCGCTCTTCGCGCCGATACCTTTTTGCTTTCCCCTCATTAAGAACCCCGTACCTACGTAAGTCCTACCGGCTGGGAATAGCTTCCTTAGGTAGCTGTCGCTCGCCTCACTCGGTATTAACAGCTGTTGATATAGGTTTAAACGAAACACGCACATACGTACATACATACATTCATACATACATTCATACATACATACACACAGTACAAAATATGTATTTTCCGATTCAGATAGCTAACCGCGCATAAGACACTTGCCTACCTTTTTATCATATTGCTTATTCTAGCGGTTTGGCGTCTCCGACCACTCGGGGAGCTCGGATCTTATCGAACTGGCATAAGACACGGCGGCTGACACTTACCATCGTGTCTTGCTGTTGTCCTGCGGCATATATTCACGCAATCTCTCACCGAGGACTGACCTTGTACAGTATACAGTTCTCATCCTACTCTGTGCTTCGTCGGAGATACACATAGCAGAGGAAAGCTATCCCTACTGCCACTTCATCACTGTTGCTACCTGGCACCTCCCATCTCGGCTAGGCTGTAAACATGTCGGAACATCCAACCCGCAGGGAAGCCGACTTGGGACAGCATCTCGTCACTAGGGCCTACGATCTGACCTTGGTCACGTCAAGTCACACCACGACGCTGGTGCCGCATGCGTCTTTACCTTTCTCGCCGCCGGCTGCCGAGAGTGGCGATACTACCTCACGGGAGCCGGTCTCGAGAACGGTCACCACTGTTGATGCCCAACCAGGTGCCTTAGTTGCGGGTTCTTTGAACTCCGACCGCCTAGAAACTCACTATGGAATGCTCTATGACGGAATTCGACCATCCACGGGTCAAGTTGTGCATGTTTCATGGTTATCGCTAGGTACGGCGGCTTCATCGTCGAGGCCGCCTCTATCTACGTCTAATGCGTCATCTACGTCTAGAAAGGGCCCTTATAGGGAAAGATTAGTAGATGTCATGGTGACAAGAGGGTCGACCTTGTTGCGCTGGGGGTGGGACTTGCTGAGTTTGGACGGCCTACCGAATGAGATCTTGACGCATATACTCACCTTCTTAGACGTGAGCGATCTACTAGCCATTTCCAGGGTATGTTGTTGTCCTTTGGCTTATACATATTCATGATGTCGATATAGTATTCGGCTTATACGCCGACGTCCTCTTGGTTAAGGCTTTATACGGGTTGGAGACCCCTAGGTTTCACTCCCGCATGCAACCTAGCTATGAGCCATTATTCTCATATTCGTATTCTTCTCGCGCAAAGGCTCCGTTGAAACGTAGCCGCGCGTCGATATCGGTTTAATATGCCCTTTCTATTGGTTTCCTATCCTCCACAAATACCAATCCCCTCAAATGATATAATGCTTCGTAGATCATACTATACTAACGGTAGAGGTAGATTAATCATCACTTTAGGACTCTGTCCTTACACCCTATCTTGCACACCCTTCGCCTCCGGCGTGCCCGCCTATCACTTCCGCCCCTTTTAACTTCACCCTCGCGGCCTACCCTCACGGAGCTCATCTCCCGCCACATCTTCCTAACACACACGACGCAGATCTCACGGCGGCTAGCGCGCAGCCTCGTATCAATCCGGCTGTCACGCAGCTTGCCGCTCCGGCCCTCCGCCGAGTCTCTGGTGCAGCGCGGCGTGCTTCCGCCAGAAGTCGTAGAGAGCAGTGTAGCGCCTGGTCTCATTGCTAAGAAGCGCGCTGTTGAGAAGGAGAAGCTCAAGGATGGCCTCCGGCGATGGGTCGGAGCTGTCTGGCGCGGCGAGGTGCGGGAAAGAAGCGAAGGGGTCAAGAAATGGGAGGAGCGTGCCGGTGTCGGGAGGGTATGGCGACTTAGGAAGTTTTGGGAACGCGTAGGAAGTGATAATGACGATGCGCCGGGCATGGGATGGGGTACCTGACTTACCCTTTTAAAGGCCAGATTCCGTCCGACGCCTATTGCTACCTGTCTCTGGCCGATAGATGTCGACATCTACCTTTACAAATCACACCTACACACCTAATTTGGATTGACGAATATCGTACGGCTAACGAAGGTAAGAGCTCATTAGTGAGAGCACTTTTTATTACAGGTGAACTAAGCTCTGCTATTTCCGCAGAGGACATAGCGCTTTGATGACTCTTTTTGAATGATGTAACTTTAATGACTAGGTGTTCCGGGGATATTTCAATTGGGGTTCAGTTTCTTTTTGGGGAGTTGTCTGTCTCCCTTATCATACAATATTGTATGTAGTTACATCAATATAAGAAGCAATTATGTATCTAATGCCGGGTCCTAAATAAATGCAACTCCCTAGATGCTCTCACCTTTTTGAATTCATTAGCCCTTATGCTCAGAATAACGCCGTCGTGGCCCTATGCAAGGTAGTACTCCTTTTTCCTATTAATCAAGCTGAAGTCGGGTCCAATATTATTATGTCTCGTCATCATCCCTCCTTTATACAAATTCTTAATTTCGTGCCTCCCGGCCTACCGAAGTCGAAATGCATCCCAATCATCGTCTTCGTCATCCTCGTCCTCGTCCTCGTCTTCTTCAGGTATACTGGAGTCATTGTTCTCCTTGCCGTCCGCCGGGCTCTTAGCCATGACTACGTCATCATTCGCGGCAGCACTGCGGAGATTCGCCACGCTACCCTTGCGTAGCTGCTCTCGGCGTTCTTTGAGTCGCCGCACGCGCCCTTCTAGCTCTTCCATTTCTTCAAACTCGGCCTCTAGCGCACGCGTCGCGTCTTCCCGCTCGTCGGCGATTTGCGCGTCCACGAAGTGCTTCCGTCGCTCGTTCTCTTCCTCCTGCGACTTGGCGGCGATCTGGGCGGCGGTCATGGCTGGCGCTGAGATGGTGGCGTCGGCGGAGTAGCCTTGTGGACCGGGTGCTGGCGCGGGTTCGGCGGCTAGCTCGGCTTCGAAGGCGGCCCATTCGGCCTCGTCTACAGCGCCGTTGGATGGTTGGGCTTGGGGCAGGGCGGCGGTGGTCGTTGTGGAGGATGGTACAGAGAGAGATTGCGTCGAGATGGGCAGGTTCGAGGGCGTGGATGTAGGTGTAGATGTGGTTTCGGAGCCGATGAGCGGTGAGCGGCCGAAGGGGGCGCCCTTGGGCGTCGAGGTCGCGGAGTTGGAACCGGCGGCTGGGGTGGCGGGTCGCGACGGTATCGCGATCTCGACTCCCTGCACGGGTGGGTGTGAAGTCCGCCTCGATAGCTCTGGGGGCGACTGCCTCTTCTCACCGCCGCTGCTCGTGGATAAGGCCAGGTCGGGCTTACTACGCTTTTTCCGTATTGCCTCTTCCGCATCGCCGTCTACATCGGATATGCCTTCGTCCACGTCGTCGTGTTTCCGCTTGCCGTTACCCCCGTCGGTCGAAGATACCGCCTGTGGTTGCTCGGAGAGGTTGCTCTGTAGTGCCTGTACTCTCTTCCTGTGGTTCGGGCTTCGGATATGGCTTTCCCATATGGCCTCTGTCTTTACGGGCTCGTGACATAGCTTGCATAGTAGTTTTCCGGCATCCGAGTATGCGGCATGGGGATGCTTGATACGGTTCTCGGCGCGGTGAGCGCGAAGCAGGGCTCGGGCGTCTGCCATTGCGGCCGTTGGTGTTGCCGATATGAGTAGTAGTCTCGTAGGGGAGGAGTAAGTTGGCTAGCAAATCTCAGAATACTGGTTGTAAATCTGTGAATAGCTTCGAGTATAACTTTTTTTCGGATTTAGAGAGGGCACACGTAGTTTTAGGGATTGTCGTGATGATCGTTTTGTGGCTGCTCCTTAGTGGTTTTGGTCTTTAATGAGGCGGACTGACCTTAGAGATGCCGGATTACCTTAGCTCCCGCTGTATGTGTAAGGGTAAGGTTCAGCCACAAGGGAAGCTTCTAAAATGCCCCGCACTTGGATGGATCTCCCCCCGATTGAAGCTCCAATTGCGGAGTACTTGAATTTTACATAATTGGTACCTAGGTACTGATGTACGGATGTCCCTTTCAAAAGTTTTACCATAGGGACCTACCTCTCTCCTCCCCCCCCCCCCCCCCCCCCCCCCGGTGAGCTTTGACCAAGCTTGGCAATAACTACTCACCTATTTAGCATGTAGTTATATCTTATTTTACTCTAACTACTATAAAACCCAGTAGTAAACCTAAGGGATAATACCTAATGTATACATTTTTAAATTACCTACCTAGGTTAGGTAGTTACCTGATAGTTGCTAGCCAAGTACCTAATCAGACAGCTGGCGACAATCTTGACAGGAGTTCCCTACGGTAAAAACTTTTAAAAGGGACATCCGTATTTCGTACTTCCTTGTCATTTTCTAGAGTTCAAGCGTTAAAGCAAACAAGATTTCGAATATCAGTTCAAAGTCAAACAATAAAGCCTTTTACTTTTCATTAATAGCCTATCCTCAAGATTAGCTCGAGCTCCGACCCGCTTGAGTATACTAACATATTCTATAGAGTCTCTTATAAGACATTTTGTCGATAGTAATAGTGCCAGCGGCCGTAACACTAGCTGCTTTCCCCCGTCCGCGCAAGCGCGCCAACACCACAAGCGTCATATAACATATGACCCATGTTATTATATCTTAAGTTTACGAAGGATATATTTCTTTTTTTTTTTTCCTACCTACCTATTATGTCGAACTTATTATCTATAGAAGTTATATCGAATTAAGAAATATAATTGCCGTTTTAGGGTTTGAAAATCACCGGGAAAGGTAGTTTATTGGTGCGTTTTACAGAGACGTTGATTGGTTGCATCCTGGAATAAGTCGAGTTTTGGGCGGATTTGAATTTCATAAATGTAAGGCATACTTAATCTAATCGATAAGACTTACCAGTCTGGAGAGAAAATTGATGGCGCAGTCTTGGCATTTTGATTTTATTAACTTTCTTGAATAATCAACGATTATATTGGCAAAAACAACCGAAAGCTGTTTAAAATATATATCATGTTATTTCTAAGAAGCCAATTTAGACACTTATCAGCTTTAGTTATTTTTTCCGATTTTTAAAGTGACTATTTTGAATATAATATATGATGCTTTTCTCGAAGGAAAATGTTAAGACTGCGCCATAACTAAATGAGCGAGGCTGCTTACCTAGGTTAGGTACCTAACATAGCTTGCCTCTCTTCAAAGCTTAGAAATGAACCTAAAAAATACAATAATGCACGCCTTCTTTTCTACCTACTCCAATTAACACATCCCATCCACATAGCCTCCATTACTTATTTTAACTTATTAGTTTAATATACTATAATCTATCCGTGACCGTAGCCGACAACGTAATGGAGGAAGAGGACCAAGTCCTGGTTTCATCAACTTGGCCGCCGCCGCCTCCCTTCTGGCGCGACTTTACCCCCGAGAACCTTGCACGTATTGACGAGCTACGCAAGAGAGAAGCAGAAAAAGAGGGACTTGACGATGCCTCGAAAGTGCGCCTTCAGGGCTTACCTCGCGAGCTACGTAATCTACAGCCACCACTAGAACCCACGGATGGGGTATGGAGAGTCTTTGGAGATACCTATAAATTAAAGGATGAGCTTCCCCGACTTGAGGATACGGACATTAAGCCGCTATTTCCGAATCCAGATGAGAGGGATCAAGATGGCAAACACTTTGATCGTGCACTGATCCTCAAGAGATTGGCCAAATCATTACTACTAAACTTCCTGGAACTTACGGGATTGCTAGCTATCAATCCTGAAGCTGTACGTTATTGCATTTATAGTAGAATCATATTTACGATATTGTCTCTAACATGAATTCCATAGGCCGAAGAGAAGACCCAAGACATGCGCCACCTGTTTCTCAACTTTCACCATCTTATCAACGAATACCGACCCCACCAAGCCCGCGAGTCGCTGATCTCTATGATGCAGGCGCAGTTGGACCGTACGCGAGCCGAGACGAACGCGATCCGGGACGCTAAGGATAAGGCTGAACGTATCATGGAAGGCCTGGGGAGTTTAAAGATCGAATATGAACTTGTCGACAAGTTAACAACGTCTAAAAAGACGGAATCATGGAACTACCAAAGAGAGACGTGGGCGTCAGTCGCCAGAGATCTCTAGAAAGGGACGCCACATACTACTTTTCTAGTTACCTGTCGTTATGGATTGTTTATGGATTATGGCTTGGTGTCAGGGTGTTTATAATGGATAAGCGCGTTGGTATTGATACCCATCTCGATAGGAAAGGCGGGAATGCGCTTGAGGAAAATGCATTGATTTAATCCTATGAAGAATACTCCTAGTGCTGCATCGTCAAGTGAAATCAACCCAGTTCCTGCAAAACGCAAGTTCGTGTTTAACAACGCCTCGTAAATCGTGTCTTTATATGGCATCTACCACCGAATCTCGTTTCCTCACATAACAGTGCAAGGTATAGGGATACAGCAACATTCAAAATCTCCACAGTCAATACATCTAGTCTTGCCTCCTGTAGCATCGGCGGGTTTGATGATTTTCTCGAAAGTCGATGATGCGGCGCTGCCAGGGCCGTTACGGTTGACGAGGGAGTGAGACGAGCCACAAGCCATGGTTAATGAATTATCGAGTTATCTGTTATAATAATATTTTAGCTCTCCTCCTAGGGATAATAGGTAATGGAGTGGGTCGCGTACCAGTTGATAGATTGATGTATTTTAGATTGGCGTGCTCTAATACTTTCTTTAGTTATGAGTATGATGATTTAGTAACTATGTGGAATTATAAGTTAGAAGTAGGTTTAGTTAGGTTTTAAAGACTTTGTCCTAGTTGTCTACTTTCATTCCTTTGCCAGCAACACATGCACTCCCAATGGCTGTGCAGTGAGTACGTACCTACCTTACAAGCATTAATCTGATGGAAAATGAAACTAAAGCAAGGAAAAGCCAAGAAGAAGCTTCGTCATAAGTTATAACAGCGCCTCTGTGGCTAGCCTATCAAACGCGTCACCAAAACAATCTTGCAACTTAGTGGCCCCCACCATCCTATATCTATTTACTATTATGGATAAGTAACAAGCCACCTAATTTAATATGCAAAGGTACAAATTCTTAATATCTTTCAGGAACCGCTAGGTTTAGGTGCATACTTACCTACCTAACTAACCTTTTTATCACTACGATTCTCCTGCCGGCAGTTTTGAGGCTATTCGCACCCCTATTTTACTTTAAAATAAAATAAAATGGATCTACAAGAACAGGTCGCCCGGGTATATCGTCAACGACTAGTAGTCACATCGCCGAAGATTGAGCCTGCTGAAAGACTTGTTGAACGGCAACAGGCTCCCCGGCCTCTCCAACCCGTAGAAGCGAATCGACCTCCTCATTGGCGATATAAGACCGCCGAGAACACGAGAAAAAAGGCAAAGGAGCTTACGAGTGATCAACGGCACGAGGTACAAGTTTTGAAGAAATACCACCCTAAGTTGACGTACATGGACTTGTCAAAATGGACCGGATTTACGCATAGCCAAATTCAAAGGGCCCTCACTGGCCCTCTATCACGAAAAAAGCGTGCCAGCCCATATAGAACAAATACATTAAAATGCACGGATTGTCCCGAGACTTATACTATTGCGTGGCTACCTATTAGTCCCGATTTGAATCCCGTTGAGAATATATTGACCTGGGTGAAAAACTGGCTTGAATTGAATGACAACATAAGGATTTGGAGGTCTCAGGAATTAAAAGAAGCCATTCTCAGGGCCTGGGATGCCATTCCTGAGGATCGATTGATGACCCTTGCGTCGTCAATGTACAATAGAATGCGGGATATTCGAAATAATGGTGGTAGGGAACAAGCCTATTGATTTTTCCAAATCTATGTACTGTTGCATATGAAAATGCATGTAGTTACAGGGACTTGGGTCTTCCCAATAGATACAATTAATATATTGTCAAATGCCATAAATTGGGGAAACGGAGTTGATTCTAGTTGAATTAGAACAAAATGAAGACTATACGTTAAACATCGTTGAACGTTTTTTAATCGTGCCGGAGGCATACAAGACTCCGCGTCCATTCGTTCCAACGTAGACTTGTCCCGCTGTGTTTCCACTACCAGCAAGTTTACAGCTATCAATGGAACCAAATCCTTGACTACCCTGAATGTCAGTCCAAGAAGCCCCATCATCTGCACTGCCATATAGCTTGGCTCCGGCAGAACCTGTACCAAACGCGTATACATTCCAGGTCGTGCCTGAGCCCCGTCCGAGCGCGATTTGATAGGTATTCTTAAGGCTTGTGGAGACCTGTGTAAAGGAAGATCCATAGTTTGTCGAGTGGAAAATTCCCGCGTCGGTTGATACCCAAACATCACCAGCCTTCGTCGGATGAGCTGCGATGTCACGGACTGCAGTGGCGCTGCCCAAAGACCCGGCTTTCGCAAACGATGTCCCGGTGTTGGTGCTAACATAAAAGTTGGCTGCGGAACCGCCGTAGAAAACCGTATTGTTCTGCTTGTCCGACGCAATTATAGCGCTTGAGGGGAGACTAGAGACTGCTGAAAAGGTGCCTTGATTCTGGGAACGCTGCACGCCGTTTGTAGATGTCGACCAGAGCACCGTGTCCGCCTTAGCAGAATAAGCTACTATGCCGCCGTTCATATTATTGTCCGCGCCAGAATACACATTCCAACTCGCTCCGCCGTCGCTTGATACTGCGACCTGTTGTGATCCAGCCGAGTTGCCAATACGAACGATATTCTTCACCGAGGCTCCGGCGTAGTCCACACTTGAAGATGTCGACCAGATGGGATTCATCCAAGGTGTCTTCGGAGAGGTCTTTAGACTGGCTGCATCTTTGAACGTAAATCCGCTATCGTCACCTACAGCTGCTAGTAACTCGCTTCCTCCAGGTGGCGAAGCAAGGTCCTGAACGGCGAATTCTTCTATACCGTCGGCGAGCGACTGGATTGAGACGTTATGGGCGGTGTCCCATTTTGTCAAATCGTGGCCGCCGAATACCGTCAACCCGGTAGAATACAGCCAATGATCGCTGTCAAGAGGATTAATGACCAATGCCTCTATCATCCATCCGAGATCCTTTGTGTCCGTGTCAATAAACCCCGTCTTAATCCATGGGGCTTTAGAAGTCTACAAAGGCCAGTATCAGTACACCTTTCTCTTCGGTATCTCACCAAATTACTTACTGTGAGTCCGTAGTAAAGGTTCATGTCCGGGTAGTTGGCCCATGCCCAGATCTTAGACCAAGTGGCTCCCGAATCGGTTGACCTAAATATCTGCGCGTCCGGGTACCACGAGTTCAAGCTCGCCACGACAATCGTTCCAGGTTTCTGCATGTCTACGCCAAGCCCACCGAAACCAAAATACAGATCACCGCCAGAGACCGGCGTGATGTCTTTCCACGTGCCCGCAGAGATGTCATATCGATATACTGCACCCAAGGTCCCGTCGTATGGGCCCGTGCCATCACTGTATGTAAGATACAGCGCTTTCTCTTTCGGCTGGAGGGTACACTTGTGGGGGAAATAAGTGCCAGGCTGCCCCTTTACCGGATTCCACGTGGTACCCGCATCCTCGGAGACATAGACGCTTGCGGTAGTGTTGTCCGCTGTACCGACGAAGATTCTCTTAGTAGCGCCGCTTGTTGTGCCGCTCGTAGAGTCGAACGTTACAAATGCTAGTCCTTGCTTGTCCCCATTATATCCACCAACATCATTAGGGTCGGGAATAAATGTCCCTGCAGCTGTAAACGAGGACACTTTGGTAAATGTCGCGCCACTATCTGTACTCTTCCACAATCCATTGCCGCTACGGGCTCCGAAGTACAAGATCTTGGAGTTGGCCGGGTCAACGGCAAGACGCTCGCCCATCCCCCGACCAGGCATATTTCCACCGACCTTAAAGGGAAGGCTAGTCGTCTTCCATGTAGCCCCTTTATCGCTACTGCGGATTATGGAGCCAGATTTCGGGTCCCTAGTCTAGTATTAGTGGCTCCAAGGTTAAGAAATAGTTCCAAGCGTAACGACATACCAGTCGTTTGTATACATGCCAACAGCAGCGTATACCACGTTCTCGTTCTGCGGATCAAGAGCAAGAGCATCAACGCCCCAATTATGCCAATTGTCATGGTCCGTGATGCCGTCCGTGACAGCAGTCCACGAATCGTCCTTATTAAGCCGATATAGGCCACCGATGTCCGTCCGGGCATATGCGACACCCTTAACCGTCGGATGGAAGACGATACCAGGGACGAACCCGCCGCCGCCGCCAATCTTCACATTTTGCCACGTGAAGGCGGCCTCGGCAGCCGCTGCGAGCAGCTGTACTGTTGCGAAGAATCTCATCGCTAAAACCAGTAGTCGTCTATCTAGAGGGTAAGCGGCTCTATGTAGGTACGTAGCAAGTTTTCTTCGTGGTACGGGTATCTGTGGGTATTTATTTATCTTCATTTATACGCAATTTGTACCTACATACGCGAGTCAGGGGGGCCGATGTCACCCCACACCGACGATTCCGGAATGCCATGGCGCCAGAAAAAAACACCAAATAGGCAAATCGCTTCTAGAACTCAGATGATATCGTGAGTCGACATTATTTCCTCGTGTTGGTCCATGGCCCACCGCCCCGCGCTGGATGCCTCATTCGCAAGACGGCGGATGGTCGAGCTACGACGGGGGGGGAATATGTGGATACGCATCATGTCCCCGATCAATTTTCCCGCGAATAGAATGCCTACGCTCCCGATGATTCGTCCCGATTCGGCAGGGAGGTTTAGCTTCCGTAGTTGGGTTCCCCTAGTCCGTTCAGGACTTATGCGTAGTGTTCGACGGACCTAGGCTCGATAATCCGACTCGCATGCTAAGACTCATCTTATACTATTACGTTGCCTTGAGATCTTTAACTTATGGGATTATTTATACTTACGATTCCGTGGTGAGAGGTAACGTTCACATATAACCCTTGATGTGTTATTATTAAACATCTTAGCGACAGGAAAAGGCGAGGGCGTTTTATATTGTTCTATCATATTGATTCGATAAACTCTTCTCATAACGATGGTTTGATATACCCTTCTGTACTTACATCGATTCTTTGACAGAGCTGTATTTTTACGAAGCTATTAAAGTCAGTAGTTTGATTCAGAATGTTAAGATATGTCATACTTTTAATGTGACTACCTTTTAGGACGTTAGGACTTATACATTGTTTATTGGTTGCTGTATCAGTTGAAAATATAACAACTCTAATTATAATATTAAAAAGACCTTGGAATCAAGGTGGCCATTAATAATAATTGCAATTGTCTAGTAACGGTCAGTCAATCTTTTGCCTCCGACGTTATTTATTACTGACAGTGTAGATTGCATGAGCATTGTAGTACTATATCATGTTAATAATGAGAGTACCAGGACCACATGCACATATGTATTAAGATAGCAGGACCATATTATCATATTTCTACACAGGTAGGTGTAATACAGTACAATATATTTCAACATTCTAAAGTCACACGATCCTAAACTACACCTCTCTCCGGCGCATGCCTAGGTACCTACCTAACCTATATATCTCGTCTATGAATACATCGTGATAGCTTTGAATGTTGGTTCTTTCTAATGATATGAAACCCGGGCGCTTGAGGCTCGGCGGCTACCGGCGTCAATCACAACCTCAGTTCCTAATAGAGATGAATGCGCATATGAAATACGACGTATGTAAGCATGCACGTAGGTATTACAACGGCGGCTATACCACGTCAGGCGGATTTCTCAGCGAATCGCCTGATGTGGGGTTTACCATCTTCCAATTGTATAGTAGAATCTATTACGCCTTGCTATATGTTAGCTAGAGAGTGAAGTTCGTATTTCTATTTGATGTCACTATAGGCCTCTGCATCTTCCTAGGGCATTTATTCTCGCGATTCCACGCATCTCTATTACACATCCACAACATCATTTGCCCGCATACACTACGATGGAACGCCTAACATTCTTCTTTGAAAACGTCGATAACCTCCCGGAAGAGCAATCGCCCGCCGGTGTTATACTTACTAAATTCGAAACCAAATTAGTCAACATTTTCTGCCGATATCTTCCGCCGATATCTTCAAACTGGAGATGAATCAGAAGATAGCTTGAGCTTGACTAATGCAGCAAAGGACATCATAGTCCTACTTCCAGACACATCAGATCCAGAAGGACTATCAGGAGATCTCTTAACATTATGGGAGTTGTGTATCGAAGCTGCACAACGAATCCCCCACTACCACATTTGTCAGATGAGGTTAGCACGACTCATCATCGCTCTACGGCATTCACCCAAGACCGCATCTGCAGCAGGAAACAAGACAGCTAGCAAAGAGATCTGTCATTATGATGGAAGCACTCGAGGCCGCTATGATAAGTGTCCATGGTACGACTGGGGGATAAATTTGCCTGGTTGGGCTATAGAGTAAGCACGCTTTAATTGGTAGAGGTTTCTTTCATCAGGGGCTTCATGATCAGGAATAAGAAATGTAAGACCACTACGTTTGCTATGCAAATCTGGGTATCACCTATGCAAACTATGAATTATTTGAGAACGATAAGGAAAGCGAAAGCGACGAAATAACCGAAGCAATAAATGATAAACGGGTAGAAACTGATCGACTTTATTGTGATTATGAAGACTCGATTCATCGCTGATAAAAGTGCATGTCTGGACAATGAACAACCCTGACTAAGTAATATATTAGAAAGTGAAACAACATACTCATTGAAAACTGGTTGTCATTGCGATATATCTATTGAACCAAATACAGTATATCTTCATAAGTTAATTATAAATTATAGCAACTATGATACTCGTAGAAGTCTATCAAGAATTAAAGTGACGTTGTAGGGGTACAGCCAAGTACGCCGCCAGGAAGTGACCAGCATATTCCTTAGCACAATATCCCTTAACCTCTAAACATTAATCATACTCAAATAGCATCTTAATTATTAAAAGATTAGGTAGCTAAGTGTATTTCACTAACGACTTTTGAAAGTGATTGCTTATTTAACTTCTTGTAGTGTAGTATAAGCTGTGCCGCGCTACAAAGGAATTAACGAGAGTCCTATCTTTCCTTTCCTCGCTACTAGCGTGAAGTATAACTCATAGGTGATGTGCGTGATGTAGACAAATGAAAGTATATGTTGTTCATTAAGTAGAGAAGAGAGAGGTGAAGTGTTCTAGCTGCGTGAGCCTGTGTAACGCTGGTCAGTTCTAGTGTAATATTCGCCTAGGGCTCGTTTTGGTAGAATTTCACTGTTGGCCTTTAACATTAAGCCTAGTAACCCTAGTGGTAGGCAGGTAGATGAGGGCAAGATAGGGTAGGGCATAATAAGGGGAAAGTAAATGAAATGGATGGGCGACCGGTGGCCGTCTTAAAACGGGCATAGTGTGGGGGTGGATGAACGGAGCGTCCGGTGACAAAACGGAGTGCAGGTGGCGGCCGGGAGTCATATGGGCTGGAGCAGGAAAGGAGGGGTGGCGGTGATGCCTTACTTTTGAATTCGGTGGCTATGAAAAAAAAGACGACCAACGCCTGAGAAACTGGCTCAAGGGCTTAGAAAGGGTCACCATACAAGGAAACTCTGTACTCTATGCTCTGCTCTATTTATCATCTAGACGAGGAAGCTCAGTAAGATAGGTAAACATTGAAATAAACCCGTGTTTTACTTGCTTGAACTACTTGGTTTATCGGAATTTGACCTTGGCACCGAACTGTTTGCAAAATTACGATTTGTGCAAATGTAGAAGCATTAGATAATCCGTGATAAAAACTCATCCTGCACGTTGAGTGCACGGTGTCCCAGCGATTTGGCCCTTGCTAAAGATAAAGCAGTAACGTTAAAGTGCCAGGTAAAATTTAATAAAGTGCCAACCCATCCACTTTCCACGTGACATAAACCATACAAAGCCACAACGCCATAATGAAATAATGAAATAAAAAAAAATATTTATTAGATTTTAGTTATATATATAAATAACTTAACGAATAAATATAAAAAAAAATCATGAAAATATTTATTAATTAAAGCAAAAGATTACGTAATTTATTATCAAATTTAAATAAAATTAAAATGAAAATTTAATATGTTATTTAATATAAAATATAAAAATAAATATAAATTTACGAAATAAATTATAAAAATTTTATTTCTTTTTTTATTAAATTTATAAATTTTTAATTTAAATAAAAATAATTTTTATAAAATTTCAAATATTATATATATAAAGTTATTTAAAAATATATTAAAAAATAAAAGATTATTTTTAGCCGCATTGGGATCAATTTTAGTCGTAGTCACGTGCAACCTGAATTATAATTTTTGTTATTTTTTAATTTAAATAATGGTATATTTTGTAAAATATTTGGATGGAATTTCATAGAGTTATTAATAATAATATATGAAAAGTGGTAAAGAATTACCCTGTATTGGTCAAGTGAACGGGCCATTTTCATTATGGCGTTGTGGCTTTGGTGGCTTATGTCACGTGGAAAGTGGATGGGTTGGCACTTTATTAAATTTTACCTGGCACTTTAACGTTACTGAAGATAAAGTGCTGATTATCCTTGGCGCTGGTGGGGAAAAACGTGTCTAGAGAAGTCTTATACCACAGTATACATTCTACGCTATATCTACATAATACTTGGTCTGGCTCTCTCTAATGATCATAATCTTGAGTAGTAATTTATTGTCTTCATCCTCCTGCATATCATGGGCTACTTAAACATTCGATTGCGATATTTATTGTTGACTACTCCGATTTAAACAGGGGTAACATACCTCATAACCCTTCGCTCTTCTGCATGTTACTCGCACGGTTCGCAATGTCGCATTCGTCGTCGTCGGAGTTGACGGAGTAGCCATAATCAAACGCAACCTGTGGAACCATTATGTGCCTGAATCGCCACTGTCAGACGACCCGACGGGGCCTATCTATACACATTTGGGAAGATAGTTCCGCCTTCGGAGTCGAGCGTTGATGGTTTAAAGTTGTCATATAAAGGACACTAAGTTAGATGATTAAAGAAATATTGAGTAATTGAAGATATACATTTTAGTTATTTAGACACCAGATATCAATGAACATAGCGAGGTTAATTGTGTTTAATTGTATATGGTCGCCTTCCTATTCTAGTACCCAGCAGCCCTTTTTCAAATCTCAGAAAAATATTTACCAACTGCTTATAGTAGTTAGTTTATGTAATTTCTTGTTATATTAACTAAGCATTTGGAACCAAGATTATAGTCACGCCATTTATTACCATAGGAACAGTCCCAAGGATCGGTTTGTGGGTACCAAGAACCCGGATACCAGGTTGAATTTAATCCGGTGGAGTGGAAAACCCTTTCCCACTTACATCCAATCGTATACATGCCTGGTCTGGGTGATCCTATAGCCCCTGAATCTATAACCCAATCCTCGTTTCAGTCCCTGTCTCATTCTGACTTACATACTCATTATATATGACAGATCATTATAGGATCATTACATATAGGTCTTACCATGGTAAGATGTTCATGCCGGTAATTGTCATCGCTACCACGTTGCTTGGGATTTGCAAGGTTGCACCACGATTTACTTACGTATATTCTTACCCCTATTTCACTACCTCTACATAGCTAGAGTAACTAGTCACAGACACGCCGTTGGTATAACGCGTTACTCAATGGTAAGATGACGATGTGAATACGGTTCAAACAATTAAATAGTTAAGAGGTCTATATCGGTCTAATGAGCGTCAAGTAAGGAATGAACCATGATTTTTTGTTGCTATAATGCCCCTAAGGAAGCTCGCGTTCCAGTGATGGGAGCCATAACCAGCATAGGCATATAAATGAGCGGTCATATTCTCCGTATACAAGAGCCTCTGAAGCTCATCCAAGTTAGAAAGGTTTTGCGTAAATCAGTGCAACTATAACTATATTATTAATATGAATTGCGCGGACTTGTAATTAAATAATCGTACCGTATATAATTGGTGTGTGGCTATTGCTGAGCCTTTTATCAAACATTCGCTATGCTGTTACCTATTGAAGTTTTTATCTACGTCTCTTTAAAAGATAATCCATCCCAACTTTTAGTTCCGAGTGACAGTCCATTTCGTCTCAACGGCAATTGCGTTCTTTGCTGGTAATTGGGGAGACGTCGTCAGATTTTTCTCCGACCCAGACTCATCGGCGTACGTAGCTGCCGTAGCATCGAATTTACCCCCCTCTTGGTTGTAGTCGTCCATCTCCCAAGTTGTCATGTTCATAGTGTCCGTCAAGGTATTTGCGTTCTTGCTTCTCTGGTTGGAATTTTTCATACCCTTAGATCCAATAGTCTGCTGATCCGAATATTCATGCAACTTTGAGGCGCCGCGGGTGCTTTCCTTGTATCTAACCCAAAACGGTCGCAACATCGGGATGCTGACGCAGAGAATAGCTAGGTTGGGCTCCAGGATGAAGAGGAAAATTGTGGTAGGCATTGTGCCTGTGATATTACTGTTCAGATCCACGGTGGAAATGTATATCACTCGGAAGACGGCACAGATAACACAGCTTGAATTCCTGTCAGCAAAAAAAAACCTCGTAGATTAGGGGAAGAGGAAGATTTACGCAATACCCAACGCGAAGCACGATGTGATCCCAATCTTGTCAGTTGTTCGCGTTTGTAAAGACCAGATAATCTTCATTGGGAGCGCCATGATGATAATGTCTCCAATTGCGTTTGTCACAATCAAAGATTGAATCATGGGGATATATGCACCACATTGGCCAATACCAGTCCACTGTCCCGAGATCGGAGTGCAGAGGAAAATGCAGGAGGCGAGGTATGATACAAGCCAGGCCGCCACGAATCCCAAACAGACCTGACCAGCGCGTTGCATGAAAGGGGTGGCGAAAACGCGTAGGAAGAAGAACAGCATGCTCGCTTTTACTGATGCTAATAAGGTGACATATATAACTTGCATGCAAAATGTCAACTGGTAGAGTGTAAGCAAAACGTCGTATGAAGCCAGTTGGGTATTGATAAAGCTCGTACCTGGAGGATAAATGGAATATTGGCCGCAACTAATGAACGGTCCAGAAGTTAGTATTAACTCGGGTTTCGAAGGCTTCACACTTTACGGCCGATGTATCGAGAACAAAAGGAGGCCAAGTAATGGGAGTGAACTCCGTGATTTTACGTATGACTTACGTTCTGGATGTTCGGGTAAATTATAACCATTTCCTATAGGTGCAACTGGATCAAAATGTTAGCCATCTTCTTTTCTCATATCATTAACAATTAAAGTATAAAAAAAAACTTACAAAGTCCTTGGCATGCCAACATGCCGACACCCAAAGGCTATAAAACTAGTCAGAATATTGGCTGTTCCTAGCGCATAGGAAGAGGAACGAACCGTCGCGAAGATAACCATATAATCATCCCAACCTAGCCCCGGACCTCTAAGTCGTCCTATAACTCTTAAAGTGACAGTTGCCAAAACTAAAAGGACTAAAATACAATTGACGACGAGTTCGGCTTTCACGAAGCCTAGTATAGGCATGAACACCTGGGGGACCGCATTGACCGACATGTTGATTGATGAAAACCCAAAAACGAAGAATATAGTAAACTTCTAACCTGGAGCGATGGTAAGCAATTGTTCTTTATAATAAAGACAACATTCTAGGATTAGGAGTATCCCGTATCCAGGGTGTGGCGGTACGACATCCGATTACCACCCTGAATGACCCATCGAAATCGAGTGTTAATAAACCTGGAGAGCCCCAAGGTTACATAGGCCTTTCTCATCTCTATTGGCGCCCCGTAATTCTCTCAAATGCCTGCCTCTTTCCCTTGTCTACTCAAGTGGCGGTCGTTGAATTGAAAACTCTTACGCTGGTTTAACATAGCAGGATCTCTTATGCAATAGATTTCCCTGTTTCTAGTTCCGGTTCATGGGGTAGTCGCAATACTGTAATACTAAACGATGGATCTGTAATATAGACTAGGTTCTAGCCCTGATATAAGATTTATATATCAACGAATGACGAATCTGAAATATATCTAACAAGCAGATATAGTTTAAATTTAAGATTTTGAAATAGAACCGGAGTAGAAAAGATGGAAGCATGCTACTTAGGTATATATGTTACAAATATAGGGCATTTTAAGTAGTTATGCTAATACATAACTGCCGGGTGACAAGACCTAGTGTTGCTCCCGAGACTCTAGCATTATCCTCATCAATATATCCTTGCCATTGATACCCGATACACAATTTTACCTACGTAGTGCATAGGAAAACAAAAAAAAGACGGGCAGCCTACCTTAAGGCGTACGTTCCTGGGCGCAAGGCTACTAGGAGCCCCTTTTATATTATGAAAATCTCCGATTGGTAAAACCAAAGAGGGGCATTCATATAGGAACTATCTGCTTTGATTAAATTGAATAAAAGTCTACTTGGCATTTTTTGTGTGCAGGCTCATGCAAGTAAGAATATGCTCATCTAGAGATGAATTGTGTGCGATACGAGTTGTGATGCTTGTTAGGTAAACAAGAAAGAGTTAGGCTAGTCTCTCCACTGTTACATAAAAGTAGACAGCGGTCAATACATACCTCATATGAAACTATTCTCGGTGAAGCTGGCCGCGACGTCTTTTTTATCCACCAAACCATATACGTAGTAGTCTTAGTCTACATATCAAACTGTAAGAAACATTCTAATACAAATTAGGGATTTTTGTAACATGGAGAAACCGGAGAAAGTATTCCTTAAGATGATTTTTATCGTAAGTAGCAAATGCGCCGGTCTCCTTTTGTATTAGTTCAAATTTCAAAAAGAGGCTCTATTTTAGCTTGTACGGGCCACGGGTAGCCCGCGGTTGATCGATGTCACTTAACAGACTAGACGAACTAAACAGACTAGACAGACTAGAAAAGTGCTGGGGCGGCCAAGTTTCCGTTAGTAAAGCCGAACTGAGGAGGCAACTAATTGAAAGTTCCCGCTGACGCTTAAACGTTTACTAGCTCTAGAGCTAGCTTGGATAACTCAAACTAAGCGTATGCGCTATAGAGTTAGTGTGACAAGTGTGGATACGTAACTTGCCCTATTCCTTGTTACGGCAGTAAAAGCGGTAATCATGGTACCCAACGTGATTTTGGCTTCTCCAAAGACAACAAATCCCATGATTATCAGATGTTAATTATTTCTAATGCTTTAACGAAAGAAAAAAAAAAGATTTAACTACCATAAGACAAGCATCCCATGTTTTCATTCATCATAACCATTGATAACAATAATGATATAATAATAATATTCTAAGGTTACCCCAGGATTCCCTACGAAATATATATCTGTCCGGGATATCTGATGCAATAGCTACGGGAAGCCAAGCAGACTAACTAAGGTAGCCAAATAAGGACAAATTAACAGTTTCTGTGGCTACCCTCAACTTCTACCTGCAATCTAAAACTTCTCTAGTATGGATTCCTCTTATGTCTTAGACATCTTATTGGATACTATAACACCTTTGCGACTAAATCTTATACTATGAACGAACTCCTTACTGATTATACGTAAGAATAACAGAGTTGATACCGCAGGTAGGCCCTTCGTACCATACCGAGCAAAGGTATGGCTTCTCGTGGAATAGCATAGGCTAATATATGTTTAGTTGTGAATAATATAGTAGTATCTATCATCTTTTAAAAGGGGCATCTCGACGTAAGTGGGTAAAGCGCCTAGCCATTAATCGGTCATCTCCGTTCAACTTCTCCAGATTTGCTCTTATTCCGCACCTTATCTATCTTTTAGAGCCAGTTGCGCCTTAGTAAGTTGCTAGTATACCATTATTTGTGCCAACGTTTCGAATTTTGAGGATGGCGAGTTGACTAAGTCACATAGATCATGGAGATGACCGGGAATACGGAACTATTTAAGGCGGTGTACATCGGAGACTGGTACTAAATTCGGAGTCGATGAGGCAAATGTCATCTGTATAAGTATCAAGGCGATGAAAGTTCAAGAAAATAGACAAATTCCATAATAACTATCAAAATATCATCAACAATGGCATCATCATCAACAGCTACTTACACCACGAAGCAATGGGTCCTCGCTTCGAAGCCCACGGGTGCTCCGGTGGTCTCCGGCCCCGATGCAACATTCAAATTGCAAACGACGACACTACCGCAGCTTAAGGAAGGCCAACTCCTATGCAAGGTGCGATATTTCTCTAATGACACCGGCCTCCGCAATTTTATCCAGAGCACAGTTGCGCCCGAGCGCTTCTACGTGCCCACGGTCCCTGTGGGGTCGCCCATGCGATCCGGCATTATTGCCGAGGTAATCGAATCCACGGCACCGAATTACAAAGTCGGAGATCTAGTTATGGATTTTCACCTCGGCACTTGGAGTGAGCTCGTTGTGTTGGACGCCGTTAATTCGCAACCCCTGACTCCTTTGCCTAACAACCTACCTATTACCCATTACCTTGGTGCATTCGGCGCATCCGGACTTGCAGCATATACCGGCTTGGCTTACGCCGGAGGTGTAAAGGCCGGAGACACGGTTGTAGTGTCAGCGGCTGCCGGTGCCACAGGATGCATGGCCGTGCAGATTGCGAAAGTGCTTTTGGGTGCCAAGACTGTGATTGGTATTGCCGGTTCGGATGAGAAGTGCGCATGGGTACGCGAGCAGCTCGGTGCCGACGCATGCATCAACTACAAGAGCCCGACTTTCGTAGAGGAACTAAAGGCGGTGACACCAAATGAGGTTGACGTATACTTGGACAATGTGGGGGGCCACGTGTTGGATGCCATGTTGACGCGCATGAAGAAGAACGGTAACATCGCCGTCTGCGGCGCAGTCAGTGGGTACAACTCAGACGAGCCTATGGCGCTGAAGAACTGGTTCGAGGTCGTCTCCATGAGAATCAACATCCGCGGCTTTATCATGTTGGACTACCTAGACAAGGCTCCTGCTATCCTTAAGGATCTCATCGGCGCTGCGGCGGACGGTAGAATCAAGCTGCAGAACGGCGAGACCATAGTAGAGGCTAAGATCGAGGAGCAGCCCGAGATATGGATGAGGCTGTTCACAGGTGGAAACCAAGGCAAGCTGCTCACCAAGCTTATCATTTAGAATTAGAGGCTACCGATCAATTTCTCGTATACACGAAAACATATAATGTTACCGTAGAATAGTTCTGTCTGGTTCATCTGATCGTCGTCCGTGCATATTTCAATGTACATACTACATCCCTTGGCTAGTCTCTTGATCTCCACACCCCTTCGTCCGGCCAAACTTCATCTGTACATAGTTCGTGGGTCCGTTCCTCATTTTCGTGGAGTTATGTCTGACTTGAAACCTGATTGTACGTCTTAATGCCAGCCCGATATATATCAGGCATAAATACAAGTCCATGGTCCATGTGCTGGGACGCGACGCACGTTTGGATCTACTCTTCAAACCCTAGCTCGCCTACCGCCACAAGTGTCTCTCCCTCGGTGCCGCCGGCCAAGCCAGTAGCCACGAATCCTTCAACACAGATTAGTACTAGTTAGCTCATCAGCAATTTCCGTCCGCCGTTAATTATTAGGTTAACCTACGCAATAGACGATAGACGACAGGCGACAGACGACAAGCGACACGCTACGTGAACAAGCATGCCCTTTTTGGAACTACATCTACGGATATTGACGACGCCTTAAGCCAGTTTTGGTCTTCTCGAATAGACGCTTACGAGTTCCGTTGAAAATTTAACGCACGACTTTTATAATCGTTGTTGAAATTAGTGGTGCCTAAAACTTTATTGGGATATCTTGAAGCCTTGCGAACGACGTGATATTATCCTGGACTAAATCTCCCGAGCTGCAAGCCTGTTAGCGATGCTGAGTTTTGCTTGATATGAGTACCTAATACTCTTAGAAATATCGCTGTAGTTTCACCCTAGGATAATGGTTCCGGTCCATACCTAGGTAGGTACTGAGGCGAAAAAGGTGTCCTTAAAAGCTGTCTTGTATCCTGATATCGATAGTCTCATAGTGTACTCTCGAATTTATAACAATACCTGTGATTGAATACAAGGTTTTTCTCTCGTTTGTGTGGCGGGTAAAACAGCGTTGAGGTAAGGTTCATCAGGTTTTAATCTTCTAATCAATCTTATACGAAGTTTTCCTACCATGTTCTCCCATTTAAGCAGTTCGATCAAAGTATACCTAAGGTATAAATCAAAGTTGCCATTGTGGTTCCTAATAAATGAAATTTGGCCCCGCGGGATATGAATATTGGTATGTTTAAAGTATATTCAATGTTAATCGCTAAGCGCTGAGGCTCAGCTCTCTACATGGCTCGTTTTTACCTTATCTTTCCGCTCTCTTTTCATAATAATCCTCACTAATAAAAAGCATTGCTTGTAGTGCTGCAGATCCAATGCTTAATTTAACTGTATTCAGTCTAGATGCGCTTGGTGTTAAAATTCTGGCTAATATGATGCTAGCAGGTACCTAGGTAATTAAGTTGAGAGTATGATTAGACATTTATTACTTATTCCCTCTGGTACATGAAATCTACGTAGACATGCTTTGCTAGGCTACTTCAACCTAGATAGGTAGTACAATATAACTTAGTAGAGGTTGCCACTATTTTATAGAGCGTTAATTCGATTGTTAGTCTTTATACAAGCAGCATAGCACTCAACATGCCTGTTTATATTTTAGTTATTAATATCTTGAATAATCTAGTATTGGGACAATGGTGAAATGAAAAATAAAACCAGCGCTTTAGACTACATAGGTAGATTGCCTAAGACTTTCACTATTTACCTTGGTGGTGTTGAATAAAGACATTAGGATTCGTGTTTAAACTATATTCATCTTAACTGGTGTTAATATCCGACCCTATTTTAACTAAAATCGCGCATAAAGTTGAACAATGTAATGTTAACTGAAAGGCACGATTCAGAGAATTAGATAGACCAGGTTTCCTAAAAGCGACGTATAATACTTTATAAAAAATATGTCGCTTGAACGCTCGAGACTTAGAGAACATGGACAAGAGCTGACGCCAGCAACAGTCTAAGTTTCCGCGGTTAACTACTCAAAGTGTGCATATAAGTTATAACCACTCCTCATCATGATGATATCTATCTGAAGTGGCTCAATCCTATATCCGAATTACAAAACGTAATGTATAAGACCCGTAGGATCTACTAGCATAAACGATGTACACATCAGCTGATATCCATCAGGATCTTCAAGACAACATCTCTGTGTAACACTCGTCAAGCAATAAACCCATGAGCTCTTCGGCGTTAGGAATGTAGCGGGGTATCAGCACTTGCGTCGGCAGCAAAACACGACGTTACAGAATATGCAGAACTACGAACAATTCAACAATGAACTAATGGACCGGAGAAAAAGGAGATATGTAGGCATTCCTTCGTCGCCAAATATCCTCTTAAATGATACCCCTTAAAAACCTCGGCTTGCTTTAACTCCTATTCTGTTAACTCCGAATATCGATCCTAACTCCGCTATCCCTACATACGACCAACTGGTTCGGAGCTGGGATAGGGCGAATGAATTTCCAAGTAACGCGATAGCGAATATGTCAGATGGCGGATGGCGGATCGTTCTGTCTCGGATACAACTTGTAGCCCGTCTTGAGTGCATTCAACTCCGGTCCGAAAGAAAAAAAAGTCCTTTGAGGAGGTTAAATGTTAAAACGTGTAGTTTAGTCAACTGCTTGCTTACACCTCGGAGGATTATGTATTCTCTAACTAAACGACAAGCTATCGCTTACACGGAGATAATTAGATTCCCCTTTCCTATATAATTCCTTCTCCCCTCACCGTCCATATTATGACTTTTCGTATGATCATACCGAATAAAACAAATAAGTCATGGTTTGATGAATAGCGCCGTCTAGCAGCAAGCGTAAAGCTCCCCCTTACTTCAGTTTCAACCTTTCCTTCAACCCCATCTCCACCCACCACCCACTACTCACTGCCCACTACCTACCGCTAAGTAGCCTCCCTCCGCCATGCCTCCGATAGCAGGCCAAAGCCTCCTAGTCATCGGCGGCACATCCGGGATCGGGGCCGCGGTAGCCAAGCTCGCCGCCTCCTCTGGCGTGTGCGTGTCCGTCGCCTCGTCGAACCCGAGCCGGGTCAAAAGCGCCGTCAAAGCGATCCAGGACGCCGTCCCCGGCGCCCGCATCAACGGCTACGTGTGCGACGTGAACCACGACGACGCCGAGTCCAGCATCGAGCAGCTGCTCTCCGACGTCACCAACGCCGACGGACGACCCCTCGACCACATTGTGTACACGGCCGTCGTGCTGGACGTGCGTCCCGTCGCCGACGTCAACATGAAGTACCTGCGCGACAGCATGCAGTTCGGATACGTAGTACCGCTGCTAATCGCAAAGCTAGCGCCGCGCTACGTGACCCAGAGCTATACGTCGTCGCTAACCTTCACGAGCGGCCGCGTTGCCGAGCGACCTGTTAAGGGTATGGCGGTCGCCTCGGGCTGGGGTGCGTCGCTCTTCGGCACCACGCGCGGTCTCGCGCTGGACCTTGCTCCCGTACGTGTTAATCTCGTGAGTCCCGGTGCCACTGACACGAAGAGCGGCGAGGAATGGACTCGGTGGGTGGAGATGATGGCTAAGACTTCCTTGCTCGGAAAAATCGGGACTCCTGAGGAGGTCGCAGAGGCGTATATTTATCTGATGAGGGATACTAACAGCACGGGAAGTTGTGTAAGTACAAACGGGGGTATCTTAGTTCAGTAGAACAAGAATTGGCGTCGAATGCTTGAAAGGCCGGAGTGGTATGCATGCTCTGAGATATACCAATTAGAAGTGGGAATTATGAGTAGATCGAAGTGGCGGCAACGGAGTTTGATGTCGTGAGTGGAAGTATTGATATGCTATTGGCACTTTTTATTATCAAGTCTTATTATCCCCCTTTATTTGGGGGTTTAATGGGGAATTAACTTAGGTAGTCACGCCTTACTACTGTTGTCTAGCAGAGACATTGAGAAAATATAAGATATTTGTACAAAAGAGATGATGCGTACCATTCATACGTACGTCTAATCACTAATAAAGCTATAACAATGCCAATGCCCTTATTTCCCGGCCCCGACCTGGTTGACCCCTTTTCAAGTTACAGTTATGAGATACATATCAGATAATGATCCATGAATTGTTCAATCCACAACAGAGCGATGTTTGATCTAATAGAAGCCATTTTGCTGACTGTGTACCAGTATGTGCGCAGCGCACATTAAAACTTCGGGTGGCAACTGCGCACTACCGGTACGATCCGCGTCTCTATTATTGCTGACCGCCACCCCCCCGCGGCCTCTTTGCACCATTGCCGATTTCCGAGTCGCCGCGAGGACGTTTGTTCCCCGGTTGAAAATTATCGACTGAAGGATTTAGGCTAGGCCGACCCTGTCCGCGTCCCCCACGGTTTCCTGCTCCACCACGGCCGCCGCCTCGCGCCTGGTTAGGTCCGCTTGGCTTGCGGGTGCCCGCTGTTGGCATCGGAAGACCGGTGGCTTTCGTCGGAATTTGCGATATTGCTGAGGGTTGAGCAGGTGGTTGTGTAGTTATCGATCCTGGTTGGGACGCGGGGTTCTGTGAAATTTGAGCAAAAGGAGTTTGAGGCCTGGAAGCCGACTGGGAGAAGGGATTATTGGCCGCGGGAATATTTGGAACCACACCCGGCTTAGGGATACCGCTATTCGGGATTGGTTTTGTTTCTTGAGGGTTTGTTACTGTGCTTGTAGGCTGGGTACTAGGAACTAGGGGATTGTTAGTAAAGGAACTGACTCCTCGGACGACTGGGGAAATGAAAAAACCTACTCGTTGCGGCGTTCGCCGTTGCCGGAACGGCTTGCGATTCCGTAGTAGTTGGCTGCTTAGGAGCCGGTGGAGGAGGTTTTGCATCTTTCGCAATTTCCCAAACTTCACCAACAGGTCGCTGTGGTGTATCCTTTGCAGCTGTTTCCACCACGACTAACTTGGCGGCAGCAGCCTGAGCCCTCTTCTCAGTCATATTGAGTTTTAGGTTGCTCTTCGATGTAGCCAAGGCAGTAGCTTGCTCTCGTGCTTGAGCAACCTTTTGCTCCCACTCTGTTTTCAATGTTTCTTGTTCCTCGCGCACTTTCTTGGTTTCGATCGCGAGTTTATTTTTAATGTTATTCTGAATAATACTCTTGATCGTCGCATTAGTGGATACAAGATCCCGGATCTCCTTATCATTTAGCGCGCTCAAGTTCGTTACCGAAGTTGAAGGCGTTCCTGCTGGAGTACCAGAAGAATTCTGCCGAGCTGGTGTGGCGGGCGGTTTCGTGTCGCTGGGCGCATTGCCATGTTCTGCTTCCCAGATCTTCCGCTCTTGTTCCATGCGAAGCTTGAAGTCTGCCTCTAGTTTTTCAATGTCCTGCTTCATCTGGGCTCTTTCCTCTTCCATCTGTGCCTTATAGTCTGACAGGCGCTTGTTCAGAGACTCTTTCATCTTATCGCTTCTCGTCTTCACTATCTGTTCATGCTTTTCGTCCAATTCCTTGAATTTGGCTTCCCATTCAGCAGCCCTAGCTGCAGCCTCAGAAATCCTCTCTTCCAGAGCTTTGCGCTCGTCGTCGGATAGCGGTGTTGTCGATGGCCTTTCTTCTGAAACTGCCGTTCCATTTTCCATCGGTGTGTCACCGTTGGCTGCTTGAGCTTGGGAGTTGGCAATGGCCTGATCTCGTTCCGCGATTGCTGAGTTTAGTTGATTGCGAGCGTTCTGTAATTCTTCCTCGATGGCAGATTTTTGTGATGAGACGTTGTCTAACTCTGCACGTACTTCTGCTAATTGACTCTGCAAGGAAGACAGTACCTGAGTATCAGACGAATCTGCCGGGGCAGAGGCGGTGGAATTCTTTCGTGCTTCGTCTTGAAGGGTCTCAACTTGTCGTTTGAAATTATTGATCTGCTCCTCTAAGCTGAGTCTCGCACTCTTGGATTGTTCCAACTCCCCCTGGGTTGTCGAAAGTTGACCTGAGACTTCGCTTAGTCTTGTCTGGAGCCTGTCCCTTTCAGCGACAACTTCATTCTTAGCGTTGGTAAGAGTTCTAGATCGCTCCTTGGCAGAATTGATTAGTTTTTCTCGTGTCACAGACCAGTAAGCTTCTTTTTCTTCAATGATCTTTTCCAACTCTTGTATTCTCTCCTTCAAAGGTGTCTCAGCTTCCTGCAGAGCGTTTCTCTCTGACTCAAGCTTGGTAACCGTTTGCTTGAGTTCTTCAACTTCCGCTGGGTCCGTCCTGCCATGTTTCGAGAGAATATCCTCTGTTCGTTTTTGCCAGCGATCTCGGTCTTCGTGGAGCTGTTTCATTTCGGCTTCTCTAAAGGCCTGCTGACTCTGAAGCTCCTCAATCTGTGCCTCGAGGGGCTGGATTGTAGATTCCAATTCTGAGATCCTGGCAGTCTTCTCGGCTAACTGGGCCTGCGCTTGACGTGCTTCTGTCCGCAAAGCGGCGCTACTTTCCCGGAATAGGTTGAGCTCCTCTAGCTTGCCCATAAGATCCTTATGGGCTATAGAGCTTCGATCGCTGTCACCCTGTGAACGGCGTTCCTGTTCAAGCTTTAGTCTAGTCTCGTCGAGTTGCGACTGCGTATATTCGAGTTGTTGTTGTAGTCTCTTGGCCTCTTGCACTTTAAGATCATATTGGACTTCCAGGATATCTTTCTCGCGACGAAGGTAATTGCTCAATTCTCGGAATTTGTCAGTATCGGAACCGCTAGGTTGCGCGGCAATGGCTTCAAGTGACTCATCAGTAGAGCTTCGACTTTGCTGTAGGGCTGAGACCTGTTTTATTACGTCCTCTAGTTGCTGATGAAGTAGCTTATTTTGTGCATTGGCATCATCTCTACGAGTGCGAAGTTCTGTGATTTCTCGCTCGAACCGTTGCCGTCGTTCATCCCAGGAACTCTGGCTCTGCACCAGAGTGGCTTTCGCTGATTCGGCTTCTGCTTTCCAGGTTGCTGCGGAAGTCTTCAGTTGGTTGTATTCGCCACGAAGATTGGATAGTGATTTTGCAGTTTCTCCATGTTTCATAACCTCGCTTTCGTATGCTTGCTGTGCGTGGGCTGCGATCTCAGCCTGTGCACGAAGGTCTTGCTGATGGAATTGCGAAGAGGCCGTGTATCTTTCTTCCTCATCCTTCAGACGCTTAATTTCTTCATCAAGTATAGCTTTCTCGTCCTCGAACCGCTTAGCGATCTCGGCCTGGGAATCACGCAGACTCGACAATTCGCTGTTAGATCTTGCCAATTCTGTCGATAAGTCCTCCACTCGTTGTTCAAGTTCCTTGATTGTGGCATCCTTAGCTGAAATTGCCGCATCCATCTCTTGCTGATACTGCTCCTGTGTAGAGTTGATCCTCTCAAGCTCCTCTTCCGACGCTTGGCTCAATTCTTTGTACCTTTCAACCTGCACTTGAGCGTTCTCCAGATGTGACCTCGTCATCTCTAGGTCGCGCTTAAGATCCGTTACTTCATGAATTAGATCTTGTATGCGTTCATCAGAATCAGCTTGTGCGATGCCTTGTTCAGATATAGGGACGATGGATCCCGGCCTTGGCGTAGGTCTTGGTTGGAGTCTCTCTGCGCGCTCCTCTGCACTTCGTAATTGGATGGTCAGCTCGTCAACTCTGCTCTGGAGGTGATCTCGACTGGTCTTAGTGGCCACAAGTTCTTCGCGGATCTGGCTTAAGTTTGTAGTGAGCTCATCGATCCGTTTCTGGAATTGTTGAGCATCGTATTCTTTGCGAAGCTGGGCCTTCTTTCCTTCCTCAACTTCGTCAGTTAACTTTCGTCTGGTGGCATTAAGATCGGCTTCTAAAGAATCAATTTGGGATTGGAGACGTCGTTTCATTTCGGATTCGCTCAGCTCGCGTTCGTTCTGGAGAGTCTGCTGCGTAGCGACTAAGCCATTTAGACGCGACTTCTCTTGCATCAGACTCTCGTTGTCTTGGCTTAGTCTATCGTGGATATCCTTTAACAATTTCTTCTCCGCTTTAAGGTTTGCATTTTCACTACGCATGCTCTCAAGTAATCCTCGGGCCTCGACCAAATCCTCGGCCACTTGCTGGGTGCGTATATCTTGTTTCGCGGCGGACTCGGACATTGTTTGATTTCTCTTCTGGAGTTCCTTGTTCTCGCTTTGTAGGGCGGCAAAGTTCGACTGTAGGATTTCATGCCGCTCCGATGCTAGAGAGAGTTGGCTCTGTAACTTGGAAACCTCGGCTTGGAGTGAATTTCTCATTGCAGATAGCTTCTCTAGTTGCTCTTTCATGGTTTTGCGGTCAACCGTTTGCTCATTCCGATAGAGATCGAAATTTTGCTGCAGATCCCGGAGCAGAGTGGTGTAATCAGAACCATCGTCGTTTGCGGTAGAATTCTGCTCGATGCTAGCAAGAACGCCATCCTGTGTAGAGCGGCCTAAGGCTGAAGCCATTTCATCGGCAGATGCTCTTGACTCTACTATACGGCGGAACATGTCTCTCTCCTTCGTGATACTTTCGGTTTTCACTTGAAAGCCCCTTAGGGTGTCTTTAAATATCTCCAGTTCCTGCTCGAGCCGAACACGCTCCTTGTGATCCTCCATTGCCTGACTCTTGGCGGCAATGGCTTCCTCATTCTCCATTCTCTCCGCAAGCTCATGCGTGACCTGGAGAAGTTGTTCATTCCGCTCTTGGAGTTCTTTAATGTTCTTAAAGACAACAAGACGTTCGAGAATCGAGGTATGAGCATTCAGCTCCTCATCCCCTACCTGGTCATGTAGTTGACCCCTCTCTAGCCTCTGGAGTATTAACCTTTCGTCCGAAGTGAGCTGGTCTAGGCCCTTCTCGAGACAATGCACGTTGAAGGTCAACATTTGGATCTGGGCGCTGAGGCTCTTCACTTCGTATTGTAAGAGGGTATTCCGCTTCTCAGCATCGGCAGCGGCCGCCTCGGCCTTGCGTGAAGCCTTCTTTGCCAAGTCTCTCTCTTTAAAGCTCTCGTCGGAAAGTTGCGACATTGTCTTCATCTCTTGCTGTAGACGTTCATTATCAGCTTGGAGTTCTTCCAGCTCCGGTCGCTTAGCTTCAAGCTGGTCAATAACATCGTCCAATTCCTTTGCTAAATTGCTGCTGCGAAGTTTTTCGGCGTTAAGCTGTCCTTTGACTTTGTAGAAATCTTCCATTAGTTGTGTCGTCGAGAATGATTTTCGCGTCGAACCTGGCGTCGCAAACGGTGAGCCGGAACGGAACAGTGACCCATTCAAGGGTCGTGGAGTCTGAGGTGCGGAACCAGGTTGTGCTGGGCTACCTGCCGCGACCATGGCCTCCAAGCGACCAACTTCCTCTCGGAGGGATTCGACCGCTTGGGAAAGCTCATCCTTATCCGAATTGGCCCTAGCAAGTTCTTCGCTGACCCGGCGGATCTTATCTTCACATTCACGTTTCACCTGCTCTTCCCTCGCCTCGACTTCTTGGACGCGTTTCTTGTGCGTTAAGGTCTGCTGTTCCTTTAAGTCGACCAACCGCCGTAGGCTATCACATTCCTGTCGAAAATCTTCTTCTCTGCGACCCGCAGCTTCTTGTAGTTGCTGAATCCTGGTAAGAGCATCGTCGGCCTTCTTCTGCGCTTCGTCAAGGCGCTGGCGAAGCTGCTGCTCAGTACGCTTGAGAGACTCCACGTTAGAGACCGCATCGTCATTGAGGCGTTGCAATTCAGCGATACGAGCTCCCTTCTCTTTCCTATACTTGAGCGCTTCGGCAGATTTAGTTTTTAACTCTCTCTCGAAGAAGTCACTGCTGTTCTGAGCCATCTGCAGCTGCTGCTGTAGCGACTGCTCCCGGATTTTGGAACTGCTCGCCGCGTTATTCGCATTCTGCACGGATTGCTGCAACGTTGTAATTTCCTGGTTTAATTTCAGATTCTTCTGGTGTTGAGCCTGTAGTTCTTGTGAGAGCGTTTCGTTTGCGGAGTTCTTAGTGTCGATTATCGCAAGCGACTCTCGGTTCGAAGTCTCGAGCGAAGTAATGCGCGCACGGAGTTTATCGATTTCGGATTGGGAAGTCGAACTGGATGACTTAATGGACTGTAGCTCGTTTTCTAACGCTTGACGGGCAGTTTCTGTTTGCTAACATGAATATTTATGATCATGGAATAGCGGTAGAGCGGAGTTTACGAACCTTCATTCTTGAGTTTTTGGCGAAGCTCTTCGACATCCTTGAGCGCCTTTTTGGCAGTCTCATTGCTTGCATCGCGTTGGGCCTCGGCGCTGCGTACGGAGGTCTCAAGCTCAACTTCTAGCTGAAGCTTCTGGGTAAACAACGCGTCATAATCATGGCCCTTAGCTGCGACAGCAGATAATACGGCTCTGATGAGGTCGGCGGTGGGATCTGTAACAACAGTTGTGAGGTTTCCCTCGGGCATACCCAAGTGGGAAGCCAGGTAGCCGAGGTCTACCTCCGCAGCTGCCATTTTGTCAAGTTTGTTTTTGGGATATGGCCATCAGGAGACGATACAGTTGTTCGGTGAGTTGATATTTCCGTCGGTATTCTTAGCAAAATCTTCTCAACGTTGTGGTTAGACAGTCGTGGATATCGTGAGTAGTGACGGCGATACAGACGGTAAAAGAAAAATTAAATGCGATGATACGGATTAAATAAAAGAGAAATTTGGTCAAGGAATGAAATCAGGGTAGAATAGACCGAGAAAAGACCATCAATCCATCAATCAGTCAATCAGTCAAGTCATCCAACGCTGTAGGGAAGAAGAAGAATTGACTGTGATGAAAGAGGCAAGGTGTGAAAGTGCAGAAAATAGAAAGTTCTGCTTTTCTTTTTTACAAAGGAACGACACACGTCTGCACTTCTGCACTAATCAAGAACAAGCTGTTTTCGGGTGGTAGGCGCGACGAGGCTGCCGCTCATTGTTGCTTCACACGCTATACCTTAGGTAGGCAAGCTTAAGGAGCTTTGACCATAATGTACCTGCCAACTAACCCACGTACATACGTAGGTACCTAGGTACCTAGTATGTATGTATTTGGGCAGTCCCTATATTAAATTGTTACTTATCACTTATCAATGCTCATAACCCATTCAAGTCATCCTCGATCTACATAGTAAATTCACAAGTCAACAATTGTCTTCACCAGTATGTATATAGGTATTCACTCTTTCGGGTTCTATCTACGAGATAGTATAAAACCTCTAATAGTATCTCACTACTAACACTTCGTCTTCTTGGCATAAAAAGCAATAGGGAATACCTCCCGTAGGAAACATATCAGGTAGGTTAGGTACCTAGGTAGGTAATCTTCTCTTACATCACCAACATAATATTTTCTCAATTCCATTTATCACATTAACCCCTAGCAAATTGCGTTTTCTTAAAGGACATAGCTCCCCATTTTATTATACGTATACCTACCTAGGTATGTTTGATTACATATTAAATATAATATGTACCTATATATTCCCTTTATTATTTACACCTCCAACTTCCACACCAGTCTGTAGGAACCATCAACTATTGTCCTTTATAGCCCCCGTCCACTTCGTGAAACCCAGTTACAGGTCCGGATTGCCACCCCATACCCTCAAGTTCTGACCTAGGTTGACCATGCGCTTCATACACTCGAGGTTCGCTCTGAGCTGGAGCTTCGTATACTGGCTGACCATATGCCTCTTGCGTAGTATATGGGGAGATGGGACTTGGTATTTGTGATGTGTGATTCTGACCGCGTAGCTCGGGCATCTGTGGAATAGGCGGCTGAGGATACCCACCATGGCCCTGAAGCTCCGGCGTATTGGGTGAGCTATATGCGGACACCGGCGAAACGTTGTCGACCCGGGTAGCTTCTTGGTTTTTTAGCACATCTAGATTTTGGCTACCATCAAGCTCGGGTTTCCCGCTGTATCCCGAGCCAATAGGTTGCGATACCGTCCCACTACCGTTCTGACCATACCTCCGTCGTCTCCAGAAGAAAAATGCTGCGAGTCCTATAAGCGCAAGAGCGGCCAAGACCCCAACTACAACTCCAACAATTGTACCCGTATTAGATTTATTAGTAGAATCGCTACTCGATACTCCAGACTCCAAAGGCCCTCCGCCGCCTTCGGAACTTGAACTTCCAGATCCCCCTGAAACCCCGGTCTCTTTCGGTCCAGAAGCCCCGCTGTTCGAAGTAGCCATTGTTTGCTCCACTATCGCGGTTATTATTTATATAAAATAAACAACCACGTATTTGACTTACAAGATTCGGTAACTCCAGCTGGAGTTGTTAGCCCTTTGGCAGCACTGCAATATAGGTCAAACACTAGCAATGCTGAACTGACATCTTCAGTCGCTGTCGAATCACAAGAGTATTTCACATCGGAGGTGATGGCATTACTCATAAAGCCAGACATGCTACTTTTAAGACAAGCGCATGACGCGAGGGCCTTTGGACCATCGGGACAGAGATCATAGGTTTGCTTCGGAGATAAATGTCAGACGCCAAATAGCAATTCTATGCAGGATTTATGATCTTACACTTAATACTCCATACGACAATGCAGACTGTGCGCAAGGAGCCAGCGAGCTATATTCAGGTAGCGCGGTAATATGATATGTCACTACCCTATCCATCAACAAATATTCAAGTAAGACGAGAAGATGGTCCGTGACTTACTATCGCCAGGGGGGTCCGAAGTCGTTGGGAATGACGAGGTTCCTTTGATCAGCCCGCAGTAGCCTGAGAAAACGGCTTGTGCCGAGTCTATATCCTCAACATGTGATGAGCATGATGCTTTCACAGACTTGTTGATACCCTGACTGGCTAGCAAAGAATTCTGGTTCTTATTGCATACACATGTCGCAAGAAGGCTCGGCTCTGCAGGGCATAGATCATAAGTCTGCCCTCCCAATATTAGATGACATAACGATTATATCGATATCTAGGTCGAACTCACCATACTCCTATAACACGGTCAGGAGAAAGATCTTCAACAAATGCAAAGTCTAAACAAGAACTACAAAACTCACTGGACGATGTAAGACAATCCACTTGCGGCGCAAGGCGCGAGATCCTGCCACGCTGCAAAGTCGGTAATATATTGTGTGACCGGATTAGAAGGGGTTGGGAAGGGTGTAATTGAGGCCTGGTTACAGTATGCGTTAAACACGCTCGCCGCACTCGCTTGGTCTTCGGACGCAGTCGAACCACAACTACGGCTAACTGAACTCGAAATTCCCGTCGATATCGAGGCGAAGTTGTTGTTTTTCGTGCAAACACATGATTGGAGATCTGTTACAGCTTCGGGGCAGTTTTGATTTGTTTGCGCCTGGACATTCTCAGATACTGCGGACGCTGCACATGGAGCCTAAGTACAATCAGCACCATATTCGAGCAATAGGTCACTAGTTTGATCCGTATCTCCAGTCTTGTTATGTATTATGACATATAAGGTCACTCTAATAGATGAACATAAGAAATAATAACCCAAAAAAAGGTAACACTATTAGTGAAGAAGCCGAACTTACCAACACGGTGAAAATAGAAAGATCAGTAACATAAACAACCTCTTGCGCTCTCGCAAATGATGCACCTAGGCAAGCCCAAACGAGCAACGACCGTAGATGAGGCATTATTCCCACTTTTCATAACCAAGCCTAAGGATAGAAAACCTTAGGGGTAGGTGAAGATAGTAAGATGTGTAAAGGTAGACGATATAGCTTAAAAGCAAGAAATGGCTGACACAATACACCAAGATCCTAGCGCCGCGATCATCACAGGCAGCCAAACGTCGACTTTTCTATCGGTTTCTCGAGGGACCACTCCCTATCTATGCCACACCGCGTGCCCTTGTTCACGAAGCGCCATACCCCTGACAGCTGAAGACTGGCCACGCCCGCCTAGTACGTAAAAGAGCGACATTCTGCCCAGCTCGGGAAAAGCTGAAGGCTAGGGAAAATTGATGCAGCCACTAGTCACTGATGAATTATTAGCGGCGGTTTTGAGATAAATGAGCTGCCATTCAGCATCCGCTAGCACCAACTTCATGGCAGAAACGCCAAGATCTGATCCACTTACATGCTTCCTGTTTCTTTATTATAGTCGTACAAATATGAATAGTTTGAGAAAATGAGTCAATTGGCAGCTGGTTGGGGGTAAGTCTATCGGATTTTTCTTCAGCCATCAAGTCCCTTAATATATCAGTCAAAGTTGTATGACATTAAATTCTGATCCTTTAAGAAACAATGGGATAAAATACGAAGTGCTTGCTTATATAATCGGAATAAACCCCACGGACTTTGTAAACTACGGTGTGAAATATGATAACTGTAATGATTTTTTTCAATTTTTTTATCATCTATATACTTGAATCTATGGTTAATTAAACTCCCGCTCTAAATACGTGGTAAACCCGTCGTGTATAATTACCTGCCTTAGGTATGGATATGACATTATCTCATAGTTCTCGTCACAACAGTACAATAAGAAGTTCCAACGGCTGTTGGACTTGCCGACTGCGGCGCAAAAAATGTGATGAAAACCGTCCTGTATGTGACATGTGCGCCGCACTCCACATCACCTGCCACTACGATCAGGGCAAGCCAGAATGGATGGATGGAGGTGTGAGGCAGGAAGAGATGGCTAAGCGTCTCAAGCGCGAAGTTAAAGAAAATGCTCATCTCCGCCGTGAGGTCCGCGCGATCCACGTCCCGGGCGAGCTTCTTGCGACAACAACACCGGAAAGTCTCAACAGTGAAGTGGAAACACGCCCCGAGGCATCCGCTATCTGCCTCCAACGTGGGACTGATTGTAAACTTGTCAGCAAGGACATTCACGACAATGTATCATTTGGCCGATCTTGTACTGTTCTTATCACTTTCTACCTCGAAAACTTACTTCCATTCTTATTCCCATTCTACTGCCCTTCTCCCCTCGAGGGCGGTCGATCCTGGATCTTGGAGATGATGTTAAGCAGTCCAGTAGTACGGCAGGCCACTTTATGTCAATCTTCATACTTCTTCTCCCTCGCCCAGGGAACAGCTAATCACGATGCAGTTTGGGAGGCGGTACTCTCGCAGACTAGAGATGCATTTGGGGTGCTTAGACAATCACTACAGGTTATCGATGGCTCAAGTATCACAGAACATCTACACGGCGCTGTGCGGATTATGGCAAGCGTCATGCAAATACAGCGTTTCGTGATTACTGTTTTATGCTTCAATAACTGCCAAGCACATCTAAACGCTGGCTTGGCTCTTTTCAAACAACTTCTAGAGAGTCCTGGCCCAGTCGAATCGGCAGGGCCTAGTTCAAATTTCAACACTGTCGTAGACCGTCTAGGGCCGCCGACATGGATTTCGCCCGCTCAGGATGTCAAAGTTCAAAGTGCCGAGCAGGCCGCTTTTCGTTTCTCGTCTGCCCTTTTGATCTTCGATGACATTATTGCTAGCACGGTTCTTCAAGAGCAGCCTAGACTTTACGAGTATCAACACTGCCTACTGAGTGATGCCAATGGCATCGATCCCCTAGTCAATCTTGAGACAGTTGTAGGATGTCAAAATTGGGTGTTATTACAGATTAGTGAAATTTCCGCGCTTGATGCATGGAAGAAGCAGTGCAAGGCAGCAGGAAACCTCGATGTCATAGACCTAGTCCGTCGCGCTACGGCTATAAAGGACTTCTTACAAACTAATCTTATTCGACTTGAAACCGAATCGTCGGCCATTGCACAAAGTGGCAGTAACTTATTAGATGTCTTCAACGTATACTATTACCATCAATCAAAGACATCCGGTTGCCAGAGTCGTTTGACTACACGGGTCTGGGCTCATGCGGCCTTGCTTTATCTCAGCATTGTTGTTTCCGGGTGGCAGCCCGCCAGCGTCGAAGTACGTTACCATGTTGATCGAGTCATCGGCATTTTAACACATGCAACATCGCCAACAACGTTGCTGCGTACGATGGTGTGGCCATTCTGCGTGGCAGGCTGTCTCGCAGAGCCGTCGCAGGAAGCTCATTTGCGCGAAATGGTGGCCGTGTTGCAACCGCCAAGCATCTTCGGCACGGTACGCAAAGCGCTTGAGATCATGGAGGATGTATGGCGCAACAGAGACGCAGGTAATTCTGCAAGCCGCGACCTTGCTACGTGCTTTAGAAGTCAAGGTGAACTAGTATTACTTGTTTAAAAACAGTAAAAAAAAAACTGTAAGTGTCAAAATCTCTTTAGGGTACGGAATTTAGTCATTTACATTGACATAGACTTCAACAACTATGAAGATTCACTAAGTCCTCATTCCAGTCCGATCTGGTTACTTAAACTGGACATAACCCTTGTCCTTCACAAACGTGGCATGCCATGGCACATTTCCCTCATGATTTGCCAACTGCGCAAAGAATTCACCATGCGCAGCACCATCGAGCGCAAGCCCCTTACTCTTGCCATCTCCTTGGCGCTCATCAGCATAGAAGAATCTAACGGGCAGATGATGTTAGAAATACTCCAGACAGAACATTTTCTTTTCCTTAGAGGACTTACCGGAACCCCTGAGAGGAATATACACTGTCCGCAACACCGACCCAAAATGCCGATGCTGATTTGCCCATACCAAGATCTACCATAAGGGGCACTGGAACGACAGAGACGTTCAAAATGTTGCCGGTGTATATAAATGTCTTTTTAGCCTCCTTGGGCAACGTTGCCCATCCAATGACAGCCTGCTGGGCTGCGACGTAGGGACTAACAGTGTTGACGTTGAGATCCGATACGATACTGTCCGATGGGATCGAAAAAATGGAGTCCTTCTCGGGAGGGTTCGTAAGTGCTGCTGCGTTGTAGACAACAACACTAGGAGCTGTCTTAAACTCGGTCTTGACCGCATCGAACAGCGCCGGGACTGAGTCGGGCTTGGTGAAGTCCGCTTTGAGTGAGAGAAACCCTTCGGCGGTTTTGGAGCCAGTGCCGCTCCTGGAAGCGATAGCAACTTTATAGCCGTTGCTAGCGAATTTCTGAGCGACAGAGGCGCCGACTCTGGGCCCAGCTCCGAGAATAAGTGCAACGTTTCCCGACATTGTGTTTTTGATAGTTGGCGATAAAGACGAATCTTAAGGCTCTAAGTTTATAGAGAAGCTAAGATATAAGATGAAAGATGGACTTATCTCGAAGTTGATATGCCCCCTATTTATATTTACCAGAATCTACGTTCAATCACGATACATCCGAACACTCCGCCATCTTTTACAAATTACGGATTTGTAATCCTACTATTCCGAAGTGCGAGGTCAAAGGTCTAATAGGACGAATGTCATCATATCAACCCATCAACCCATCATGTAGAGAGTATGAGACCAACCCAATCGTCTAGGTTGTATTGCTACACCATCATCTGCAGTTCATCGAGACCCACAAGCCGCGCGCGAGGATCCATCAAATCGAATAAACTAAGAAAGATCCTAGTCAAGCCGCGCGCGATGGACCCTGCAAGCTTATTTCAGACCGCGCGGGGAGAGCTCCTCGTCCAGATATATAACCTATTCGTAATCCAAAAGAGCCGTGATTGGATGCAATGGACCTGGCTTATTAGGTAAATAAACTTCATCGCGCGCGGGAGTGTCTACCCTACAGGATATTGAATCTCTAACATGCATGATCGGCCCTTCGCATTGTATATCATCTTAGCAGTTTTCTAAACTTCTATACTCTGTATATTTAAACAATGTATTTGTCAGCTCGCGGTCCGAGTGATTCGAATATGCCACATCTGGCCGCTTCTGTTCATAAGACTTATGAAAGTCAAGGAAAGGCTAGGTTAGACATCGCCCGTCATGTCCTTGGCGTTGCCGTCCAATAATTTTGTTGTTCGATCAAGGTACATATATTTTGCTATTCTCCTTGTAACTTTATCCATACTGCTCATCTACCGCACCACTCAGTCATACACAAATAGTATTTGGCAAGCTATCAATATACGATTAGATAATATGGCTGGTTCCTCGTATATAGATGGTCCTCCACGGCTTCCGGTGTACTTCCTCGGTATTGGCGGTCCCAACTTCATAGAAAATACGGCCCATCCTGCCTACACCAAGCTGGTCGAAGTCGGACAGGAGATTACAACAAAAGTCAAACCCAAGGCCGTGGTCGTTTTCTCTGCCCACTGGCAAGCCGGCCCAAGCAAGATCCAGATCAATGTAGCCAAGAAAACGGATCTGATTTACGACTTTTACGGCTTCCCGTCACACTACTACGAACATGACTATCCCAACAAGGGAAGTCCCGAGGTTGCCGAGAGGGTTATTGAGAAGTTATCGGACGCTGGTATTGAAGTTGAAAGAGTTAAACGAGGTCTTGACCATGGCGTATGGGTAGGGTTTATGGCTGGTAAGCTATGTCATGTCTCTTATATATCATCCAGGTATGTTTTGCTACTAATTCGATGCCATGTCAGCGTTTGATCCAAAACGGAACCCATTAGATGTACCCATTGTGCAAGTTTCGCTATTCGATAACGAAGACACCGATCAACATTACCGCGTGGGACAGATATTAGAAAGTTTACGGGACGAAGGCATTTTGATCATCGGTGCGGGGATGGCCGTTCACAATCTTCGTGATTTCAGAGCCAACAGGGCTAGCGACCAAACCATGCCGTAAGAAAGCCCTGCTAACTATACCAAGCCGATTATACTTCTGCTGACGCAGTTTAGTTACGCCTTTACATTTGATTCGGCACTGAAGGAGGCTGCTGCCGCGAAGCCAGAAGAGCGTCGGGAGAAGATGCTCACTTTGATGAAGCGTGATGATGCCAGGAAAGCGCATCCGACCTTGGACCATATCCTTCCGATGCATATTGTTGCAGGTGCTGCAGGTTCTGATGTTGGCGAACAACTATGGACTCTACCTGAAAAGAGTTTGAGTTGGGCACAGTACCGGTTTGGTAAAGTTCCGTCGGCGTAAAATAGCGCTGACATCAAACAATTTGGATGTCGAAGGGGTTTCCTAGTTGTGGTGTATATATTTGTAGTCTTCATAGGATCTAAAACCTAATTCAGATATTGGGTGTATTGCTATGTAAAAGCGAGGTCGAAGAAATTTAATTTTTATTTCCCTGTATCAAGTATCTCCTAGCACCCTCTACTGAGTAAGAAATAAACCTTGAATTAGATATTCAACTTGAACAAATGTTTCTATTCCTATAAATAACGAGCGTTCAAGTGTCATACTGCCCTAGCGGGTGAAATTATGGACTAAAGATATAAATAAGGCTGTTTATGAAGGTGAATCTTTTGCCGTCTCGAGAACACTGACGTGAGATATAACCAAGTTACTAAAACCTAACACAACCTTTTGCTCATTATACAAGTCCCTCTATCACCTCTACGACTCGATCTGGTTGGTTAATGAATGGGCTATGTCCAGCTGAGCACCTCTCAACCTTCATGCCTGATATTCCGGCCGCTAGATTCTCTTGTATGTGCGGAAGCATTGCCATGTCATTCTCGCATATTAGGAACGTTCTTGGGATGATAAGGTCGGAAGCAACGAACTCGACTGGCGTTTCGAGGGCGTCTTGCGAAAACGGTAGCAAGGCATCGAAGCATTTTTCGGCTACATCATCCGGGAGATCATTGTAAAAGTCTTGCTTCGCTTCATCACTGGCGAAGCATGTTTTATTCTATATATTTTCCTGGGATTAGCTTCCTGAATGCTGTAATATATACATTGAGATTTGAAGACTGCGGTGCTTACCCTCTGATATGAAGGTTGATGTGTCATCCAAGATGGATATTTCCCCCCTAAGCATTGTAGGATATCCATGCCAGCTTGTGATACAGCAAAAGCGGCCATGAAAAGGATTGCCCGAAAGCCTCCTTTCTTACCACCATTTTTCCGTTCCTCGACGGTAAATCCGCTTGTAGCAGCACAACCAGGAACACCTCCGTAGGAGTGACATACAACGATGAATTCCTTACCATTGTCCATGTGCGGTTCTACTGTCTTGTGTATCACTGCAACATCATCCTTCCACGTTATTCCAACCTGGGAACTACAGCTTGGCAGAGGTGGAATGAAGACCTCGTATCCCTGTGCTTCCAGCTTTACCTTCAGTGAGTGATAATGATCAGGCTTATGGAACCCTCCTACGACGACAATAACCGCAGGCTTCAACATTTCTATCGTAGAAAAATGTTCACAAGCTTCCTGTGTTGTTAAGTGCTTTAGTATTGGAAGGTATAGAATGGGTATTAGGTGCAGTCTTGAACTGGGTGAGTGAACCACAATAGCGAGTGGAGATAAATATATAGGCGAGGAAATAAGGAGCGAAGCGTGCGGTAGCATAGACATAAACATACTAGGATTAAAAAAACCCGCCTGTACATAATATCAGAAGCCACATGTCTTATAGGCGAACAGTGTGTAGTGCAGCGTCTAAGATATACTGGTAGAGTATCGTATTGGCTATTTCTAGGTATATTAACTATATGACCTATCATAAAACACCCATGTTGGAGTTAGTAAATGGGAGAATGGGATAAAGGAAACTCCAGTGTGAAGGGTAGTAATCGTCCCTAACAACAATATTTTATAAGACCTGTTAATAATTGGGGGCTAATATCGAGCAACGAAAGCTCCTAGGTTAATTGTTTGTATCCTAGTTTAGGATAATATGTACTACTATAGGATATCCATTTGTAGTTGAGCGTCAAAATCTGGGGTATGGTTACGAGAGGGAAAATTAATTTAATATCCTTATTGGAGACTGTGTCACACAGAAAAGCATCTCTACTTGTTGACGTGTGGGTTGGGTTGTATTGACTAATCCCCTATTTCTCTTGACATTCTTACATCCACAATTCCCTAAAATCCTATTCGAGTACACTAACAATAGGCACTAAATTGAAGTGCCTCATTTGCGTATTGTTGTTTTTATATTCAATCTAAAGTATGAAGAGAAATGTAGTTGATCAAGACAGGGAACTAAGAAGTATCATGCCAATCCTATGGTCCTATGGGTTGTATTTATATCCATTGGCACGTGACTAAATAAGTATTGCCGACTTCGCTCCAAGAGGTATTAGTTATCTTATTACCATGATCCATGATACATTCCATCAACTACATCGCATATTTCATTATTTCCAACTAGGCTTCATCTCCATAGATGATTAATGTCTCCATCATGGCTTATGTAACACGCAATCCATTAGCTATGCGTTGCCGTGTAAGCCGTCTTACACCTACTACCCAAGTCCAGCTTCATACGGGTTGTCGATTATCTGCGCGGGTTCTGCAAGCCTTCTTACCGTCTACATTGTCGCGATGTTTTAGCACTCAAACTACTGACCGACAGGATAACCACCTTACTACCCTAAAAGTGCAAAAGAGCAGACTAATGGATGCATTGCATCATACGTGCTCTTTCGGGACGGGCAAGCGATGGGGAAGGCAAGTCCGATTCTGAACTTGATATTCCTGCAAAGCAACATACTTATATCACACCAATTATAGTGCGTCGACCGAGACAGGCATGTCACGGCTTGCATTGAGCGACTCAGACAAGCAAGCTCGGGATTGGTTCGTCAAGACAACCAAGGCTTTGGGATGCAACGTCACTGTTGATACTATGGGTAACATATTCGCTATCCGTTCTGGTCGACGTGAAGGACCGGCGACGTTTGTTGGATCTCATCTCGATACGCAGCCGAGCGGTGGCCGTTATGATGGGATCCTCGGGATTTTAGCTGGTATCGAGATGCTCAATGTACTACAGGAACATAAGGTAGAGACCGAGTTCCCAGTTGGTGTTGTAAACTGGACTAAGTATGTCTGGCCCTATGTCGGGGTTTTTGCTACCCCAAATCGGGCTAAGTCTTGAAGAGAAATCGGACTAATGGGTTACAATAGCGAAGAAGGCGCTCGATTTCCGATCAGCATGATGTCTTCAGGGGTATGGGCTGGAGAGATCGCCCTCGACCGCGCTCATAATACTCAGGAGGTAGGCGGGGGTACTGCAACTGTAAAGTCTGAATTAGAACGAATTGGATATCTCGGTTCCACACCAACGAGCCATCGGAGCACCCCCATGGCCGCTCATTTTGAACTCCATATCGAGCAAGGCCCAATCTTAGAAACAGAGAAACAGAAGGTCGGAGTTGTAAAGGGGGTTCAAGCATATAAGTGGTTCACCGTCGACATTCACGGACGAGGTACTCAATCCGTGCCTATTTCTAGGAAATGAAAAAACCAAGCGGTTCTGAGCTGACTGTATGGGACTACCAGATGCACACACAGGTACTACGCCTCTAAAAAGCCGTGCTGATGCGATGCTGCTTGCAGCACGCTTGATCACTCATTCGCATCGCCTAGCAACTGCGCATTCCGCAGTTGCTTCGACAGGTATCCTAACATTAAGCCCCGGCAGCACAAATACGATTCCTGGACACGTGAGCTTTACGCTTGATATCCGCGCGCCTGCTGATGCTACCGTCGATGCCATGGAGGCTGATCTAAAACGGGACTCTGCAGCGCTGGCTGCGGGCAATGATATCGGGGGACTTCTCGCTAACTCGACGCCAGGGAAGCCGCTAAATGTCGAATGGCGAACGGACTTTGTCTCTCCTGCCACGATATTTCACCCAGACTGTATTGCCGTTGTAAGAGCTTCCGCCGAGGCGGTCACCGGTAACAGTAGTTTAGTGCGGGATATGACTAGCGGAGCCGGACATGACAGCGTATACGCTAATCGGCGATGTCCGACGAGTATGATATTCGTTCCGTCGAAGAACGGTGTTAGCCACAACCCCGAGGAGTACACCAGCCCCGAAGATTGCACAATAGGTGCAGATGTTCTTTTGCAGAGTGTACTGAGATATGACCGTATGAGGGCCGACGGTAAGGGCCAAGTTGTCTAGGTCTCTTCATGGGAGAATGTAAATATCAAAGCTGACATGACTAACGTTTCCATGTATTGGTATGGAGGCCACCGCAACCACTATTAATCCAGTATATAACACCCGGTAATGATTGACTTTATGACATGGGCATTATACTGCTTAAATGTTATTTTGGGCTGTTTCTATTCTTGGAGGGCTCGGTGTTTGAAATATTTACAATAGGGGCTATATCGGCTCAACCGAGGGGGATGCCCTTGGGATATTGTAATTCTGATGATGCTGCTATGGCATCATATAGGTCTGGACAATCTAAAGACATTGTCTACGACATGGCTGCATATTCTTGATTATGACTGTAAGGACGTGCTTAAGCTTTAGCTTGAGGGGGGGCGAACTGAGCAAAACTTTATATGCCGTGGCGGGGATATTGTGGTTTTTTAAATATTAGATATGTATAAAACTCAGTCTTTCATTTGTCTGACGTTCAAGTTAATGCGCTTGTTCCGCATCCATCCTTTCCATTCTTGAAACTTGTCGCCTTCTGCCGGCCAATCGGCTAAGAAATCTGGACAGGTGCCTTTAAGAACCTTTGGTACACCATGCCAAGCATATCGTGATTCTTGGGTCATGTAGATGGCATCTCCGGATCGTAGTCGCAGAAGAAGGTATGGCTTCTCGGAAGCTTCTCTACCGGTCGACGTGTGTTTATAGCCATTTGGCGCGATCATGAATAATGCATCACAGCCTATGCTGAGACTTACAAGACCCTTGTCTGATTCCTCACTAACATCTCGATGCATCATCATCGTGTCTCCCGGGCTATAAAAGTTGACAATAGCAGCCTGGGCAGCAGTATCTGGGAAGAGAGTCTGAAGGAAATTGGCAATATCATGAGGAAAATTAGGAGGAGCTTGGTTAGGATATTCTCGATTGGTCCAATCGTATTGCCCCCCGAGCGTAACCCAAGATAACCGCCGTTCAAGGACTTGCTTGATAGACAGCGACTTGTGAACAGTGGGGTCTTTTGGCAGGAACTTCGCAGATGCTTCTGGAGAGTAAGAGAAGAAAGACCGGGAATCAATATCTGCCTTATCTTGTCCTTCTAAATAAGGAAGATCATAGTGTAAGTGTAAGTTAGTCTGGTGGGTAGGATTGCTTAGATCCCTATGAACCATGCGGTATAACAATGCTTTCTGCGTTCTTGGGGGTATTAAGGAGGGAAATATAAGCAAGCCTGTAATCTAGTATGAGAAAAATGGCTATAATAGTAAGGGAGCAGGCTTACCTGGGAGTAGAGGATGGAAATAGAAAGGGGCATCTTCAATGGTTTGATTTCCATCCCAGTTACTACCTTCGAGTTGCTTAAAAGAAGTCGTGAGATTTTCACTTGGGATATGACCTGCTAGCTTGAATGCGCCCACAGTGTTCGGGGGGTGTAGCTCATCTATGTCTGGATGACTCGTGAATTCCTCATGGTTAGTCCTCGAATATTTTTTCCACGTAGCCTTGAGCTCTTCATCTGGTTGCTCATGAGCGTCCAGGTCAAGAGTCATAGTGGGCAAAGACGTAGGAATGTCCGTGTTGATATATTAGATAATATTTGTTTCTAGAGTTAGTGTTTTTAGATTTAGGAAGTTTGATCATGACATTTTTCATGCTCGGATGCCCCTGTCACTTCCATTGTATGTATGTGAAAATATTAGGTACATTATAGCGATAAGATACGGAAGGGCATTATGTACCTGCATGCGGGTTTGACGCCGAAAAGATACACTGATGTATGTATATCAGGTACACTGGGCACTTGTAATATAGCAGACGTGTACATGTATCGTAGTTGCTTATATAACCGTGCATTAGCGGCCTGAACCCCGAGCCACAAACGCGATTTAGCTTTGTTAGCCACAAAGTCGGCGCGTGTCAAAAAGTTACCTCCTATGAAACCCACTGTTTACCTGTATTATGGGAAAACATCCACACTCATGAGCTGTAAAATCCCAATCCCAATTTCAACCCACATACTGCCAACAACCCTTCTACCGATTCTCGCAGCAAACTGAACTTCGTGCAGTACTTAACACATCCCCGGTACCAAATGGAGTTTTAACGGACTGCGAGATCGTACAGGATCAACTCTGTCCGCTCCTTTTGATACACTCACAGGCAACGTTTGTTCTAGTTATCCTCGTCGAGATTCTCTCCCACTATTGCCCCTCGTTTTCTGTTGTTACCCCCCAACTCGCACCACTATTCAAATACTTGAGTAAATAGCAACCGAGTTCAACTTCTTTGGTGCAGGTTACCCCCCCGGAATCAGAGATTCCCATAATCATTCAACACCTCTCCTCCAATCCAAATTTTGTTTCTTACATTCCTTCGATCCAATTCAGTCCCAGGTGCAGTAGTAGCCGTTCTTAAAAATGGATAACTACCAGAAACTTGAGAAGATTGGCGAAGGTAAGCCTAACTTTTACGTGTCAATCTTCAAACTCGCTATTTGCTAAACCAAAACTACTTCTAGGCACTTATGGTGTCGTCTATAAAGCCCGAGACTTGGCCCATGGTGGCCGTATCGTCGCATTGAAGAAGATTCGTCTCGAATCTGAGGATGAGGGTGTTCCTAGTACCGCCATCCGAGAGATCTCTCTGCTCAAGGAGATGCGTGACCCCAACATCGTCAGACTGTTTAACATCGTCCATGCCGAGGGCCACAAGCTCTACTTAGTCTTCGAGTTTCTCGACCTGGATTTGAAGAAGTACATGGAGGCGCTTCCCGTCAGCGATGGTGGTCGCGGTAAAGCCCTACCTGAAGGTTCGGGGCCCGAACTGGGACGCCTTGGACTGGGTAGTAGCATGGTTCGCCGATTTATGACACAGCTTTGCGAAGGAATACGATACTGCCATAGCCACCGAATTTTGCACCGAGATCTCAAGCCGCAGAACTTGTTGATTAACCGTGACGGGAACTTGAAGCTTGCCGATTTTGGGTTGGCGCGTGCTTTTGGAGTGCCCCTTAGAACATACACCCACGAGGTTGTTACGCTCTGGTACCGAGCTCCGGAGATTCTGCTTGGTGGTCGCCAGTACTCCACAGGTGTTGACATGTGGTCCGTAGGCTGTATCTTTGCAGAGATGTGCACTAGGAAGCCGTTGTTCCCCGGAGACTCGGAGATCGATCAGATTTTCAAGACCTTCCGGTAAGTATACCTTTTCAATGATGTCTGATTGCTCATTGCTCATTGCATTTTTAGCTTGTTGGGTACTCCTACTGAGGAGGTATGGCCTGGAGTTACTTCTTACCCTGACTTCAAAGCTTCGTTCCCTAAATGGATACGTGACCATTCGACGGTCCTGTGCTCGAACCTCGATGACAATGGCCTCGATCTTCTAGAAGCTCTTCTCGTATACGATCCAGCCGGTCGAATATCTGCTAAGCAAGCTTGTCACCACCCTTATTTCAGTGATATACCTCGCCAGCCGACCCGGTATGGAAGTAATGGACATGCTTAAGTTATAGTTCGTCTTGCCGAATGAGCTAGGCATCTTACGACTCGTACAAAGCAGAATATGCTTACTTATACGGAGCATCAGTATTGCCTTTCAGGATACGGCGACTCGGGCATTAATCAACATCAACAATACTATGTAACACTATCATCAGATATGTTCTTTATCAGGAACATCCCGTGTCTCCTATGCCTCGAGCGGATCTGTGGAGGAAGTATCCTCTTCCTCAGTTTTCCCATGTTTTCGCAACCTATGCAGTCCACGGACGATGACTTTACATGGCGTTGGGAGGAGGGACTCGGCATTTGAGAGGAGTCAGGAAGGAAAGGGAACTATGCATAAGAATGGCCTCTTTTTCTCCTATGGGGTTATGCATACGGCGGCATGATGATCATAGGTCCTCGGATCTTCTCGCCGGACCGGAAATGCCCCCTTTTTTGTTTTCTTTTGTCTGAACTCTGAATTAGTTGCTTGGCTTCAGAGATGATGTATTTGCCGTCGTATACCTAGGTAGGATGAAGCAATTGAGATTTGTTACATTCTCCGCTTGATGGGCTTAATGATTCCGTTCTTATGCATAAGGTAGGTAAGTACCCTATAAGGGCTTACCCATAATGTGTAAAAATGCCCTGTAGGCACATATTCTTTATACATGCATCAAAGCTAGGGCCCACATATGCAGAGTTCGAGATCTTAGGTACCTAGGTAGCTACCGACTGCCGGATACCTGGGCCCGGGCCAGGGCACACCGTAAGGTGACATGAAGCTAAGGTACCTAATTCAAAATGTATCTCTTAGCTGAAAAGAAAGATTACGTAAACTTTTAAATTGATCGAAACTCGGGCCGCGTCGCGCGCCACGGATTCTTCGACAACCAACATTTTACTAAAACTTCTGAGGCAACGCGCATTTATGTCTGATCGTTCCCATCTTAGTTTAATTGACGTAAATTTTATGCCGACATGCGAATTACAATCCCAATTATCGAGTCACCATGCGCATCATTAAGCCATCATGGCTGAGCCATAGAGGTATGGGACCTATATTTATTGATGAGCTTTCTGGAGACAGAGAAAAACAAGGCTGATTATTTTTGAAGGCGAACAGAAAGACTTCGAAGTCTATAGCTGCCACATATCGCCTGATGGAAAGCGACTTGCAACAGCTGGTGGAGGTATGTTTTTAGCAATACTTGATCATTACTAGCTTTATTTGCGCCGATATCTTACCTGCTTTAGATGGTCATGTTCGAGTTTGGTCGACCGAATCTATCTACAATGCCGACGATCCTTCCTACACGAAGCCGAGGCAGCTCTGCCATATGAGCCATCATCTCGGCACTATTCATTCTGTGCGATTCTCACCCAATGGCCGCTACCTCGCATCGGGGGCGGATGACAAGATCATATGTATATACCAGCTTGAGAGTGGTCCGCCTACTATCGCGCCTTTCGGAACGAACGAGCCACCACCTGTCGAGAATTGGAAGACTTCAAGGCGACTCATAGGGCATGACAATGATGTCCAAGATCTTGCATGGTCTTACGATGGCTCGATTCTTGTCTCTGTAGGTCTTGATTCCAAGGTCGTCATCTGGTCGGGACACACTTTCGAGAAGCTCAAGGTGCTTGGAAATCATCAAAGCCATGTGAAGGGTATTACTTTCGACCCTGCCAATAAGTTTTTTGCTACCGCTAGCGACGACCGATCTATCAAGATTTTTCGCTTTACTCCTCCCGCCCCTAATGCGACCCAACATGATATGGTTAATAACTTTCAACTCGAGACCACTATTAGCTCTCCCTTCAAATCATCCCCACTAACTACCTATTTCAGAAGGTGCTCATGGTCACCTGATGGTAATCATATTGCTGCAGCTAATGCGGTCAACGGTCCCGTAAGTTCGGTCGCTATCATTGAGCGAAGTAGATGGGACAGTGAAATCAACCTGATCGGTCACGAAGGTCCTACGGAAGTGTGTATGTTCTCTCCTAGGTTATTTCATACGAAAAAACCTGTGGAGAATGGAGCGACTAATGGCCATTCTGGGGGGACTTTGGTGACGGTGATAGCATCGGCCGGCCAAGACAAGACATTGAGCGTCTGGAACACGAATACGTCAAGACCTGTGGTGATTTTGCAGGATATGGCATCAAAATCAATATCAGACCTTGCCTGGACCCCTGATGGTCAAATTCTGTTTGCGTCGAGTCTCGATGGTGGTATTGTTGCAGTCAAGTTTGACACAGGAGAATTGGGCTGGGTGGCCAACTTGGAAGAGACGGACAAAGCCCTATCCAAATATGGTGCCTCTCGAAAAGCTATGGGAATAGCGGAAGATGTCGATGGACTTCAGCTTGAGAACCACAGCAAGGAAGGGGAGAGAAAAGGTGCCGAATCGCGAATGGGAGCGCTAATGGGGGACTTTCATCCGCTTCCTAAAGACGCTCCGCCTACAACGAATGGAGTTAAGAGTAGCGCCGCAACGCCGACTTTGCCACCGACAAATGGACAGACAGATGTCCAGCCAGAGAAAGAAAAGGCTCCCGTTGTAGAAGAGTCGGCCGATAAAGCTGCCGAGCGGGTGAATGAACTGAAATCCCGTGTAACTATTACTAAGGATGGGAAGAAAAGAGTTGCACCTATGCTCATCTCGTCATCTGGGACCGGTCAGTCATCACTTCCCCAGAGCCAGCTGGTGGGATCTAGCTCCTCCAAAGCTGCACAAAACGATGCGCCACAAACGATACTAGATCTTTCGAAGCCATACGATGGACTACCAGAGGGGGGTCTAGCGGCTATGCTTCTTGGGAATAAAAGGAAAGCGATTGCGTCAGAGGGTGAAGATGATGATGAACCTCCAAACAAGCGATCAGCTTCCGGTCCAAGGACTATAGTGAGAAATGGAGTAGAAGGTCTTGAACCCGCGACTCTCGAACCGCCCAAGCATGGTCTTATACCAACCCCTGAATATCTCCGACCAGCCATCCTTAATCCCTCTATCGCAGTTTCTCAAGTCCGTCTAGCAGTACCTAAAGTTAGGTCACATATTATCCGTCCATTAGAACGGGGTGTTCTGCAGGATGAAAGTAGCGTAGAGGAGGCATCAAAAGTGCCCGAAAACGTCATCTTAGAAGCAAAGAATCCGGTATCGATTCGAGATCCCTCTCATATCACTGCCACAAAGCGTGGTAGTCTACTGTGGCAAGACTATCTTCCACGGGCCATTATTCTTGTAACTGGTAGCAAGAGATTCTGGGCTGCGGCATGTGAAGATGGCAGCTTATATACTTGGACTCCCGCAGGCCGTCGATTGATAAATGCGATGGTGTTGGAATCCCAGCCGGTGATTCTGGAGTGTCGCGATTGGTGGTTGCTTTGTATTACAGCGGTTGGTATATGTCATGTTTGGAATATTAAGACACTATCCTCGCCCCATCCGCCGGTATCGCTTGCGCCTGTATTGGAGATTGCCATCAGCTCGCTCCAGACACATGGTGCCATGCCGGGTCCTGGTGTTACATCTGCGCATTTAAACTCCAGCGGCCATATTGTAATCACCCTTACAAATGGTGACGGATATTATTATTCCCCGACAATGTACTCCTGGCAACGACTTTCGGAATCATGGTGGGCTGTGGGTAGCCAGTACTGGAATAGCAATGACTCTTCAGTTGGGACTTTACAGTCTACTGCAGTTGGCTCTACATCTTCCAAAGACGGACAGAGTGATGGAGCGACTGTTTCTGCTGGCATCATTCCCTACCTAGAACGACACACAACGACCGAGTTCCTGCTGAAGGGGAGAGCATACACCTTACAACGCTTAGTCAAGACTTTACTATCCAGAGATGGGTTTGAGACCTTCGAGTCTAGCGTTAGTATTGCTCATTTAGAGAACCGAATTGCTGGTGCCTTGCAGTTGGGTTCGAAGGACGAATTCCGATTATATCTGTTCATGTATGCAAAACGGATCGGAGCAGAAGGGCACCGAGGGAAAGTAGAAGAGCTTCTCAACAGCTTACTGGGAGGTGTGCTACAAGATAAAAAGGGGGGTAATACAGGAGGCAATGGATGGTATAGTCAAGATGATGATATTTGCGGGTGGGATCGTAAGGACCTATTGAAAGGCGTTGTGATGATTCTAGGTAAGTCGTGTCAAATGTCAAACTTCGTCTTTTGGTTCAATACTAACTGTCACCCAGGAAAATTCAGGGAACTCCAACGTATTACTGTACAATATGCACGAATCCTTGAGCTCACGCATGAGGACGACATAACTGGCGACGCCATGATAGTGGAAACATGATGCAGCGTTTCTAGTAAAAGGGGGAGTTAGGTGGAGAATAAGGGGTATTCATTATTGGCTTCTAAGGCCTAGGTACCAACCCTCGTTGCCCTTAACTAATCTGATATCACTTTGTATTATAACCTCAATCCATGACTAAATAGGACTACAGAGTACAGTCTAGATGCTTATTTACCTTCTAGCAGTGTCTACTTTAATAGCGTCTATTTAGACGGTATGCGTGACCTAGAATCGGATAAGGGACATGTGACTAGTTCAGTGAATCGACCCCTGACCGGCATCTGACTGGTAGACTAGTGGTTCTTACGGTTCCTATGGTTCCCGTGAACTGCACTGAGGAAGTTACGTCCCATATGAAATGGGGGTATTTCCCTGACGTCCTATGACAGGTACAACTGGTTCTTAAGGTTGTTTGTTTCCGGCTAACTAGCAATCAATCATATCCAATCTTAAAATGAAATAGATGCGCTATATTTTCCTGAAACAACACCAAATGCCATAACGTCGTCAAAATCCTTTTTTCAAGTACAAACATTTGCCGTTATTTTCTTTCACTTTTCACTATTTTGCACTTCGTCCTACTAACTCTCCTTAAACAATTGTCTTTTAGGACAATTGACTACCACCTACCAAAGCATCTTTGCCTTGATTTTTAATCACACCTTCGTTTTACATCCCCCTTATTCGCGCTGCCGATTAACCTGTGTCGCGTCAAGGTTAGTTTGCTCCTTTTCTGTGAACTACACCCTAAAGATTTTTTAATACCCAGCACTTGTGTTAACTATTACGGACTTGTCAGAGACAGATGGAGTTCCATACTCCCAAACCATACTCTCGGCATGCGGGCGGGGGAGGTGCTCATATGTCTCGATCATCTAGGAGCAAAGGCCATGTGGCGTCCTTGTCTTGTTCTTCGATTGACGACCTTACTCCTATGCCTCTAAGTCTCACTCCTCAACAAAATGAAACAGGTGATGATACTCTGGCTATCGCTCCTGAGAATGCAGTTGAACCAACCCATAGCAAGATCCAAGGGTTCTCTAGTTGGAACTTTCTTCCTCGCCGAGTCAGGTACGTCCTCAGTTATACCAACCAATATGACCAATCGATTAATACTACTGTATCTTCCAAAGGCCTTTTTCCTTTCGCAAGGTCGTCATCTTCTGCCTAGCATCTGCCCTCGTAGGTAGTGCTTGGTTGTCTACCTGGGAGCCGGAGAAGTCAATCAATCTAGAAACCCCAGTCATTGACGCCTACGTACCCCCTATGCCGCATCCACCCGCTGGATATACTATACAAGCAGATACCAGCCATCCAATCCAGTGGCTCCGTAAGAATACCATCCTAGATTTACAAGATCTACCGACCCAGCAGGTACAAGCATTGATCGAGACACGTCCAAAAGCTGCGTTCATATCTCTTGTGAGAAACGAGGAGGTCGAAGAAATGGTCGCCAGTATCCTCCAGGTGGAAGCTCGATTCAATAGCCGGGAAACCCACGGATACGATTGGGTCTTCTTCAATAATGAGGAGTTCACTGAAGAGTTTAAAGCAATTGTGTCTGGGGCTACCGATTCCCAATGCTATTTCGAACGCATCCCTCAAGAGCACTGGAGAATCCCGTCTTGGATCGATATTAACCGATTTGATATCGGTCGTCAATTCATGGGTGGTATTGGTGTCGGCAAGGCGTGGTTACAAAGTTACCACCATATGTGTCGTTGGAACGCTGGTATATTTGCCTCAGAGAAGCGTCTTGCCAATTATGACTGGTTTTGGCGAGTCGAGCCTGCTGTAAGTTAGCCTCCTTTCCAAATTGTTTATGAAAGCCATTGTTTTTTGCCCCTGTCGGTGATGCCCCTTTAGATATCCACAGCTGACGAAGGTACTATAGGTACAGTTCTCCTGTGATATCAATTACGACGTGTTCCGATTTATGCAAGACAACAACATGGCGTATGGATTTAATATGGCCATTCTCGACGATGCCCGATCTTTCCCTTCTCTATGGGAGCGAACCAAAGAATTCATCGACCATAACGAGGAATTGGTAGATGAAGATGCGGATTTCAACTGGTTGCTATACACAGCTGAAGATCATGATGATGTGATTCGTCCACACACAGGCGCCAAGGAGGGTCTAGGTGATGGGGAATACAATAATTGCCAGTTTTACTCCAATTTTGAGATTGGTTCTCTGAAGTTCTTCCGCAGCAAAGAGCATATGGCATATTTCGACCATTTGGACAAAGCTGGCGGGTTTTATTATGAACGATTTGGTGATGCTCCTGTTCATACGCTCAGCGTTAGCATGTTCTTGCCTAAGAGTCGAATCTGGTACTTTCGTGATATCGGCTATGCGCATGGTCTCTGTGAGCAATGCCCTCCCCATGAACATCCGTTAGCATCTAGATTGCAACGAAAGGCATTGCTGCCACAAGAGGTAGAACAAGAAGTATCCAAGCCAATCAAAGATGATACACGAACAATGATGGAGGGTCCATTCGAAAGCTTCGGCAGCAAGCATCGGCGATGGACTACAATGGCACAAGATGTCGAACGTCAAAAGGGAATACCTAGCCTCGCGTGTGGATGCACCGTGAATGCTATCGACAGCAACAATGCAAAACTCGTACCTTATGAGTCGAAGCAGCGAAAGCCTTCGGACCCATGCATTCGTAAGTTTCTAGGGGGTAAATGGCTCGTCAAGAAGGACAAGGTATCTGATTTCAATAGTGACACAGGAATTATTAGGAGCAGTGATAGTGTTGAGTACGTTCTGGATGGTCGAGATGGTAACCCCTTTCAGTAGAGGCACGTTCCGCAGAGCTGTACTCAACACGTTCATTATCCTAGGTCCATTTTGGGCGGCTCTTTGGGCGGGTAGCAGACTTAGAGCTTCGTCTAATATGGGTAACCCTCATGAATTGGACCTTGTCGCTCCGCTCAACTTGGAGTAGGCCGAAAGGCGAAGTGAATCTCCAAGATCTAGGGTTATAGTGTGACCCCTATTTGCATGAAGCCGATCGATACACAAACGCCAAACTTCCTGCCATATTCTTAACCCCTGAAGCTCACATTTAAGTGTTAAGATCTGAAAAAGCTCCGGAGCTATTTCTTCGCCCAGCCAAGCCACCGTTATATTTGCGTTGCATTGCGTTGCGTTGTGATCTCATTGGTCATATCCGAGTCATTCTTGCACTGCTGAGAATATCATTCGATTCATGGAAGGCTGTCGAGCCTAGTCGAAGGCTTACACACTACTGCTTTTCTTACAGCATTTCCTTCTTTGTACTAACAAGGTTCACCAAGGAGTACCCAGTCCTCATTTGGGTTTTCAATGAGCTGCTTTTTTATCGCACAGTTCTGTGGCAGGGACAAGGGCTTCAAACTTTGAAAGCCAATTCACCTGATTTCTGGTCCTATATTGACGTTAACTAACCCTTCTTGCGGAAAGTTTGCCCCAACGTCAGAGTCATATTCAGCCCATTGCGTTGTGTTATTAAAACTTGCTCATTATGGCAAGTCAGATACCTACCTAGGTAGTTAGGTAATAAATGACTCTTAAATCAGACCACAACTTTGAGTTATGATTTTATACCTAAGGCTATTGTAGTTGTGAAACGTCGGTGCAATGGCAGTGGCATGTTATATTAGCCCGTTTCATTTTGAGGAAGCAGATATAGCAGAAGAAGTTGTGTGTGTGCCTTGAAATTTTCTAAAAAGGGGGTTTGAATTTCCTTTTCATAATAACTCTAAATTACCTACCTAGGAGGTACTCAGTAAGTAAATGACTCTGCAACTAATTTAACTCTTCTTCTCACAGCAAGTTTGCTAACAATTTCACGAGTTTCGTCCATCATGCTTGGAGGACCAGACACAACAACTGCGAAATCACTATGCTGGCTCTCTAGAATAGACTGGAGATTTAAACGCTGGCCCACTGAAATCTCTGCATTGAAATTGTGTATTAAAGGCTTCATCGAGTCGACTAGTGTTTGGGTACGGGAGCCCCAGTACAGATATATGTTGCCAAGGTGCGCGCGCATATAAGGAAGAACAGACGTTACACCAACACCGCCTGCGATGCACACTAGGGTTGGATAATCCGAGAGGTCCTCGTGAGTGCCATAGATACCCTCAATTAAAACTGGAAGCTGACTTTTGTAACGTAGAGCTTTAGTCCCACCGTCTAGGATACGCAGATAGAATACCATCCCCGTCTCGACAGTGTGATCAAAACCCTCGACTGCCATCTTCGTTGATTTTTCAGGATTAATCTCAATATCCTTGGCTGACGAGCTAATCTTTTTATTAGAGTGCATATCACTCTGAATAATAACTGAGCTTGCGATACTAAAGGGGTGGTTTTCCCAGAAGCGCCAGTTTAAAAAGTAGAGATAAACATGGCCTGTCCCGACAACGCCCTTGACGTCAATCCTGATATAATCATTGTCAATAACAGTAATATTTGCAGTACAAACTCCGTTGCGAAGCGTGCGTAGCAAGCGAATCAGCCTGTCGAACCCCCAAGCCGCAAATACGATATACAGCCAAGTTTCGTAACCCCACTGGTGTTGATATCGGAAGATGATGTGGTACCACGAGCCTAAGAATATAAGGATTGAGGCCGCAATATGGATTCCGAGGAATAGCTCATAGCTGCGCTGACGCAATAGGGGAATAGAAAGGGGTAGGACAAGTGAAGCCGCGATTGTCGCGATGCAACCCCACCACCAATATGGCAAAACCTGATCAGTCGCAAGTCTATCCTCCTGGATCCAGTCGCGAAGAAATATAAGAGAGTGTAAGATGGCTTCGAGAACGGCGATACGTGCTACCCACCGATGAAGGAGGACAAAGGTTGAATGCTGCCAGTTGGTCAACCATAGAAGTATGTTATTTCGCGACGAATAGAGGACCAAAAGCGCGAAGTTGGCGAATGAGAGGACGCCCAGCCGATTCGCCAAATCACCCATTATTTCATCTGGTCCGTCGTTCCACCAATAGCGGAAGCCAGCTGGATGGGTGCCATATTTGAATGCGGATAGAAATATGTTAAGAAGGATCAGATACCCTATAAAAAGTGCCTGACCTCGCGTTGGCGGGTCACCAATAACAGCGGCAACAGGTGAGTCACGCCAAGGTCGAAGAAGCGAAGGATAGATAAAGCAGCCGTTAAGCGCGCTCGCCCATCGTTTCGAGAAGGGAAGAAAGCGCAATAACGAAAAACCGATGGGGATTACGACACCAGATAAAAGGATAACTAGACCGAAGCATTCATGTTGGATCTCCACGTTTTGGTTAACATCTATAGAGACATATTGAGAATTGTAAAGCGTCTCATTGACGATACTTGTCTCGTTTAATATCTGTCCGCTTGAGCAAGTGATGTCCGGCTGCGATGGGATTAACGCGAGCGCCGCACTGTACGAGAGGGACGGCGGTGGATCTGATTGTGAGTTCCCAACCACATATGACTGCCACCACTTTTCGATCTTCCAGACAAGCTCGTCGTCGCACTTTTGATAGACACACCATGCTACCGACGTAAGGAACGGCTCGGACTCGGCGTGGCAGGTCGGCGACGGCATCGCGCTCACGTTTAGAGATAAAACTGTTCCGTCTCCGCTGCTGCCCATGTTTATTTCATCCATATCAGAGTTATTAAATGAGGCTTCGTCGGTACATACTAACGGATTAGACCCAAAGGAATACTGACAAGCGTATGCGCAGATAGGGATATACATCTCAATGCCATAGCCGATCAAGCCATATCCAGGACGACCAGCATCACGGCCGGCACTCGCTAGAGATGCCAGCAGCGACATTAACACCGGAAATAGATGCATTATAGATACCCTTAGCAAAGCAATGCTGAGTGGATAGGTTTTGATATTTATTGTGCTACCCCTGGGATTCAACAGAAGATAACCCCTCCCTAAAAAGCATTTGTACAACATGGTTTGATGCGGGCCAAGGTCATGTTTATAATGGCTTGCAAGACATCTCACCGTTGGCTCACTGTACGAGGCTTTTGGTGCGACTTGTGGGTGACATGCAGCCAGACCGCAGTGCTGGTCTGTTATAGGCTCGAAACTACCGCAAACCTTCTCGACAGGGGTTGCGATTCATCCAGGATGAATATCATAGTTAAGCCGATTATAAATCCAAGTTATGCTATTTGTTCTATGTCATTTTAAACCCGATTATTTCTTTGAAGGTGAATTGAACATATTTAATTAAAGGTGGATTGATGCTGAATATCCTGGAAGTTTAAGTTGTCGCAATGGAGACCCAGGCTCTATTCGGTACCAACACTCCAGCAAAAAGCTTCGCTGTTAGGATTCTGCTATAACGTATGGCATATCCTTATATGATCTACCTCGAAATATGGGCTACGTGGTAAATAGCAAGCGGTATATGATTTCATATGGAATAAGTCCTACCAAGCTCTTAGTACCAACAGGTTCTCCCTGATAGAAACTACGTAAAGAAACCCATACTTAGAATGATACATAGGTAATTAACTGCTATATATAATGTACAGCAGCGTAAGACTAGATTTGAATAAAGTTGCGAGGAGGTAACTATCAGGTTGTGACCGGGAAGAAGTCTTTTTATTAAGATTACGTCGATGTCTTATTCTGTCCCGCTTCTAGATTCTCGCATAGTATTCTTGTTTATATATCATGATAGGCTGCAGATATCAGAGATATACCCCTTGATAGATGTCATACGTAGAGTGACAGTTAAAATCAACAGCAAAGCTGTTATGTGGTAGCGTAGTAATATAAAACTATTAACTAACGCTTGACTTTCTATCTTCTTACGAAGGCGCTACGCCCCCTTATGTATTTACGTTATGTAAATCTATATCTATCTTTTACGCCATTAATATCTAATATACCGTATTTAAACTCTCATATTTCCTGCTGTGAAACTAGGCGAAAAGGGAGTCAGTCTCCTGGTTCAATAATAAGACGCCACATTCTTACGGCGCTTCGCTATTTTACGAACCAGAGCGTATTCTTTAAGCCCTGAAAAACGCTTTGTTATCCACCTGACCCTGCAGTGTTTTTGCTTGTAAGCTTGGGTGGTTGCTAAGCGATGAAATAACATATGCACCTCTTAGTACCTTGGATGGAGTACCTGATTTATTTGATTACATTAAAGAGTCCATTAGTAAAGTTAAACTCGAACACGCGATACAATCGGACCTGTCGATCGGCGTCTGGGCCCACATAACCGGGTGTCTCCGCACCGACCGCGCCTCGTCCTCCGTTACATAGTGGGGCTGAATTTTACATTTTCTTTAACACGATGCGATCACCCGCAGGCAACCTTTAGGATGCAATCATCCTTTGAAATCTTAGTCCACTCTGCAGTCCTCACCTATATATTGCGCTATCGTGGACGGATTCTATAATTTTATAAATTAAGCCCTCATAAAAGCTAAAATAGCAAGGTCTGGTTTCGTAGTCTGCTGATGATAAGTCATTCTTAATATCATTTATCCGGCTACGTAGGGCAACCTTCTCTATCATCCCGACAAAGGCGTCAGAAATAAGCTTTTCAGATTCAGTGGTAACATTGTATATTCCTGTAGATACGTCTTCGGATGGATCCTGGAGATCTGGTACGTTTTTGAGACTTGTGTCGACTTCGAAACGATCGCCACCAAAGGTAAGATAACCAGAATCCCAAGAGAACACAGGGTTCCAAGAAAATACAGCACGAGTGCCTTTCTCCAATTGCGCTAGGAATATTTTAATATCAGCTGCAAGTCCAGCTAAAGATCCAATTCCGCTGTCCTCGGGTCTTAATTTTACGTCATCCAGTAGTATCACTCGACTCGGCTTGTTGGGTAAATCTAGAATTGGAGAATGACACTTCCATGTAGTGACAGGAGACCCTGCTTTTGAGTGATAATTGTAGAACGACCCTGTGTCTGGAAAACTGTCGGCGGGTATTGAGAAAGAATCACCTGCGGATGATTCGGATGGCGTCGTTCCCCTTGAACAAATTGTGGGATTTTTTTCGCTAGGGATAAGAAGGATATCCAGTAATAGAAGAAACCCCCCAGCCTGAATCCAGCGCTTCCGTTTCTTGGCTCAGGTTTACTCGATAATTGGGCTTATCGGGTAGGATGGTAGTATCCCAAGTGTGTTTCAAAAGCTTTCTGTCTTCTAGACGGTTATGGTAAATAGTACTAGCAACAGCTAGAGGTAGCTATAATAAAAATACGCTTCAGATTAGTTTTTGTGGTATATATAGAGGGCAACTCCATTAGAATATAAAATTATTAATCTAACATACTCTAATAGGCGACTTAGAAGGCTTGGAGTTAGCATTGATTATCAACTCATTGAGTGAATGATCTTCCGATTCGACAAGTCCTAGAAAAGGCCCCTGTACCGGCATTTCAATCGTCACGGAAGCCTGTTCGTTGGACAGTTTTTATCCGCGGAAATCCTAAATCGTGTATCTTGGGCGGAGAAATTTTACACACGGAGCGAGAATAAGTGCGCAATTGATGGGGAAGAACGGAATGTAGTAGGGTAAGAGTGAATGGTAGATGATAGACAGTAAACTAGCATAGCAATAAGACTAGCTCCTCCAAGTTTTATAATCTGGCTTGTATAGGTAAGTACCTACCTACTACCTACCTACCTTCCAACATTCTTCCAACATTCTCATGGAAGATGGGGGCTGCGAAAGCAATGGCGATGCTTTGGCCTCTCGGGCCAACACATCGCTACTGACGTGCTTAGAAGGCCAAAATATTTCCAATGAATGCATTAAGATTCACGTATTATAGGATAACACCTAAACGAGCCATTAATCTACTTTTGAGAGTGAGTATAAGCCATTAATTTATTGGTTGAAGGCCGAAAGCTATCGCGGGTCGCAGCTTGGCCGCAGACTTCAGACTAGGTAGGATATTGATTAAATTGGCGGTACGGACGCTTTATGCAACTTCGATGATACCTATCCAAGATTGAAAAAGTTTTAAATAGTTTAGAGACAGTGATCAGGGTTACCAGATGGATTTCCCCACCATGTTGGGAATGGATGAGCCGTTCCACTGGCACCAAAGACTGCGAAAGACAGAATGAAAATCACCAGCTGTGATCCTCCATCCAATGCCGCCCCGATAAGATAATTATACTTGTTGTAGATCCTCGGTAATCGACGTCTTAGCCAGAGTTGCGAAAAGATACCAACCGCTATGGAAGACCAAATCCACGACGTATTTCCATAGTAGTTAATGCCACTATAGGCGACAATCAGGGCCGTGTTAATAGGCCATTCCTTTAAACGAGGAATTAACTTAATCAAGCCCCAATGGAAAACTGGTATGGCAAGGCCAATAACGATACCAAGGGGGACAATGAGATAGCGTCCTGCCACTCCGTACATTTGCTTCGCCAGGGCCCACGTTACTGCTTGTGAATTGAGACTTTGTACAATAGATCCGCTCCAAATGTTGTTACCTTGAGGATCAAGAAGGATTTCCCGTTGGCTGTTAACGATGATAGTCATAACGGCGTAGTTCAGACCTGCTCCAAGGAGAGTACCGTAGATCTGGGTAGCGAACATGACACGATGAGGCACCTTCGTGTATTGGCCAACCTTGAGCCAGTTTGCCAGGTTTACGGCAAGGAGGATGACTTGATGCGACCACGATGCGAAAAATAGGTTGGCCAACGGTAGGTTTGGATGCACAGCGCCAGCGACCATTTTAGAGATCTGGTTGGTTGCCACTCCGCTTCCGTATAACCCATAGAGGATACAGGAGAAGGGCGCAATGAAGGACCCCAGAAGAAGAGATATAATGTATCCCCATACAGGAAGTGTGGTCTCGCCTATAATATTCACAGCTAACCCGGCGAAAAAGCAGAGAGCGAAAAGCACGAGATACCACCATTGCGGTACTTCCTTATATCTCAGCATCGCTTGGTAATGCGGATCGGGTTGAGTTCTGTTACGTGCCTGTTTCCACGCGAGAACCATGTCTTTACCGAAGAATATGATAACATGGGTTATCAATGCCCCTATGGCGATATTCTGGGTAAAATACCCCCAAACGGTGCTTGATGTTAGATATGGCAGACCGACCTCGTTCAACTTGTTTTCATCGATTACACCTCGCTCGTTCAAAATCGAGGTTGGATGAAATACAGAACCATTTGCTGAAAAGAGAGCTGTCGACATAAAAGGAAAACTCTTGGCGTTCCATGTATTACTGTAGTACAATCCAAGCAAAGCAGAATATAAGATGACATAGCCGATCCAAGAATTTAGCTGCTGCTTGATCGGCAGCGACAGGTATTGACTTTGGATATACTGCCAGTCTAGAGAGAAATTCAGAAGCCCAAGCCCCTCGTTGGAAGATGCTCCTCCAAAGATGGTGGAGAAGATAGTACGGGTCCTTTTTGGCGCGCCCAACGATGCTAGGCAGAATATAGAGATACCACTAAACCATGGTACAATATACGCTGGGAATATTTCCCAGACGGCAGCGAATGCAAGAGCCCAGCCAAATTTGATAAGACGGCCCCGGTTGGCCACCCGATCAAAATGGAGATTCTGGAAAAGCACTACCTGTGGCAGCGTCAACCAATACACCATCTCTGCGGGATAGACGATAAGTGGTCGTAAAAGACCAGCTACTACGAATCCACAAAGTGAAATGGAGAAAGTAGCGAGGACTGCGGTGGAAGCAGAGACGGACCGATCATAAAACAATCGTTCTATGGCATAAACCTCCACACCAGACAGTCCATTGTTGCCAGAAGAGGCGATGAGCGATGATACCACGTGCTCTTTGATCCCGAATGGTTGTCCAGAATTGACGAATCTGAGTATCTTCTGCACCCACTTTGCCTTGAACCGTTCTGGGCGTGGAGTTGAGAGAGCCCATGCTTCTCCGAAAATAAACACCAACACTGACGAGTATGAGCGCAAAGAAGGTAGGAGGAAATACTACTAGGGGGGACGTACACTGTATGAATACGGCTGAAACTTGTACTTGAAACGGCTTGAATATATAAAGCATAGTAATAACACTGTTTTTTATTAGCTCATCATACATTGAAATATTTTGGTCTAAGAGAAAGTTTAGTCTTTAGGTACCTTGAAAGGGCCGTGAATACGGATCCCAAGATTATGGAGCGGAATGTCAACGCGGGGTCGCCATCATCGCGAACTGATATTAGGAATTTCGATACATCGAACCCTAATCATGTTAACCATGAGAACTAGAAAATGGGACTATATGCATTACCATTTCGAATAACAGGATGTCCCTTTACATATTCGGCATCATTATCACGATGAGAATCTTCAGCGCTGTCTTTACTTGCTTCGTGCTGTAAGGTTACGGTTGATTTGTCGCCGTTGGGTGCGACGAGTGCTTCGGTCACCGTCGCTTTCTTGTGTACTTTAGCCGTGCTAGGGACATCTTCGAGGTCCGACGTTGTTTCGATGGGGCCCGACATTTTTCAGAAAGCCTAGGTCAAATTAAATGGCGAGCTGAAAAGCTTCGCCTATTGACACCTCGATGCATGCGCATTAAGATAGAGCATAGTATAACAGAGAGAGAAGACGAAAAAGCTTGATCCGTTATATCTTATTACTCTTTGTCTTGCGTACGTTTAACAGCGGCAAATGACATTTACTTGATGGTGTGATGCTGAATCAGAATGGCGCCCAATAACATCCCTACCGGAATTCACGTATCACCTGCCTGTTGGGGAAAATTCCTTAGATAGGAGGTTTCGCAAGTGGACCAGAAACACACGGGCGGGTTGGGGTAGTTTTTAATATTCATACTTTGGTTCATACTTTGGCTAAGGGTTTGGCTAATATGGCATCAATATCCCGAGTGATGTCGTGACCGAATTGTACGTTCTAGATAAAGCTGTATATATCAGGGGTCCCTTAACCCGATTGTTTGTAAAGACTATCTCTATGTATCTTCCACAAGAGATAAGACAATACCGATTGATTCGCCAGTTCGTAACGTTAAAGAATAGCGTCACTTAGAACAAGCAAACCCGTATTCCGGGCTATAAACGGCGTGGGTTTCCCCGGTGGTTCGCTCCGTAGGCTATTGCCAAGACGGATAATCCGAAAGTACGCGAGGAAAACGGACCGGTAGCGCTATCTTGGAGAATTCTTTTTCGCAATGCACCATATCCGATACTGAATAGTCCCAAGTAAGGGGTTCAATCACCTCAACAATGCTAGGGATTATGAAAACACCGGGCGGGTATGAATCAAAGCCCAACATTAAAGCCGTGTACTAACGCGTCATAACTTTGCGCGGTGGCTCGCTCGGCCGTACTATTATTCGTATAACGCCTCAATGATTACCTCCTGGCGGATGAGGGGTCGAATAGTGCGTGGTAAGCATCTAAGAGTACAAGATTATAACGAGCACTAGAAATATAAGCGTGATAGATTATAATTCGCTACTGCGATTTGTTATACATACTTCTAGGTAGGTATTACCTGCCTAGGTACCTCTTGTCTAGGTCTTCTTGATAATTCTGGGCCAGTACCACAACGTGTAATATGGCTTCCTTAGATATAAATGCTAACAGGATACCGTTTCACAGGCTCATTAGAGCCTATAAAACCTTCTCTGTGGTCTCATCTGCTACTCAACGACGGTTCAAAGTGCTACGATTGTCACATATGTGGTACCTAGTACAGCATAGTGAAGTCGTACATAGCTTATGAACAACGCTACGTATATTCTACGCACTTCCTAGAGCAAGATTGGTGTTTCTATGGTGATTTCCTTGGAGTAGAATATGAATGGGCTTAGTTTGTAGCTGTAGAAAATCCACGACAGCTACAGTAATAACTTCCAACATTAGCATTAAGCAAAACTCCTCACTCTGTAATGGATAGGTACCTATTCATAGTCAATCAGTAACTGGATGATGGCTCGGTCCCGCTCGTTCTCCCACAAAAGCCCCAATCTTCGGAAGGGTAAATCATGACCCCTCATGTCGATACCCGAAGCTAGCAACGCACCGACGACGCGCGTTTGCCGCTTTCTTACTGCTTTTATCAATAGCTTTCTGCCAACGGAAGCCCAAGGCTCATCTCTAGCACCACGGCTTAAAAGTAGCTGGGCGATATTCTCATGTCCCCTTTCTATTGCTAAAGATAACGGGCTGTTGGGGTACTCCTGGACATTGATATTGGCTCCCTTATGTAGTAGTAGTTGTAGAATATTTTCATATCCTTGGATAACTGCACAAAGGAGCGGACTTATGAAGGATTTACGACCTTCAACGTTGGCTCCTTTCTCAAGTAGCGTTCGGACAAGTCTCGCGTTTCCCTTTATAACCGCGTTTTGTAGTGGACTTGCGTAACCTTCATTACCTTCTACATTGGCACCACTTTGGAGCAGTAGCTCGGTGATCGTTTTGTTTCCTTTTAGAACTGCGTCTTGCAATGGGCTTTGGTACTCTTTGTTGCCATCAATATCAGCACCCTTATTAACGAACAGCTGGATGAGTTTCATATCTTCTTGGGCGACGGCTTCTTGTAGTAGGCTTCTATCTCGATCAGTGCCTTCGATTTTTAACCCCCTCCAGAGTAATGATTGAATGAAGTATTTATATCCTCCTTTGACTCCAGATATAAATTTCTTTTTCTCGGGGCCATAATTTGCTAAGAACCTCGTCGCAAATTCATCCTTCGACTCTAGTGCGAGTTGGATTAACTCAAAATCGGAATCAAGTGTTTCCGGTGATAACCCTTCCTTTTCTTTCTGTGTATACACCTCCTCAACTGATAAACTCGATGGTACAGTCTTTGCAACCTGCTCGAGCAATTCCCAGAATACCTCATTACTTTGGGTTGCAAGCGCAGCAAATATCGGGGTACCATATTCGCTCTGTTCAATATCGAAACAGGACTGCCGAATATCTTGAGTTCGAATGAGGTGTGACAAGTTACGACTCGCTAATATGTACAAAAGACTCACATCCGACGCATACCAGCGGACGCTGGCCCATTCATGCGAAGTTTTAGAACCCTCGACCACGTTATTGTAATTAACCCATGTTCTAAATGGGAATCCTGATATAAATTCCGACTGTGAGAATCCACACTTATTAGCCTCGTCGGCATGATACAGGATATTCCCGATTGCATAGCTAATAAATGGAAACTTTGTAACGGTATCGCAACAGCGGTCGAAATATAACTGACTGAAGATTGATTCGTTAACTTCCATCTTATTGCTCTGACTCAATTCATGATTTACTGAATTCCACTTTTGTGGGATACGTGTTGCGAAAAACCAGCTGCTGAAATATTTTAAAGGGTTGATGGTCAAGTCCCACATTGGAATATCTTCATCTGAGCCGAGCGAAAATATGTCGCGTAGATAGGCAAAGCAGCACTGCTTTAACTCTTCGTGGCCATAGCCATGAAGATTTGACCCAAGCTCAGGCCAAACCTTTTGTAACCCTTTTTCCTTGAGGAGGAAATCGCGAACAGATTCGTGAATAAATTGAACAGTTGTTGAGGACCCCGAAACTTCAGCCAACCCTTTCGAATTATCAACAATATAATTTTCCATATCTTCGGCCGAAACAATATTTTCGGAGTGGAACATGACTAAATCCTCTGGTTCAACGCCCGACATGATGGCAAAATATAGCTCCTCGAGTCGTAGTGGACGTGCTGCGAAAAGTATCCATTGGATGCAGACACGAAGCCCATCCTCGTTGTCATTATCGCGTGTCAACATGTCCTGGAATAGGTCGTGGAGGTCGCTTGGGATTTGCTCTAGTCGCCTTTTAAGAGTATGTTTGCGGCCGCGGTCATATTCCTTATTTAAGATATTCACAACGAGAACTACCCACATGAAAACTCCGGAAGCCTTTTCCTGGACCTCGGTACGGATTTGATTTGCGAAAATATCTCCTCCAATGCGTAGCTCAAATTTCACGTATTGGGCTATATCTTGATTATGCTCTTGTCGGCCTTCGATTACTAGAGTAAGTCCCTTTGTAACCGTTATATGAGGATAATGCCTACTTGCGAAGCAGATATGCAAGTGTGTCCCAGATGAAGCCATTTGCTGGCTAATATTGTGTAGGAAGTACAGCATATCCCGGATCTGTCGTTCCTCACATTCATCCAATGCGTCAATGAAGCAAATTATGGAGGCTTCACTCATAGCGAGAATTAAATCTTCAAATAGAGACCTTAGTAACTCAACGTTCCATGAGCGCTCTGGGTCAACGGAGTCTAAGACACGTTGAAGATCTGGTTTTAATTCGAGTATTTGTATAATAAGGGATCGGTAAAGGCCATCCGTAGACTTCTCTAATTCCTCTCCTCTTGCATTAAAGAAGAAAGAGATGACAATCTTCCCCTGATCACTTAGCAGTTGGTACACATGGGATATCGTAAACTTCATCAAGGTTGACTTTCCTGCACCGGGCTTGCCTTTGATCCAGAGGAAGCCACCATGGTCATCAAACTTGCTCGTATCAAGCCAGTCCATGTATTGTGAAGTCTCCAAAAACCATTTACACGTTTTTACATGCGCTCCTTTAATGGTCCTCTGGCGCTCGCCAACTCAAATAAACTTGAGCGATTTAATCACCTTAAACCGGTGTTCGATAGTCTCTTCTTTCACCCGGTCCTGGATAGGAGGATGTGAATGTAATTGGATATTATTACCGTGAAATCGTAGTACTAATATTGAGATTAGTTTATGATGATATTCCATCTAATAATTGAGCAATACTATTAAAGTCTCGGCCATTATGAAAGCTCCCGTTCACGTTCTGGACACCTTCTCCGGAATGTTGAGTAAATTCTCGGTTTCCTCTTTCGGGTCGTTCCGTAGGTTCAAAAGAACTATTAGGCATTTTGTGATCTTCCCCATTGTTTATCCTTGAATTTCCAGTTTACAATTCAATGTGTCATGATGTGCGCGAGCCGTATACTATATTCCCCCACTTGTTTGGCCGGTATTACGTTGGAAAAAGCAAGGCTGTGCTGCTTACGATTTTATCGCCAGCCTGGATGAGTAGCGACTTCGCCCCAGGAGGCTGTATTGTATCTTATGGTTGAGATTCTGGCGAATGAGGAGTAATGCCGCTGGGCTGAACTTAAGTAATTCATATCAATGCACATATGGTTACATTGCAGAGTACCTTTGAAGTGTCGAATGGTGATGCCCCCTCCACCCTCCTCCGTTAGCATCCTTGTTTTGGGGTTTCATGACAGCCAACCTGCAGTAAGAAAAAAGCAGGCTGGCGGCTACCAGCAATGCCTCTTAGGCTTGATGAATTATATAATGAAAGCAAACCGCTCCCCCAAATATAACGATCTATTAGACAATCATAGAAGCCTTTACTCTTTATTGCAAAATTGGACAATTTTCGATCTTTTACTACATGAGCGACTGAGCAATGAAGGACTTACGACCTGAAGATTATCGTGTCATATGGATTGCACCATTAGAAATCGAGGCAAAAGCCGCTTTGAGTATGCTAGATCATTGGCATGACGGTAAATTTCGAATGGCTCCCGGCGACGATTACGTATTCCAAGCCGGTGATATGTGCGGACATAATGTTGTAATTGCAACTTTTCCGACTGGTCAGGAATATGGGACGGGATCAGCCGCTGCCCTCGCCAGTCAGGCAAAGAAGTTTTTCCCTAACCTCTGGTTTGGTCTCCTAGTAGGGGTAGTAAGTATAAAACTTCTATTATTCTCTTGTTGGACTTTTCCATGCATATATCCCTTTAGCTACTGAAGCAATTTACTAACATGATCGTTGGTAGGCAGCTGGTATTCCTGATCTTAAAAAGAACCCACAACAAGACATTAGATTAGGTGATGTTCTTGTCAGCATCCCAGATATGGACCGCCCGGGAGCTGTGGCATACGACCTAGGTAGAGACAAAGGAGATGATTTCCTTGAACTTCTACGACAGGGTCATATTCTTTCTCAGACTGCGCCAGTTGTGAGGGCAGCTATTGGCAGCATCAAACTTCGTTCACCGAATGAAGCCAAGTTATTTCTTCCGTTTTACGAAAATATGGAGAACAAAGAGAATTTTATTGATCCTGGGCAAGATCGCGACAATTTCTATGAAGTAGGACCTAACGGTATCGAGTATATAGTAGAAAGACCAAAGCGACCTGCTGCACAGCGCACTAGAGTGTGGTATGGTCCAATAGGGGCAGGCGAGAAACTCATGAGGGATGCCTCGAAGAGAGATATGTTGAGAGATAAATATGGCATTATTGGCCTAGAGATGGAAGCAGCAGGTGTTATGAATCGAATTGATGTCGGCATCATCAGGAGCACATGCGACTACGCAGATAAACACAAGAACAAGGACTGGCAGCCATATGCTGCGGCTATGGCAGCGGCATACGCCAAAGCAATCCTGGATCAACTCTCACCAGGACACGGTAAGTAAGTTATACATAATCTTTAAAATCATCTGATTACTTCGTTACTAACCCCAATAGGCCCACCTAATGCCTTTACGAGTAATGAAGACGTATCGGAGAGGAAAGCAGTAATCTTTAGGGGTCAGGGCAACCAGAATGTAGGCTCTGGAAGTATTTCAATTGGTGGAGGGCAGTACTTTTCTTGATTATTTGAGATAGGGGAATTGTATATTACCTAACCTAAGGGATGAAGATTTTGGAATAGTAACATCAAGAACGATATAGTGATGCCTATCTCTTGATAGCATGTGTGGTATTCATAGCTTTTTCCTAGACTACTATATAGATGAGATGCTACTTCTAGACCTTCATAGAATATTAGTCAGAGATCAGTAGCTAAGGCTTCAGGTTCTCAAGCTAGGAGACACGCGGCGCAATTGCAGTATTATTATTAATCGTTGTCGAGAACAATATCATAGAAACAAAAGATGTTGACGTCGTTCCTAAATCATCAAGGTCTTAGTGTCCGGGGCGAATACACTCCGGTCACTATATCTCGGCGTCATGGAGCTCCGATTACATCACACTTCATCAGCAAACTATAAAACTATAAAATAAATAAACCTACATTCTATTAGAAACCACAAGATTTCAATAACTTAGGTTTCTATCAAGTAGCAATCTTCTCAATATGTCTATCACAGTCGGAATCGCCGGGATAACCGGCAAATTTGCCCGCGAGCTCACGGCAGCACTTAACGAATACCCTGATATCAAGATTAAGGGGTACTGTCGTGATCTTTCCAAAGTTCCAGAGTCATTATATGCCAAGGTCTCGCTTTCAAAAGGGGATGCCTTCGACACGTCTGCTATCCGTTCCTTCGTCGCCGGATGCGATGTGGTTGTGTGCTGCTATCTCGGCGACGACAAATTGATGGTGGACGGGCAGAAAGCGCTCATCGACGCGTGCGCTGCCGAGGGCGTCCCGCGTTATGTAGCTTCAGATTGGTCATTGGATTATACTAAGCTTAAGCTAGGAGAACTCTTCCCGAAGGATCCAATGATCCACGTCAAGGCGTATCTAGATGCGCAAGACAAGGTCAAGGGCGTACATATCTTGGTTGGCATGTTCATGGAGGTCTTCTTTAACCCGGTATTCGGTACCTTTGATGCTGATTCTGCAACTTTCAAGTATTGGGGCACGGGTAACGAGATATGGGAAGCAACTACCTACCAGAATGCGGCAGAGTATACCGCAGCGGTTTGCGCAGACAAGGATGCTGTCGGAGTTAAAAAATGTAAGTCATCAGAGAATAAACTTATCGGAGTAACAGCTAATAAGTTTTCTCCTCATAGTTGTCGGCGGGCAGGCAACAGTCCTCCAGATCGCTGAATCGTTCGAGAAAGCCTATGCGGTGAAGCCTAAGCTCGAGAACCACGGTTCAGTAGATGACTTGTTCAAGCATATGCATGGCCTACGAGAGAAGGACCCTCAAAACATCTTCTCTTATATGTTTTTGTGAGTATTTAAAACTTCTTACCACGTATTTGAAATTAAAGCTAATGTAATATAGATTTTTTCAGTACTATGCGATTAACGGACAAGCGAATCTGGGTCCCGAGTATGACAATGGTCAATATCCCCAAGTCAAGCCCGTAAACTGGGAGGACTACCTCAAATCAGTTTCGAAGGACCAATTGTTGAGTGCTCACTCAAATGTTGGAAGCAGTATTTGAAGATAGGGTGAGACGAGTCCATAATTAACTAGGACACATATCCATCCCTAATATATGTTGAAAGCAATGAAAGCTGTCATCTTTTTCGTGATATATTTATGATCTGTTTCGTATCTCGTTCCTAGCTCTCTGAGTATAATGGGGTTGTTCTTACTATCAGTAAAATATATAACTATTGGTAGATGTTATACATAGAGTGAATTTCAGGATAGATAGAATTGAACTACTGGCGCCTGTCTTTTTACCTCTTACGAGGGTGCCACGCACATCTCATATCATTAACCCTAACCCTAACCCCTGAATCTACCCTTAACCCACTTAGATCCTGATGAAGGCACTCGTATCATGGTAATTATATTTCTTCCCTATATGAGAACTTAAATTTGGGTTTAAACGATCAAGGCAAATGATAGACAGAAGAAAACACTAGTAAATTATACAGTATAAATGCTTCATATACCTACGACCTGCTTAGCTAGCCACTAATTTGCATATATAAGAGGAAGCCTGACTTGTATACACAACATTATTGATATTAACAGCAATCTCAACCAATTTTTTTTCTAACAAACAGGAACTATACTATTACAAGCCCACACTTCTATATTACATGAAAAAAGGTCTCTGCCTACGGGCGAGTCTTGAACTGGCTTTCCGTTTCGAGCCATGCCCCAAAGTCCTTAAGATCAGGGTTCATCTTCCTCAGGGACGCAATATCGGCTCCATAGCCAACGTTGCGGAACCATCTGAACATATACCCAAGTTCCTTCGACATCCAGTTAATTATGGTGGCAATAAAATGATACGTGGTAGGCATATCATCGCCCGTCTTCTGCTTGAAAATCGTAGTGAACTGATCATACGTCAGCTCGTCCCCGGCCAGACTCAATTTCTTGCCCTTCCACTGCTCCGGGTTCCTGAGCGCTTCGGCGGCGAAGAAGCCGATGTCGCTTGTCGCGACCAACTGAAGCTTCTGGTCCTTCTTAAGGGTAATCTTCCAGCTCGTGGAGAAGACTTTACCGAGGAAGCCTGGAACTAGATTCTCGAAGAAGGCAACAGGTCGGATGATTGTCCAGTCCATCTCACCGCCCTTAGTCTTCTCCAAAAGATATTTTTCGATGTTGTGCTTGCTGATGAAGTGCGGAATGTCGGTTGGATCATTATCTGACTTAGCACCACCGCGATCGACCGATGAATACACCATATGCTTGACGCCGTTCTTGAGCGACGCATCGATTAAAGCCTTGCCTTGAACTTCTTCCCTTCGAAAGCTTGCACCGCCGCCAATAGCTGCCTATAGAAGTAGGTATTAGTATGTTAACACATTTCCAGATTCCAATTTCTCAGCAACTTACCTGTACACTATAGACTCCCCATATCGGTGTCTTGGTTACCTCCCTAGCTTTGCTGAAGATGTTTTCGGGTGTGTCCATATCACCTGTCACCAATTTGATCTTGGGGGATTTCTGTGCCAGCCGTTGAGCAGATGCTGATTGAGCATCTCGAGTAAGAGCAAGGATCTCAAAGTCGGCATTGGCTTTTAGTAACGCGCTCACAACAGCACCGCCTTGCTTGCCTGTGGCTCCAGTAATGAGAACTGCTCGTGACATGATGGTTAAGTAATGTTGAGTAAAAGTAGGTAATTAAGTTAAATAAGTAGGTATTGTAGAATACGAATGATGAGGATTTAGAATAAGGTATCTGAAAAACATATTGGGCGGTGTTTTATCTTTAAACAATAACAACCTAAACTCGACGTCAATATGATTCTAAGCTTGAGTAATTCATGGAAGAATGAAGCAATGATTGTTGATCTCGGGGCTCTACGGCGCCGGCCGAGACCCCACGACCGGAGCCCACAGTGACCGATTAAAGACACACCAGGGTATTCCGTGCTAGTTCGACTTTAGCGTTACTGTGTTCCACCAATCCCCCAAGCTAAACACATAGACCATTGAATATCTCGGGGTTGGCTGGGGCCGATTGTCTTTGTCATCATTGCCAATTACCCCTGTTGACAAGTTTTCCTAATTATTTATAATCTAAGCGCTGACAAAAAGACGTCGAAGTTTCCGCATATTCCTATAACTAGTTCTACTCATTTCTAAGGACACATTAGGAATCATATTGCTGATGAGTTCTCGCCAGCCTAAGAATTATAGCACAGCGTGATCGCCACTTAGTCCAGTACCCGCCGTTTTGTCTCCACTAACCTATTAAGTTGTACAGTCTAGCCCCTTACGAACTAAAACCAGGTTTCTACAGTATGGACCATAATCCTCCGTCAATGCCCTGCATCATAAAATCATCAATGTCTTTCATATCACTGAGGCCGAGCCCAGTATCACCTATGCCGGTATTAAAGTACCCAGGATCATAAGCCATATCGGAATTGGCATTTGAAACGCCAGCGTTATAGGTTGATGCTTTGACATCGTCGAAAGCATAAGGACCCAAGTTCCAGTTAATATCTGGTTGCTCCGCAGGCTGGATTTGAGTTATCAAAGCCGAGTTATTTGATTCTGCTTGTATGCCGAGAGTGTTTCGCAAGTGGCCTTGATAAACCGGCTGCGGTCGAACGGGGGTATGAATGTGTGACTGCGGAGGTGACGGGGAAGCCGGTGGGGTTTGGGTTCCAAGCACATCGTGAACGATTTCGGTACTTCCCTCATCACAGCTACCGTTGTTGTTAATGCAGACTGTTTTCTTTTGTTGATACCATCTCTTGAGCTTCTTAAATGCGTCTATAAATGGTCGCGACTGAGGGAAATGCCCATGTAGGGTTAAGGTAGTGAGCCTTTGAATCATCGCTTCAAGAAGATTTAAAGGAGATGGCGGATTATAATTGTCAGAACCTCTTGTTTGGGAACGTGATAAATCTTCAGCAAAGTGTCCCAGCTTCAATAAGCCAACTATCACGCATAGATTCCACACAAGAAATACGTTCGGAAGAGAACGTATAAGGTCATCTTCCAATGATAGATAGACATTTAAGGCATTAGCACCTACTATTAGGCTATGGCAGAGTGCGTCGGTATGTGTTGCGGTAAATGTTGGTGGCGGCCGGTTTGGGTCCTCATTGTCCTTGATCTTAAGCCAAGTACGCATTTTACGGCCATAATCTCTAACCGCAACTTGGTGAATGTAGAGATCAGCAACCGAAGTTGCGTGATTTTTAAGACCTTTTGAATGCCAAATATTAGTAAAATCTAAATAGTAGTTCTAGTGAAACCGCACTTACGAGGGTCTACATCTCCTGAGGGTAATAATTTCCAGTCAGCTAATCTCTGTCGGAAAATTCCCAGTAAATGTTGCGTTCTGAAGTCGTCGAATGATTCGTCTGTGCATGAATACGACGCATTTAACGTCTTTGAGGCATCATCGAAAATCTCCTGGAGAGCTACGAGACTGCATAACCATTGGTCGTCACTCCGCGTATCATTTCCTCGTGTTAGAGCCTCTATGCAAGCTTGGTGCGAGGACGAAAGTATAAGGGGCTGATGTCGACGTAGAAGCGTTGCCGAACTATGAAATGCGGTATTAGTTAACTTCTAGGCAATTGATGTAAGATAAGTACCGACCACGATGCACCAAAATACACGGTTAGTAAAGTTCTATATATGTCTCTATCTTGGTCACTGGTTCTATTCTTATCCAGCTTAAGTGCACCGCCTAAGTTAAGATCGTGAGACATGACCACAGCGCTGTAAACATGCTGAGGGAGTGCGAATGCCTTGATGTGCGGGGGCTGTATGTAGTACTGTGAGAAGAGGACTAGAGACTGTAATAAGTCAAGAGATTTTGCGCCTTGAATGAAAACATCCTGAGCTAAGATGCTGTTGAGTTGTCCCAGAAGAGGATTCACAAGAGACGGTCTGAACGATGTGCTAGCTATCGTTATGATAGTTAGGAATAATGTAGGTTTCGTCGCTCGGATAGTGTCTACATTTTCCTCGGCTGAGAAGCAGATAGAAGGCATCAGTGGCCGCATATGAAGGTTCCAGTGATCAAACAACATAGTAGCAGTACGGATATCTACCAGGCCCTGACTGACAACATCACGACTAACAATAAGTTCCGTATGGCTATCGTGTCGTTCGTTGAATGGTGGAGCATCATCATCCCTAGAGCTCGAGTCGGGAGTTCTAGACCACCCTGCGTCTTCTTTTACTTGTTTTAGGGACTGCTGGTTTCGTCTTCGCTCAGCTTCCAGCGCACTAGTTAAAGCATCGATCTTCTTTTCGAGTTCAGTGAACTTTTGGGAAGTTTTCACTCGCGCTTTTGGCGGCCCCGGATCTTGACAAGGACGGGAAAATCTTATGCAGGTCTCACAATCTTTAGAACCGGGAACCGAAACGCATTTTATCTTCATGTTACGGCATGCAATGCAGGCTCTGATTTTCTTGTAGCTCTGTTCATACTCATTTATGAGAATCCTATCTTCGGATGAGGCGGGGGGTGCGTCGATTGTTGCACTAGAGCTAGCCATGGTCCCTTTGAGGATAACCCAAGGTACTTAGCTTAGGTACCTAGCGTAATTCTTCTGCGTATAATTAAATGCGAAATATAGAAAGAATATGAAATTTGGAGGTTGTTGTAACCTGCAACTTTCGATGTTTGATTGAAGAAGGTTTGGTATGATGTAAGCTCTCCTCCATAAATGATAACGCCGCACTAGGGTCTTAATATCAAGGGAGTAAACCCGATAGGCTTTTATTTTCAGGGGTTCCCTAGCAGCCTTAGGCAATTCTAGGTAGTTTTAAGTTTCCGACCTGGACGAATTGTTGCTGTCGTATGAGATAAGGCTAGGGCATAGAATATAGAATATCCGATAACGTTGATGTAGGTAGCTACTCAAGGTATTAAGGAACACTACATTGCTAGTTTTACAGAGTTTTATACAACATCTCACTAATCATAATGGCAACGAGAGTAAAATAATTACTCAAAATGATAGAATAGTATAAGCCTAGAAGTAGCCCATAAAAATAATAAAAGATACTAGTCTCGTATTGAATTCAAAATTGTTAATCGTTGGTTGGTATGATACGTTCATACTAAGCCACTGTTATACAAATTAATGCTCATGATGCAAAGTTGCCCAGTTTAAGTCTCTTTGTAAGACACTTTTTTGGTGAAGTTTGCCAAGTGCTACTTTAAAACCACATAAGACCTACGTCATCAACAGACTAGGTACCTATATTTCCAACTTAAATACTGCTTGTAAAAACTAGAAACCAACATACACTAACATTATATCCAATATTTAACTTCGTTCATAAGGATTTCTCTCTAGACAGATTATCTTATAATCTATCAATACGTGGTATTATTTACACTTACATAAAAGCGACAGTCTACAATAAATCTGCAAAACAAACACGCAACCATGCCTAAATCATTAAAAGTTGCTCTTAAGAATAATAGCAATTCAGACCAAGTCTATGCGTACATCACCGGCATAGCCCTTCAACATAGAGGGCAGCGTTGTTTTCTCAAAGCCGACGGAGAGGGTCTTTACTTTCCGCAGAATCCGCCCCGCATTGGCTCACCGCTGACCGAAGACTGCGCCATTGTCCTCGGAGCGCCGGGGAACACGGTTACGGTCACGATCCCACAAATGGCCGGCGGCAGGATCTGGTTTTCTCGAGACGCAAAGCTTACTTTCTTGCTTAATCCCGGTCCCGGTCTAGTCGAGCCCAGCGTCTTAAATCCGACCGATCCTAATGCGGATGTTGATTTTGGCTTTTGCGAGTTTACACTCAACGATGCGCAGCTTTACGCAAATATTAGTTACGTAGACTTTGTCTCACGTCTGCCGATAGGCATATCACTAGAGCGGGCAAATGGCTCGGTGCAAAGTGTTGCCGGCATGGCTCCCGACGGCGTGGATCGCGTCGCGGAGGGGCTGCGCGAGCAAGCGCAAAAGGATGGCCGGCCTTGGGATAAGCTAATAGTCAATCGCAAAGGTAGGATTCTCCGGGTACTTAGTGCAACGCACGGGAATGCCGTGCGTGCGAACTTCAGTGGTTACTACGAGCCATACGTAAATGAGGTATGGGAACATTACCTCGCAAAGCAGAAAGAAGGCCAGTTCCTGAAAATCAACACGCAAGCCGCACCAGGCGTTTTAAGTGCCCAGTTCATGAATAATGGCGAGGTACAGGTTGGTAATGAGAAGTTTGGTAAGCCAAATACGGCAGACATCTTTGGTTGCAATAGTGGTCCGTTCACAACAGGACCATCGCCTACTCGTAACGCCATCATACCGCGCCTGGCTGCTGCATTTGTGCGCACTGCGCTACTAGAGGCGTACGAACACCCTTCGCAACCGCGCACATTCTACCAGAGAGATCCGACAAATCATTATGCTCGCATTGTACACGAGCACAATGTTGACGGAAAAGGTTATGCATTTGCTTACGACGACGTGCAGCCAGATGGTGGTGACGATCAGTCGGGGAAGGTCAATACTGGCGACCCAGTCCTATTCACGGTAACCGTTGGTGGCGTTCAAATGTAATACAATTCGCTACCTCTAGGTTCGGAAGTTTTTATATTATCATTTTCTAGGTGTGTAACAAGGCACTTCTCATGATATTAAGGGATTCATTAAAAAGCCCTGGATCAGGGGCTCACGGTTGGATACAAGGTACTTGAAAAAGTAAGTGGACTTGGTAGCAAACTTAATTGAGCAAGATTAAAATAGGTACAGCTAATTTAGAATCTGCATTTACTAATACAAGAGTTATCAAATACACAAGTCCAATTCCATGCTCATCTACTTGAACCACGACTCCGAATTCTTGGGGCTTGTAAATATCGTAGACTAAGTAATGTTAAACCAATCTTCTAGTTATTAAATAAATTCTAAAAATCACGAAATTGCGAGGTCTTAAGAGCTACAACAGTTAAATCCAACTTTACAGAAAATAGTTCACATTCTAGAAGTAAATTTACAGAGCATGCTAAATTGTAGAGTTGAGCCAACTAGCTCAGAGAGTATATTTATATGCATAGCGCAGTGAGTTAACTCTATATATATATCCAAGTGAGGAGCTTCCATCGCCGTATCGGCAACCGGACCAGTCTAACCTCTATACCCAGACAGCTGAATAACAATGGGTATTAACGCCATAACGCTCTAGGGAGACCATGACGATTACGATATCTATGCGAAGGAAGTCTATATAATTGTATCTCTATTTTTCATAACACTGACATTTACTATGGAAACCGTTAGTTATTAGAAGTAACTATATTAATAGAGGATTGAACTTACGCAAGAGAGGTCGTAGCTCGCCTTAACCGTATTAAGGTCACCGGCGGGGAAGATACCGAAGTCTGGTGAGGCTTGTCCCCATTGAGACTCCTGAAGGTCGTACCACCACAGGTTAACCCCACGAGAGATCAGACTGCAAGCAATGTCTTGCCAGTAGATGCGAGCGTTTTGGGCACTAGCTACAGCTTGACCAACAGTCTTTCCGGATACGGGCCACCCAGTCTCAGTAACGTAGACAGGCTTGTTTCCGGCTAGAGCAATAGTCTTGTTGAGTCCGTCATAGAATCGTTCGTGCGCGTTGCCGATGCTGTTAGGCAGGGTCTGCTCCCAGTACGGGTAGCCGTCGAAGCCGAGCCAGTCGATGTGATCGATGACGGCTCGGTTAGAGCCGTTCAGGAAGGAGTCGTAGGTATCAACGTGGCCGACGGGCACACCGGCAAGAGGGGTACCAGCAATGGCACTTCGGACCTTGCTGATGCAGTCGATGAGCTTCTGGGGACCAATACCGACTTCACCATTGGCGTCGCGATAGAGATCCTCGCTACCAACTGAGATACCAACAACCAAGTCGGTAAATGCGGATCCGTATTGGCTAATCGCAGCCTTAAGAGCGGCAATCTCGTTTGTGATAGCTTGGTCACTACCTGAAACCCAGAGACCTAGGAGTAGGGTCGTCTTGGTGTTGATAGCCGCCGGGATAGCGCTAATAACGGTGTTTGCTGTTTGCCATTGGACTGTTGAAAAGGAGTAAGTATAAACCAAATATTTATATAAATTAGTTTAAATACGAATATAACTTACTCATAGAATAGAGACGGGCACTCGTCCATCCACTTGTGCCAGGGAGGTTCTTGGCGCGGTTAAACTCATACTCGAAGTCGGCTTGCTGCTTAGCGGCCTGGTTAAGGAAGAAAGCTCCGTAGTTGAAGCCCTTGATACCAGTATTGGCAGCAGTAGCAGCAATGGCGGTGCTAGCAGTGGCCGCGAGGCCGAGGACGGAAGAAGCGAAGCGCATCTTGTATGTATATAAATAATTATTACTGTATTAACAAGTACCCAAGACCAAAATTTTAATTAGCAAAGCGAATGTCAGCTACGATATTGCAGCTATGAGGCGTAAGAGTAACGAGTGAATGAGTATTAAAGAAACTCTATTAAGTCTACTCTACTAACTAGAACTCAAGAAGTAAAAGGAAAGAAAAAAAAATGTCAAGAGGAAGGAGACATAAATAAAGGGATCAGCAGGTTCTAGAAGCTGCAAAACGACTTATTCGGATAAGGGATCGAAAATCGGATCGCATCAACATCCCTTGTGCCGATACCCTGTACCTTAACAGGGGTGACCTCATTCGTCTTCATTTGTCCCGGAATTTCCAGAAGCTCCACAGCTAGTAGAAGAAGAACCAGTCAGCCAGTCTGCTAGTGAGAGAGCCCTGATCAGTGGAAGACCCAGTGGATCTGCCGGCGCCATAACGGTTAACCCCCTGAGCTCGTATTGTCGACCCACATGCCGCTCAGCCTCAAAATCTCAACTAAACCCGACAAATGACAACGCATACTGTACGAAGCTAGGGTCGGATCGCTTGCGCGGACGCGTATTTAGGTCGTCCAAATTGTAGAAAACTTGGCAGCTCTGGTTTTCGTAAAGACGGTCGAGCCGGTTGTTGATGTATAAGGTATTTATTGATTCCAGTCGACATGCGTTTTTATTATTATGTATTGTCCAATAAACTCCGACTTGGCACATACCTGAAAGAATCTTAGTTCTAATTGGATCTATTAACGAGTCAAGATTATTTATTGCATATGCCAATCACCTTGAGTACGCATGTAGGTACCTACATACACTATGTACATAGACCATACCTAGGTAGACTTGATAGATCATTTCATGCAGATCAGACCCGCTCGCCTCAAAATATCTCAGGAGTCAAAAGTGGACCTTTACAATTCTGAAAAACAAGGAATCGATATATCGCCAAGTTGCAAACTTGCAAAATGTGTGTCAATGAACGCGCAAGCCCTAGAAAAAGAGTTTAGCTCTTCAGCAAGACTTCTAACTTGGATAACTCGATGTATTGAAGTACTACATGCTATAATCCGAAGGCCATTTGTCTGTAGTTTTTGAAAGAACAGTATTCTTTAACAATTCCTCGTCCACTAGCATATAACAAACCCCCAAAAGGGACGCTAAATGCAACATTGAGGTTGACTTAAAGCCTGCCACAATTTACCGGTGTTAACTATTCACATTTCACCTATATCCCCTTTAACCCTTAACAGGTAACGTACAATTACACACTCCTATTTTTAGTATCAATACATGGGGGATGACAAGAAAAGAAGAATAGCTTATTTATATTTACTATTTATAATTTCGGCAACTAATTGCAAACCCTTTTCCTATTTCCTATTACAGTTGTTCTTAAGGCTGCATCATCATTTCTATCATTGAAAAAATATTCCTTAGCTTTGCTCATTTTATACTTTTTGTTTTACGGGTGCAAGATGCAAGTAGCCAGAACTCGTACCCCTTTTAGTTGCTCAATTTGAATAGCGCTATTGAACCGGCTCAGCATCTTCAAGATGGAAGTAACTGGATATATGGCACAGGTTACCTACAGGCCGGAGGGCATTCACACTGATCTATCGAGTGTTGTTGGTCAATTTCTAGGTTTGTCTATCTTAAAACGCAGAATACCGATAACTTCAACGTTGATGATCTTCGCCGTGGACGATTAGATTTCACTACTTCATACCAAGTTATATTATTAGAAGACTATCTTTAAGGACAATGTGTACCTCTTATGTCATACCGAACTGATATTTCAGCCCTTCGTAGCCTCTATACTATAAGTGATGCTATTTGCAAATTACTCTGAGACATCGCCCCCGTCACTAGCCTTTTCTATTTATGTGGTTGATACACCGCATCAGAAGTTTTCAGCCACTGTAACGCGAAGTATCACTTATATCCCCCCCTGTATCCCGCTAAATAATATACCTTTCAATGATGATAAGAATGCGCTGTTCATATTACTTTCTACCACTCTACGTGACATTGCCATGGTCGCTCGCTATACGAAAATCGAAGGCTGGCCTGAGAGCCCTCGAAGTCTAAAATCTGGGAAATCCCGGCCCTGGCAGATCTCAGTCAATGCTTTCTATGTTTCTCTAACTTGTGTCTTTTTTGTCTATGCGGGCTTCGTGGCTCACAGCGATCAGTCACCGAAAACTACCCTCGTTCAAACCCTAGATGCTGCATCTCGTTATGTAAAGAACCCTTCAGCACTATACTCTCGATTTAGGTAGCTAATATTGTCACTTCACAGGGCCCTACAATTTTCCCAGTTCTATATACTTTCATCGTAGGAAGCGCCATACGCTCGTTCGCTCTTTGGAGATTACAAGAAGGTTCAAAGATCGGTTTCTTGGATCTAATCCTAGGTAGCACATCGTTAGGAAATACAGTAGCGACACAATTTGAGCTCCAGTTCAGGCATCTTATAGTCCTAAGCACGTGTATTCTCGGAATATGGTCATTTTCACCTCTTGGTGGACAAGCCACTTTGAGAATCATAGAATATAAGGACATCCCGATTGTGCTTCAACAAGAGATAGGCTACTTGGACCTGTCCAAAGCATCGTTCCCTCTTGGAATGAAGATGGGTGATTCTGGTGCCACTTTTGACAATATCAACACAGCATTTCTAGCTTCTCTTGCGTCACCTCAGGCAATTAAAAACGGCCAACAGGATACTTGGTCAAACATCAAAGTGCCGATGATCGAGGACATGCCAGGATACATTCCGTCAGGGGATAATTCAAGTGATTGGATATCTCTCCCCGACCATATTCCCAACGCACAATATTCTTCTCTCATTGGGATTCCTACAGCCAACGTCCCAGATACTGGCATTACTTCATTCACAATGGAAACATCCTACTGGACTGTACAATGTCCGGAACTGGGGTACTCAAAGGATTATGATGATGAATATTGGGTAAATAAAACCACAATTCCAACCTTCAGTGGAACTTCTCTGTCGGTGATCTCAAATTTGACCATGAATGATGGTTCGTCCGCACAAGGTGTACGAAGTGTGTGGGGTTGGATTCTTTCAGTTACGGGCAGCGATGATCTGAAAAAGCGCTGTGAGTCGAAGCCTGGTGAGGATGTCCCTCTACGAAAAGTCTTTTACCGCAGCGAAAATATAGGTAGTGACTCCGACCTAAATCCCACCGCAGTTAATTGTAGCTTAGCAACGACCTACGTCGAGATATCTGTTCAATGTACAGGGTGGGAATGCAAACTTGATCGAATAAGGAAGTCACAAAATAGTGCGAACCGTCGAGCTAACGCATGGACTACACTCGATCCATGCCCTGAAGATGATTTTGAACAGATGTCTAGCCAGTTTCTATCACATTTAGTGGAGGCGGCTGATTACCAACGGCACAGGAGTGGAATGCCTGGGGTGCTACAGAATTATATACAGTCCCCCGCCGCCCCTTTCACCACAGACAACTATGAAATGGACCTCACAAATGTTGGGAATATTACGTTTTCTGTACGGCTCGCTCAACTGCTGAACAGCTACTGGGCCGCCGTCTATGGATACAGCATCACATTCGAAGGCCATCCCCAAAAATTCCCTAACATTACAAGTTATGGTTTTTACGCGCACGACCCATTTACGTATGTGGACGGGAAATACAAGCGAACTGATATTAGGTTTATTTATAATCGAGGCTGGATGGCAATACTGATCATTTCTACAAGTGTCATGTTCGCAGCCGGTATTGCAAAACTATTACTAGACTTGAACATCTGGATACCTGATCTCCTCATGAACGTATCAACATTATTACGAGGAAATGGATACAACTGTCCCAGTCTTCCATATGGAGGGTCTACCTTGGAAGATAGTGAGAGGTCGAGGCACTTACGTGACCGGATGGTCAGGTTTGGAAATATCTTGACAGAGGATGGCCATGCGGGTGAGCTCGGCATAGGGGAGGCCTTAGAAGCCGAAGGTATGGTTACAAAAGTCAAGGGTGACATGAAATATTGGTAGTATAGTAAGACATCATCTTACAACGATTTTTATCCCCTAGGCTCGTTATTCTTATTATGACTTCTCACCTTACGGCCTCACAAGGTTGCTAAGACAACATAATTAGTACCTGGGGTTGTCCTTCCTTTGTATGCGTGAGTGGTACTAGGAGACCTACTAGTAATTATCTTATGTAGGTAGCTAAGATGGTTATTTATATCATGGGTAGTCAGGGTTATACTTCTTTATGTAATGCAGTGATTACTTTATTACCCCTTACTCACTCCTTGAAATGAAACCATTTATTAAGAGCTTATGATATGAAGCATGATATGTACATACCCAATCCTCTTCACCACGACAAAGTATAGTTACTTCGTAAAGTAGGTAGCACATATTCATCTGATCTAAGCTAGGTATCTACTACACCTTACTAAAGTAATTCTTAGAGTTAACACACTTACATCAACTTATCTTAGTTAGATACGTTGTTTCCACGTGTATACTTGCGGTGTAATAAAATATGATTCAAACTTCCATCATGCCTTTCTTCTGTTCCTTTACTAGGTACCTACGTACATGCTAATATATAAACAACTTTTCTTCAGCAGCAAAAGGACCTCAGACCTACATTTTACATTCACCGTCACTCTATCATCTCGTCACAGAAACCGACCAATCCACAGTTAACTTCTACCGTTTCGTCACCATCGCAAAGCCAACCATCACCTATCCACATTACATACATTTTGACATTACCCCTTCTCAGCAAATACACCATGTGTACCTGGGCCGTCGTCACCTGGAAATGCTCAGTATGCAGCAAATTCATCTGCCGCGTCAGATCTGACAGGAACAGTTGCGGGTACGAAGGTACTAATCGCTGCGCATCTAGCGACAGATCTTATGAGATAAGGTGGGTTACTTGCGATGACTGTAAGAAAGCGGCGGAGAGAGAGGAGCAAGAAAGGATGTCCGGAGAGACGCTAAGATAGGATCTCTTTTTCATATTCGAGGGTTAGTATGATGGGTTTCCATCCTAACCATTGCAAACATACGGTACTTACGGGATTCAATATCCCTATGCGATGAGTTATTTGGCGTAGTATTATTAGCCACATAAGTTAGGTTCTTGCTTTATACAGACATTTATATCTTGTAATGATTTGCATCTTACCCATTTGCGTGCGTTGTGCTATTAATCACGATCAGCTTAGTTTAGTTGTGCGGACCACAGATCATGAGAGACTGTCAGGGTTAGTATGTATAACTAGACGTAGAGTCTCTTAGATAGTTTAGAGTCCTTTGCCAAACAACTTTGCTATTTCCATGCTGTTTGATTCCACCTCGTGACAGAGAGACTGAAGTAGTATTACCCTCCTCCTCTTCTTCTACGAATATATAAACCAGCTTCCCCAGATCCTAGAATAGCTCTCTACCTAGACAACCCAACTACATCTATCTACACACCAACCACTACCACCACATACAGCAATCCAATCCACGGCAACCACCAAACTACCCATCACAATATCATCAAAAGCCTCTTGACCACGAAGCCCATACGTGCCTACCTAAGATAACCTTTGTCAACACAGCCAACATGTGTACCTACACTACCAGGGTCCATAGGTGCAGAAATGATGACTGCGGAGCTACTATCTACACCGAGGTAGTCACAAAACGGCAGTGCGCCGACTTCGGTACTCCGAAGTGCAGACGTACGGAGGTCGGTGTTGTGAACGACGACACAAAGTTGTGCGCGGTGTGCAAGCGCAAGGCTTCACGCCCGACTTGAAACGATATACCCGGCATAATGACTTGCGTTATCTTCTTTGAATGAACGCGATCATTTGACTTTGGGCGATAGCAAGGGGACATTTAAGAAATTTATCTAGTATTCATGCCTTGCCAAGAATCATTATAAGAGACCATAGGTAGCCTAAGTCTCTGACCAGGCTAGATCAATATATTTAGTTGACCCCTATTATTTACCCCTATTTGCTTGATTGACGTAGAGAACGACATATTAATAGATGAATGTGAGATGTCCAAAACAGTGTTTATTTATTCTTAACTACCTCAAAATACTCACTCGTTAAATACCTATTCCATACCGTATGTCAAGGTCCTATCCCATCCAACAACCACCCCCCAACCCACTACGCCTTAGCCTCTAACGCCCTAGCCTTGAACAACTGCTTATAAGTCTCAACGACCGTATCCTTCAAAGTTCCATACTTCAGCCCCAACACCCTAGTCGCCTTAGACCCATCAATACGGTACGCGTCCTCCGGCGACCAATCGCCCACCTTCCCAACCGGCAGGCGTTCGCGAGCCTCCGGCAGCGCCTCCCGCGCCGCGTCGACCGCCGCCTGGTACCGGAAGTCCTGGCCGATGAGGAAGCGCTGGCCCGCGGCCTCGGGGACCTCCAGGGCGCGGATGTGCGCAGCCGCGACCTCGCGCGAGTCGGCGTAGCCGCCGAAGTCGAAAGGCGGGATGGACGGGCTGTCGATGATGTTGTTGAGCAGCACCACGGACTCGCTTATCGTCGCCGTGCTCGAGAGCTCGTGTGCGTACGGCCCGAGCACCCACGGCGGGCAGATCGTCGCCAGCGTGAATCCGGCATCCGGGTGGGCTTCCATCCACGCCCACATGGCGCGCTCGGCGAGCGCCTTGCTGGATACGTACGCGATGACCTTCTGGGTTTTGATCGCCGAGTCCCACGTCACGGGGTTCCAGTCCTTCTCGTCGTAAATGTGGCCCGGACGCGTACCTTTCTCCGGGTCTACGACGGCGGCAAACGAGCTGGTCGACACTACGCGTCGGACCTTACCACCGCCGTACTTCAGGGCGGCTTCGAGGATAGTCGTCGCACCCTTAGTAGCAGGGTTGAGGAGGTCGCGGACGTTGTCCTGAGGGTTAAAGATCAGGGGCGACGCCGAGTGGACGATGCCCTCGATAGATCCGTCTGCGAAAGCCGCGGCGTAGGACTCGAGGACCGTCATGTCTGGGACGATGGTAGAAGAAAGAGAAGAGGCATAAGAGGGGTAATGCGAGATAGTACGGGCCGCGGAAGACTCTGTACGTGCCGTAATACGTACACTGTACCCGGACTCTAAGGCCTCCCTGACGATCTGTCCACCGACATAGCCACCAGCGCCAGTGACGAGAATAGTGCCTTTGTTCTGAGGAGAAGCCATGTTTGGGTTAATAAAGGGGTATTTGCAAGGTTGGGCAGATAGTTAAGGAGGTGTATGTGAGTGAAGTAGTCCTGGTGAACGTAGTTGACTTGAGTAGCAGAGAGCAATGGGGTTTTTATCGAAGGATTCTACAGACAACAGCCGTCTTACAAGCATAAATTCATCTGTATGTTTTCTAGTCTGCTGATGATTGTGGTTGCATACCCGGGTTTAAGGTGCGTTTTGCATGCAGCTGCAAAGTGTATGGCTGTTTCTTCAGACTAAAGATCATCTTGATGCAAGGGATTATATATATAGGTGTATATATATAGATGGGTGATTACTCATGTATAAATCTAGCTCACTCAAAGATAGGGGTATGTCACCTTTACTGATCAAATCAGTAATTAATTTACTGATAGATAATGTGTTTACTAATAGATAATTAGTTAAGTAATATAGGTATATTTAATTTACTGATAGACTTATATCGAGCAGACAACCCCAACAACAAGTTAATAAGCCACTCAAGACACTCAGCCTATCTCAACGCCACTGTGTCGGCCGTGTGTGTAATGGTGTGCCCATCACCAGTTGATTCCGTGATACTTAATCGGACCTACCTCCAAAACAAAAGCACTAGTTTCGGGTTCTGTTTTTAGCTACATAAGAGAGGGAACATCCTGGTCGGAGTTTAGTACATTATACAGATGACCTATCCATTTCGCTGCACACTACTTTGACTATTTTTTATTGAAACCTGGGAATAATTTTTCGATATCATTATAAAGAGTAATAGCGTATTGGTGTAGTATTGGGCTAAAATGTGACCGCATATGTAATGGAGGCTCAAGGGTGGTAGATATATAACAGCTCCTATTGGTTTTATGGCCGTTGCATCAGAACGGAGAACTAAGACATGGCTCTTCGGCGATTCGGCGATTCGGCGATTCGGCCGTATACACTGAACGCCCCCTTTTAGGGTCCATTTAGGGTTTATGCTATCAGCGATAACCACTTTTGAGCTTCACAAAAACGATGTCTTGTGATATATATTATATTCCGCTTCCATTGTACCGAGCGAGGGTAAAAAAACAGGCTTCCTAGTCAATGTTTAACCAAGGCAGTAAATATGCTATACCGTACACCCTATACCGTACACCTGTACACACCATACCAGAATTTCCAGGTCCACTCTATGTACATATCCTGCATGCCAAAGTCAACAAAGATGGCCCCTTGACAGATAGTGGGTATATATGAATGAAATGGAACTTACCCGCACGACCTGTACGAACAACTTTAACTCCGGAGCTTGAATAAGCAACAGGACAGCCCAAGCCCCTTATTTACATTCCCGCTTTAACCCCATCAAGCCCAACTTCCTTGGTTATCGATTAACCTTGCGCTTCCCGAGATGCTAGCCCTGGCGCTGGCACTACCGTGCACCATCTCTATCAACTTGCCCCTTTGCCGTGCACGTAAGTTTTCGAGGTATACCCCCACGTCCTCGAGGCTTTTTATCTGCTCCTCGAGAGAGAGGGTACTGCTGTTTACGCTTCGTACAAGCGGTGAAACTAGCTTCCGTCTCAAAGTCTCAAGGTTGGCCTTTAGGCTAAGCAGTTTTCCATTATGCTCCACCAGTATGCCTTTGTTGCGCACAGTCTTTTCACGCACGTTCTGAAGTAATTCGCGGTTACGCTCATACTTCTTAACCTCGCTCACTTTGGGCCCTAAAATACGTGTCCATAACGAGGAGAGGAAGTCGGCGTGCTGCTCATCTTGTTGCGATGACTCTCGCACAACGACACGCGCCAAGTTTAAGAACTGGCGATCGATAGCTTCGAAAAGGGCGAACAGTGATAACGAGTGATGTAGCTCATTCTCGATAGCTTCTTCTAGGACCGATAAGAACTCCGTAAATGTCCGTTGAAGCGCGTAACGAGTTCGCTGCGGATGCGACATCCCGAACATAGTTGTCGCTATATCGCCCAATCGCGTTGGCATACCTGTGTTTGGATTCTCGAAAACGCCAGCTACAGAGAGCAGGGTATGGATATTGGCAAATGCTGTGGAAAGAGGCTGGCTTGGAACGGCTTGCACCTGCGATAGCTCTCGCCGTGCCCAATCCATCACAATCAATATGCTATCAATATCGCCGTCAACGTTGGAGAAGAACTTTGTAAGCTCGATAGCCAGAGTCTTCAAGCTTTCCGAGAGTTCATCAAGTGACTTTACAATGATGGGCGCCGATGTCATGTTACTTGACCGAACACTCTCGCCAAGATCCCACACAGCAACACCGGTTGCTTGAAGGTCGCCAACCTGAGAGACACCATTCTCTGAGTAGTAAATCAATGGTTCGAAGGAGCGCGCAATACCTGCTACCTTGACCAGATCAGGCGACGGTCGCGGTGGCGCAGGCTGGAAGAGCGTCCGGATGGCAGTCATTGACAAAAACGCGAAGAAGGTTACGACGATGATATTTCCCCATGACTTTGATCTTAGGAAATTTACGAGAGCTTCAATGGGTTCTGTTCGCTGTTGGATATCAGCACGTAGGGCTAATCGGATATCTAAGTTGAAGTTAGCAAAACTGCCCGGATGTATCAATTCGCAGAACTTACAATTATCCCTAGAAGCACCAGGCGACATGGACGCTATTATACCGTTTTGTGTCGTCCCTCCATTTAAATGACCATTAGCGGGCGACTCGCTCTTCAATTTTACCAGGGTATCGTCCTCAGTTGGGCTCTCTGGTTCTGGTGTAACCCCCTTTTCGGGACTTAAACTTCCTGTTGGCAGGCGCGTCCTACGAGCTGCTTCAAAGATATCATTCTGGAAGATGCTATTGTTGGTGTGATTTATGCGCCTCGGCTGATCGAATCCGCCCAAGATATCCCTACTCTCGCGCCAATTGCCGTACCACCGATCTCCATTCTCGAGCCTTTTCCATGCTGGCGGGCTATAATTACGATCTGACAGAGACATGTCGTCCATGTCGCTCTCCTCTTGCAGGTCGAGGTCCTCGTCCGAGAAGCCAAAGCCTAAGTGGGTTGGTGGGAACCCGAACAATTTCTGTCGCGACGGTGACATCGGAGTTACGAAGCTTGTGTCGTCTCGACTGTTCTCTGAGTACATAGATGTCATGGTCATTAGGAGAGCCTTGGCTGGCTGGCTTCGAAATGCTATTTATACTTGTGGCCGAGTTTGGTGTGGAGCTTGGAAGTGCTAGTTTAGTACGCGAGGAAAAGAACGAGCGCAAACTTTGAGTTGAAGTCTGCGCCCGGTTTGTGGATAAGTGGATAAGAGATTTTTCTGAGTTTGTCACTGATCCGGGCGCAGGTAATGCTGGCAAAGCTTTCTGTCGATGCGACCTCTGAATAGGTGGCAGCGCCTTTCGTCGTGGTAGCGCCTCAATTTGCGGTCCCGGTCGCGGTATAATAGATGACGGTACCCTAAAGGAAAACCGAGGAAAGCGGGTAGGTAGGATGTTCCGTAGCGGTATATGACCGATTGAAACAAGGTAAATGAAGAAAAAGGCGAAAGTGAAGGCTAGTGCGACGAGGAATGTGCTGGGCGCAATGGTGATGCTGAGGAGTGATACGTGATTGTGAGTCTCGATAGATACCAAGGGGCGCATTGAGATCGGAAGCAACCGGCCAGGTAAGATCTGGGGTCGTTTAGAGTACCTTTCAATCTAGTCGTCCGGAATGCTATCGTCGGCGATACTAACTAAAGCGACTAGAAGTATAGAGGTAGGTATGCTGTGTTGGTATCTCGGTATGTAGGTATGTAAGTTAGGTCGGCAACTCTGTTGTGAACGCTGGGATCAACACGATAACAGTGTAATTTCACAAGTAGTCAAGACTAGCTGAGCTATAAAGTTCCGCGCTTATAGTATTGACTTGATTGAGCGTATTTTAATATGTTGAGTATAGTAGCAAAACTGTGTACTCAACTACCGGTAGTTGGGATCCTATCAAACGATGTCGTCGCGAAAGATGAACTTCCAAAGATTGCGCAAGAGAGTAGCTACACTCCTACGAACCTAAGGGGGGCGGATTCGTTTGCGCCGGTAAGTTCCAAAGCGTAGTGAGGTGGGTAAGGAAAATGGACGAATGAACGATAGCTTTGGCCGGTGGTAAGACGGGAAGTAGAGAAAGTAGAGAAACAGCTGTGCGAAATTGAGAGGCTGGGAAACTCTAGGAAGCTCTGCACCATCTCAACCTTCTCTGGTTACTCCTTCCACTTAGCCACTTAGATCTCACTTTCGAGACCCCCCACCTTCGGGATGTCGCAGAAGAGGTCCTATAAACCAATGGAATTGCTTCGTTTCTGGTCGCTGTACGACAGACCAAATGCAAGGGTCAATACCTTTAAACTTTATAATAGCCTGTTTTAGGAATGCATTTGGACAAGAAAGTACGGAAATACGAAAAAATATGATAATATGTTGATTATATATGCCTAGTAGGAAGGAGGTTCTTGCTCCCTAGATACCAACATAAGTCCGTGACTTAGACAGCCAAAAGGTAAGTGACTCAGTAACATATTCCGTACCTAAGTACTACACATGGTAACTTCCCTCTGTTACTTTGTACGTACCCCTCCCCCCCTTGTTATGGTAGCGTCGGAAGGAATGCGATCATAAGTTCTTGACCAATCATAGTAAGGTATTTAACCTATGAGTTGTCGTTCAGTTAAGTGCTTGCATGAGCGAATCATAGCTCACAGTCACTACTTAACCAATCATATCTTAGCGCAATTACAGCTGCAAGCACTTTGACGCGTTCCGAACAACAAACCACAACTAAGTCTGATATAGTTCAATCAATAAACATTAAGCAAATATGCCATTATTATTGGATAAATAGCAAACTTGGATCTGGTGACCTATTGTAAGTTACCTATTTAAGTTGTTTACATACTGTACATACTACTAATATTTGGTTATATCCTAACTATATGCTATTATACCTCTCTTTTACCCCGCACGTCATGCTGCCATAACGTCGAAT